AAAAGCAAACATTTCACATCATACTTAAATAAGATTGAAAGTATATTTCCATCTGTGAATCGAAATAGGCCAATCTGAAAAACGCAAGCACTTGACCAGTATAGTTATCCAATAAATACGGCGTGCCTATAGAAAAATCACCACTGAAGTCCAAGAGACAAAACGAACTCCTTCTGTCTACACAATGGCGGCTTTTTCGCTTGTATGTAGATCGATTCTAAAACTGCTAGATGGAAAGACGACCGGGAGGAAGATGTTGACCGATGGCAAAGCCACCTTTTTTAACAGTGATTCACTACAAGATCGCGGAGGATGTTCTCTTCGAAGGACAGTTTCGTTTCTTATGTCGGAAGGAGCATGCTGTTTTATCCTATCCCCCAATCTCTGGGTTGTGCGTCATACGTAGCCAGAATCACACTGACACCGAAATTCAATTTATACATTAAATTCGACGACACAGGTACAAACGGAGATTGATTTGAAGTTGCACCGATGTCGCATAATATGACAGGGTATATTGAATAAAATTATGGTAGTCGACTGGAAACATGCAGATGATTCAAATCAAGCGCTGTATTTTAAATGCACTTAATTCTTGATTCTCCTTAATGCATTTAACATTACGCCGGGACATTTTCAGATAGATGCAATTAATCAAGACAGCTATTTTATTGTAATAACAATCAAGACCAATGCAATTAAAAGGATATCTTGTGGGCTGCCGGTAAGACGAAAGCATACTCAATGTGGGCACCAGCGTGGTTTCATAGTCTTTACGTGAATGCACTCAAAGCAAATGGCCACAACTTTATTTGGCAAGCAAAAAATGAGCTTGGAGATTTCTTCTATTAACTTTATCAACAAGCAATTGGTTCAACATTTAGATTATACGCTTTCAATCTTCATTGCAGGGTATAGATGAGCATATGCATCCCAACACATTTTGATGACTAGCGAAATAACCAGGACAACAACTATCTCGTCGGTGTGATGACTGTTTTCCACATGATTTACAAGCACATGGATTTAATGAAGATGCTCCAGTTCTTATTTATTCCCATTTCAAAAAACGTAAACAGTGTGTTCTGATAAATAATTCATATACCTCTTGTTAAGAGGATATATCGAGTATACCCTGTGTACTAGACTCGCTGCAAGTATGGTACCCAAGGTATGTCTAGTGTGCCCCAAGGCTCTGTGCTAGGACCAAACCTGTTCACCTTTTACATAAATGATCTATTTCTATTCATAAAACAAGTAACGCTCTATAATTATGTAGATGATAAAACAATTGTTTATTTTTTTAAACGCATGTTCGATTTTGTGAATGCTTTGGAAAAAGAAACTGGCGTTGCCGTATCATGGTTGAAACAAAATGAAATGATTGCAAACCCTGAACAATTCCATGCTATAAAAAAAGCTATAAGAAATTACAATTTTATACAAAGCTTAAATAACGAGACAAATATTTGTGGAAAACAAATTAACATAAATAGCAAAACAATGAAATCTGAAGATAAAGAGGAACCGTTGGTTGGATTTAAATCTTAATTTCCACTAATATATTTCGAATCATAATTAAATGCTCTCAAAGATTAAAGGCATATATTGGTTTTCAGCCGAAAAAAATTCTTTTAAATACTTTTGTATCTATAAAATTTTTGTACAGGTATATAAAAAGGAATTGATGGCATTTGCAAGCTTGTTTTCGAAGTGATACACCTGAAAGATTTGTGAAAATTATCGTATGTAAGAGCGTATTTAGTCTGAAATACTGACAGCAAACCAATTTAAGGGATGATTACCAACAATTCAAGGGAATCTACTTCTTATAATTTAGCTATGAAATTATGAATAAGTTATGATATTTTCGTAGAGCTGTATAGAAAATTAATTTGATGAAAATATCTGCAAGCTGGCCCCAACTGTTATCATAGAATATCTGAGAATGATTATAGGAAAGTTAAATCCAAATTTTAAAACAGTTACCCAGCAACTGGGTTCAGCCAGCTTGGTGTTACGTATATGCAAACCATTATTTTATAGATTTTTTCAGAACTTTGTCTTTATTTCTCGCTAAACAAGTCATTTCCATTTTGGGTTTTTGATAGAAATTTGGAGAATCCAATGAGCGTTCAATGTATTCCTCATGGGAGTCTGCCACAAGAATCAGTGTACTTTCCAATGTAGTTTGCTATTAGGTCTGCCATCTTTAGTTTAAGTTTCAGTTGGGATGAGGCTCCCTCACACCTTAGATATTTCTTCATTTCAAACTTAGTAATTCTTACGAATTTGAGGGTAGTTTCCATTATAATATTTCATATTGTTTTTTACGAGCAGGTATTTTGCGCAAGATTACTAAAATCCGAAACAGACCTAATTTTCATTATTTAATTTCAAATTTCAAGTACAATCAAGTCCCGCTATCTCAAAATGGCACAGGAAATGAAAATTTGTTCGACATAGCGAGTCTTCGAGACATCCGGACTCGAGATATTTTCGATCAAAAAGGAGTCATCTGTGTTTAAAGGTGGAAAATGAACCAAGAAAACAAAGTTATTTATCTCCAAAGCTTTGTTAAACGTCAAACTGAATGAAGAAAGTATATTAAAGAAGTTTGCTGTATATTTTTGAGTGCTTCTTCAGTGTTCATTGGAACATCGATCGATGATCGACTAAAATGTCCATTAAACGACAAACATGCTGTTTTCAACCAGTGCAATCTTATTTAACGTGCAGAGGGTACGGAACCAGAGAGATGCAAACTGTTTTTGCAATGTAACTTGTTTGTGCAATTTAAGGTGATTTCTACCGACTGATTATCATCACAGAATGAAGCCCTGTACTAAAATACATGGTCAGCGGTTTTCCACCATTATGTCTTTAACAATTCGTCTCCAGCTCTCTCTGTTTGCTGTTATCTCTTGCAGGACTTTTAACGTTTTTTCAGCAGGATTTGACTCAATGTTTAGTTGTATGTTGGCCAGTGATTAGTCTTTTTCTATCAATCTTATCCATGTAGTAGGCGGTCTTCCGCCTTTTTTTGTCTTTTTCAGGCTTTCATCAAGAGCTATCTTTGCTGGAGTATCATTCTTTAGGCGCATAAGGTGGCCCAGCCAATTTAATCATCCTGATTGTTGTTAATTGCAAGATATCAATGGCTCTGATTTTGTTTTTTGTATAGTTTTTCATTTCTGATTTTTTTGGCCATCTGATCTTTATTACCTGTTCTAATAGTCACCTTTGGAAAAAGTTAATTTGATTTTCTAGAGTTTTTGTGATTGTCCATAAATTTGACGAAAACAATGGGTTCCGATAAATAATTCATATAGCTCTAATTACGAGCAAACATATTTTGTGTATGAATACAGGAGAAGCCACGATAACAGGCTGCTCGACAAAAGATCGATAAAATAGTAGTAAATAAGTAACACCGCAACGTGACGGAAATGAGCAACAAAAAACACACATAAATCAGTTATGTCTATTTCTTCACCCCGGCATACGGGGCTCCATCAAAATCTTGTCTCAAGAACGTGAAGGACTTTTCGGAAGAGAGGAGGGTCTCCTGTGAGCAGAGCGAGCAGAAAATATTTAAGACGACGCCCTTGAGATTAGCTCAAAATACATTTCAGAATATTCCTCCCCCCCCCTCCCTGCCACGCAACTGATAGGAAAATAAATACTGATAAAAATATATAAATTAAAATCTTCGCGTTACTTTGTTCCTCCTGATTACGAACAAATTTTTTTTTTCTACATTCCACTAAAAATTTACAAGACAAGATTACCTATTACGCTACCTACTAATTACTTCACAAACACTACAGGGACGTTGATACCACGGGGAGCAATACACCATGACAACCCCGTGGCAAATAAACCGTGGCAAGTAAAAACTACCAGGTGAATCAGGAAGAGGCACCACCCGCCCGCAAAGCCGCACATGAGAGTCACCAACCGACACACATAATTGGATGCAAATTTAAACAATGCTATAAAAATTGTGTCCCAGGCCCCACTTGAGGGATTATTTTCGAGTGTGTGGCCCCAGCACGACTTCCCAAGCATGCAGCACCTCTCTCACGACCCACCCATTACATAAAAATACACAGAAGAATATAAGAATACTACAAAAGAATTAAATTTAAATCTACTAGACGGATATTTACAAACTCGGACTGCCATGGGGCCCCACCGTCGAAGGCCTTTATTGGGTTACACCCTTAGCAATGCAGTTAGATGGTCTGTAAAAGGCATGAATTTTGAAATCAACGCCCCTGAGAAACTTGAATTTGTATTTTAAGGTCTTTAACAGAACATGTAATTAGTGACTATATAGAACAAATCATTAAAACAAATCAGAGTTAATTTAATGTTTAAAAAACTTCTTTTCTTGCTTTCCTCGTGGCGAAATCCTTAATTACATTTTGAAAATCCATCTTTCTTGCTGTTTCACAATCTAAAAGTCGTTGGTGAGTCATTGTGCTCCTCAAAAAGGTCTATATTAGCTTGAGTTTGCTAAATGATCGCTCAGCCGAAGCAACGGTCACGGGCAGTGTGCAGAAAATTCTCAAGGCTGTACACACGTTGAAAAAAATCTCATCAAGTTTAAATTGGCTTATGCTGTTTAATAACTGCAACGGATTCAACGATTTCTCTCCAAAATTTGCCTTGTGGATTGACCTGGTGTGTGTGAAACGTGCAAAGTTATGCCAGAGGGACAGCAAAATTTCAACTTCTGCAAGACACTCTTTGTTTATTTATAATTTATGCACGTGTTGACTTACTCTTACTTCTAACTTTTTGTTGCTTTGTTTATTGCTTTGTTTTTAAATATTCTTTTACCCAGTCTCCATAACTATATATGCTGTGCACACGTTTTTTGGGCGTTGTATTCGGTATATCATTGAACAAGCTTTCACGAAGTGTTTGAAGTAAAAGACTCGGAGGGCGTTGTTCAAAAGCGGAGGAATTGTAGTTGCGGCATGTGTACAGTTGATAGTCATGCAATATAGTTACGGAGGCAAATAGATTGTAAGTAATTTGTTATTGTTAATTATATTAGCTTTCATTTTTCATAAATATTCGTTTTGTTCAGTTTATTCTACTACTTTAGTTTGTTCGTGTATTTCTTACTAGGCCTAACCTATTTCATATTGACTATCTGCTTTTTCTTTTATCAATTACTAATTTATATTTAATTTTTTTGTAGCAAACCATGTTCTGAGTAATCACACTGCGTTGATTTTTTTGTGTTTCCTGGTGAGACTCAGGCGTGAGTTTGAACTTTAGCCACGTTTGGTGCTATATTAGTTTGAATCTAGCCTTTCGGAAAAAGAATGGAAGAAGAAAACGCCAAAGGGGTGAAGCCCGCAGATTTGTTGTCTTTGGACATGGTGGGCCGGACACCAAAGAAGTCTAGGGTGAATGCAAAACGTCAGTTGACGAATGCGATACGGAAGGTATCCGATGCATTGACAGTGGGTGAAGATGTTTGTGGGATAGGAAATGCTGTGGTGTGCATGGAAAATGCGTTTAATGATTTCAGCAAAACCTGCAGTAACTACCGCCAACTGTTAGAAGATGACATTGAAGAATGTATGATATATTTTCATGAAGCAGAAACGCGGTTCTTGAGCACGAAGGACAGAGTGGCATTTTGGAAGGAGTCAGCAAGGAGAGAAGTAGACATCAAACTCAATGACAGCAAAATCAGAGCAGAAGACCCGGTGAGCCAGATGAAGTCTCATTCTTCCCGCAGGAGCATGCACTCTAAATATTCAATATGTTCCCATGTTTGTAGTCTTGACGAAGCAATGGTGAGAATTTCGACGAAACGAATCCTGGTGCTATTCCATGGCAACAAAGTTCTACAAGATACACATTGCATCACGAGGCAAAGGCAAAAAATACGAGGATGTCAGCACAATGCCATTCCAATAGAAGTGAGCAAGATGAAGGTAGAGAAGAATATCTCGAGACGATGAAAAGATTGGCAGTCGCTTCGTTGTTGCCTAAATCAGAGTTGGCAGCTTTTGATGGTAACCCCTTAAAATATTTTGTCTTCATTCGCAGCTTTGAAAATAATGTTGAAAAGGATACAAACGATTTTTCAAGAAGACTACAATTACTGATTCAATATTGCACTGGAAAGGCCAAAAGGGTAATAGAAAGCTGCATTTTACTGGAACCGGAAGAAGGCTATTGGAAAGCAAAGAACATGCTCGCAGACAGATTTGGCAACGTTTTCAAGGTGTCAAACGCATGGATAGAGCAAGAATCAGGTAGACCTTTGATAAGACCAAGTGACCGAGGTGCACTACAAGAATTAGCAGACGATCTCGAAAGCTGTGAAATAACACTCAAAGCTACAGGAAGACTTGGACAAATTAACAACAAAGACAAGCTAGTCCAGATTTTGGAGAGATGCCCTGTGTTTGTTAGATCACGATGGCAGTCATGTGTCCAAGAAATTCTATCAAAAGGACCGGATCCGAATGTAAACGTGAAAAAACTGATCAAGGCCATTGCTATGGAGAAAAACGACGCTGTCTTTGGTGCACTTTTGGATGGTGGAGTGAAGGATTCTGTATCTTCGACGCGGATGGGTACACGACAAGGACATACAACTATGAGACCAGCACCTCAACGAAACATGAATTTCAGCATACAAACGAGCGGTGAAAATTCAAACATCGTTGTTGAAAATGTGAAGTGCTATTACTGTAACAAGCATCATAAACTGGAGAGCTGTGACGAGTTTAGAAGGCTGCCTGGCGAAGATAAATTCAGGTTTATTCGTGAGAAAAAAATTTGTGATAATTCTTTATCCTCATTTCATTTTTCTGCTGGTTGCAAGTAAAAATGTTATTGTACATTGTATGGATGTGCAATTAAACGCAAACATTTGTCAGCAATTCATGATGCTCTTGCTAAATTTGAAGAAAGACGCAATAACAGGCTGAAACAGACAATTTCTGGAAATCAACAAAATGTGAAACGTGAGCAGAAGCAATTCGTGGGATTAGCAAGCCAGACAGGGGCCGGACGCAACAGTCAAGCATTGTCCATAGTTCCAATAAAGGTGAAAGCTAGAGGAAAAGGTAAAATTATTGCAACCTATGCTTTGCTTGACAGTGGCTCAACAGCAACTTTTTGTGATGTCGAATTGATGAAAAACTTGAACGAGGAAGGACAAAACTGTCAAATACGTATCACTGGCAACAATCGATGGTTACAAAGAAGATTTCAGATCATCATTGGTGAGCTTAGAAGTGATGGATTTAGATGAAAAAGTCAAAGTTCATTTGTCCAATGTGTTCTCAGTCCAACGATTGAATGTGTCAAAAGATGCTATGGCAACACAAGGAGATGTGGACATATTGGCTTATCTGCAAGGTGTGGAACTGCCTAGAGCGATAGATAATGGTAAAGTCAGCCTTTTGATTGGTGTCGATGTACCTGAAGCATTGGAACCAGTGGAAATACGCAGATCATTAAATGGAGGACCATATGCTGTCAAAACAAAGATAGGTTGGACTCTGAATGGACCACTGGATTCCTCAAACAGAAATGCTTATTGCATGTTTGTGAACACAATTTCTCCAAGTGATGAGTATCTATGCAGTCAGCTTAAGAGTTATTTTATTCAGGATTTCAGCGAATCAATAGCCTACGATACGAAAGAGCTGTCAGTGCAAGACAAGCATGCTTTGAAAACATTTGAAGAATCAGTTTAGTTGGTGAATGGTCATTACCAGATTGCAATTCCATGGAAAGAGGGACAACCTTGTATGCCAAAATATCGACAGGTTGCAGAAAAGCGCTTGGGATATCTACAAAGGAGACTCTTTCAAGACTCAAGTTTGAAACAAAGGTATACATCATTTATTAATGACTTACTTGACAAAGGGTATGCACGCAGAGTTCCTGACCAGCAGCTGGAATGCAGAGATGGTAAAATTTTGTATTTGCGGCACCACAACGTAATCCATGCAAAGAAACCAGATGAAGTGAGGGTAGTCTTTGACTGTGCTGCAAAGTACCATGGCGAGTCATTGAATGACAAGATTCTTCAGGGTCCAGATTTGACGAATAGCTTGATTGGTGTATTGTGCAGATTCAAACAAGAAACTGTAGCGATGATGGCAGATGTAGAGGCAATGTTCCACCAGGTGCGTGTACATCCTTAAAAATCTGAATGCATTGAGATTTCTCTGGTATCCTCATGGCAATTTGTCTGCTGAGCCACACGAATATCAAATGATGGTACATTTGTTTGGAGGTGTTTGGTCACCTAGCTGCGCAAGTTTTGCTTTAAAGAAAACGGCGTTGGACAACAATGAAAAGTCTGATCCTGATGTTGCCAGTACAGTTAGCCGAAGTTTCTATGTTGACGACTTACTGAAATCAGTGGAGAAGCCAGAAGAAGTAATAAGATTGAGTAAGCAGCTTTGTGAGATGCTCTCTCTTGGTGGATTTTGTCTTACAAAATGGATCAGTAACAGCAGAGCAGTTCTGAACGCAATACGACAAAATGAATGGTCAAAAGAGTTGAAAGATACCAGCCTTGAGAATGAAGAGCTTCCAACAGAGCGAGCCTTAGGACTTCAATGGGATGCAGAGGCTGACCAATTAACATCTAAGATCTGCAGCAAGGACAAGTCATTGACTCGCAGAGGACTGCTAAGTATAATTTCTTCTGTTTATGATCCTATTTGATTTGTTTCTCCTTTTGTTTTAAATGCAAAGAAAATTCTCCAAACAGGATCTCATACGTTGCCGTTGTGCTTATCACCAATCTTCTCTGAATCCCCACGAAACGCAAGCCCTCGCTCTCCAAGAAACATGACTAAGTCAAGGATTCGCTGCAGTAACATTTTCCATCTTTCTGCTTCAGACAAAATACTTTTCTCCAAAAATAAATCAACATCAGCATCTGCTTCTAAGCGTCGTTGAGGCTCACGCCATGCCAAGTAACACTTGATGTGGACATTGCCTCTCTCATGTTCTGGGAGTCTTTCCCACAATCTTTTCCAGCTGTCGTTGGCTCCCCAACCATCAGGAGAAGCCAATTTTGATTTTGAACCATTATTAATAGTGCGGCCAAACAACCTGCATGGCAAACAATAGAGTGCAGCCTTTGTAGGACTGAAAACAAGCCAGCTTCTTCTTACTACCTCCCCATTTTGCTGCTTCACATTTAGGACCGTTTTTGGAAATTTTTGGCCGTCGCAATCTTTGGGAAACTCTGGAGGATGAGGCAAATGACCAGTTCTAACAACCTTTTCTAACTCTATTATCGTTGGAAATCCGGTCAATGTGCCGACATCAAAACTAGATGATCCACTATTAACAGTATCTTGATTTTAATGACGAATCAGTAGTGCTTTCTCTACTTTCTGTGGTGTCATGGTCTACCGAAGCAGCCAAGCCGTTTGTGTCTTCTTCTTCTTCAGCAATGCTTTGAACAGAGCTTTTGCCAGGTATATTTAAAGTTGAATCAACTTCCTTTTCTCTTTTGTAGGCACCTACCTCAAACAATGTGCGAGAGACTTTCTTTGCTTCTTTTTCTCGTATCTTTTTTCCTGCCTTTTCTGAGCACCAGACTTGTGCCTGTAAGATGATATCCCAGGGGTTGGTTGGATCGTGATCCCGCTTAGTGATTTTGATAAAGACTTTTATAGCGTTTGGATTTGTCTTGATTCTTCGCATGTGCTTTTTCTCTGGTGTACGCCGTGAATGGAAGATTTACTTTTACGTTTATAGGAAGTCCACACAAGCAATAACTCAAACATTTGACCTAAAAGTAGATATGTAACGATAAGGGTTCTTGTTATGACGGTGAAGAACCAGTTAATAACCAAGTTCGTTAGTGGAGCGATGGGCTAGGCCAACCGGCCTAGCCCCAAGTGGATAGCACACAAGAGATAATCGTTCTTTGATGTTATATTTATCGTCAAAACAGTAAGACTAAATTATTCTAAGTTGGATTACATTAAATTAAAACACAAACAAAGGAACACTGTGAAACATCACACAACACGATGACAGTGACGCACATTTCCAGAAAAGGGAGTTACTAATACAACAGCGCGATAAACAAACATGTGACATTATCATGCAACATAATCAAAGATCTAGCTGAACATAATAATAATAATTACTGAAGAATACAAGTCCTAAAACGTTACACCATCCCCTCCCTTTTAAAATACAGGATACAACCTTGAAAAGTCACTGACTTCTACTACGTCATAAATAAAAGTGTTTGAAGTGTCATTACGGCCCGAAGGCATAAACTAGCAAGCGGAGGTAGTGCCTACAACATCACTTTATTTGCCCAATCTCGTCACGACATCTCCAAAAAGAAATGTTTAAAAAGTCCTATTACATACGAAGGCTCTCTATAGCTCTTCTCAGCTGCAACCTCTCTCCGGCCAGCTCCCAAACAATCGGCTAATTAACGGTCACATAGTTTCTCACGAAATCTTGAATGTATCTTGTTATAATCTGGAAAACGAATGCCTTTTCCGTTGGTGGAATGTCTTCTTCCAAAAAACAATAGCCAAGCGAAATGAGCAGCAATTTGAACCCAAATCCACCGCAAAAAGGTTCTGTTTTGAAAATCAAATTAACCTGTGAATCAGCAACACTCGGTGAATCCAAATCATTCTAGAAAAAATTTCCATTAAAAAGTGTAAAGACCAACGCATTCCACCGCCATTCCCCTCTGTCACCAAATGCAACGCTAAGGGTTCTTGTTATGACGGTGAAGAACCAGTTAATAACCAAGCTCGTTAACACGCAACATAATCAAAGATCTAGCTGAAAATAATAATAATAATTACTGAAGAATACAACTCCTAAAACGTTACAGATATATGTAAGTGCAATCGAATTTTTCGGCTTCCGGAGAAGTATATTATGATCGTAAATGTTTTAATTATAAACCATAACAGGAAAAGGTTCTCATCATAGACCAGCTTGTTGATCCCTTGTTGAAAGATTAAATTTCGAATATCAATCGGGTCATGGGCCCGCCCTGCCAATGCTGCTAATTAAAAACTAATAGTCAAAAAATAGATACCTTATTTTCTCAGGACCCTCAAGGCCCCGGGCCCCCTGGTAACTACCCTGGTTACCAGCCCCCTCTTTTGACGGTCCTGTTTGGGAAGGATCAGGATATTCGATATGCACAGCTACTTGATGTCCTAAAAGCTACCTTCAGATGCTTAGCAGTAACACATGCAAGAAGTACAAACAGGTGCTTGTTGATCCCTTGTTGAGAAAGGTGGTGAATCCTCCCTCATTCTGTAAATGTATTGATTTATATAGGAAATTTGTATGTGCTTTGGACTATTTTGATTCAAATTTGATTGATCGGTGAGTATTTTTGATGTATTTCATAAATTCCTGTAGGTTACCAAGCGTTTGTAGCCAAATGCAAATATTGTCATCGATCAATTTGTTCCTAACTATATAAATAGATAATCCCTAATCGTGTTGGAACATCCCCAATCGGATCGTTGTTCAAATCAAAAATGGCTTTAAGAAACCTTTTTTTTAAAGTGTCTGAAAACTATATTCTACAGTGTGCTAGAAGGAAGAACCGCAGGATACGCTGTCTGCCATATTCTGTGAATCTTGCGATGAATTTAAGTACAAAGATATATGAAGATATATATACATCTTTATATTTTACAGCCTGTCAACCTATCTTCAACAAGTTTGATACTTCTACCACATTTTGCATGACGTTTTCGCTAACAGCTCAGACTATTTCTTTTGGCTCAGTCACCTTTTTAAAAGCTCTTTTCTTTGGTAGGGGAAGGGGCGTTGGCTCAATTTGTTGTCACTATATTGAATAAATTTTGGAAAAGTTACCAGTTTCCTGTACCATGTGAATTATCTGCCGACAAACTTTCGCATTTTGTGAACAAATATAGCTTGCAAATACGTGTTGATTTTCTTTCTAAGTCATGGAAGTACTAAAATACATTCTGTCAGGCTGACTGTCTATTACTGAAGTAGTTGCAAATAAATTTTGCTTCTCTTCATTAAAGAAGCATCGTGGGGGAAGTCAAATGCCGCCTTGCACTATCTTGTCAGAAACCTTTGCATTTTGTCAGATGATATTGAAATTTCATACGTGTTACTTCTCAAAATATTCTGTTTACAAATCCTCTGACAACAAACTTCAATTCAGCTTTTCATTTTACCAACTTTTATGTCCGATAATCGCGTACGCGTAATTATGATAAGCATTACCTTTTCTAAAATGATAAATCACCCTTTCATTAGACACGTCCTCTAGGCAGAATTTGCTAGACCATTACTTGCTAAACATGTTTTCTGTTCTTTGTGCAAATATGCTTGTAGAATGATTGTATTTTCAGTTTTAGTAATAGCAAGCAAAGCACATAAAAATCGATATGGTCTTAGCAGAGATTCAATTTTGGGGTTTTTGGGAAAACTGCATGAATTATAGAGTTTTCAGTAAAGAAATTCATTTCGTTGATTATATTCAGAAATAAAATTTTGATGCCAATTATTGCTAATTCACTCTGCTTGACAACCAAGCCAATTAACGCAACAAATTTCTAAGTCAGGTGCAATTAATCAAGCCAATTATCTCATCAAAATAAGAATCAAGTCCAATGCAATCAAGAGTCCTATTAAAGACTACTGGTGATAAGATAGCATCTGCAATGTGGTCACCAGTTTTCAAAATCTTTACGTCTTTGCATTCAATAGAGGCATTTCGATCTTTGTAAAGTCAAATACCTGGGGTTAGCTGTGCAAAGAGGACTTGTCAACATGATTTCAAGGTGTATCTTCTTCGTGCTTACCTTCTTCGTGCTTACTTTCTTTCTTTCATATTCCATCCAAATGCGTACAGACAGTTTCTATATAAGACATTATTCTGGAAAATGCCTTGCTTTGAAAAAGGCCACTGGGACGTTGGTATTCCAGTCGGTTTGTAGAGACAAATTCCGATGGCAAGATGGAGCCAGAATCATTCACATACCAACAAAGAAATGCATTCGCCCTGCATCGGCAGCTAGTGGAAGTAAGATTGGCTTATCTGTTGAATGCAATGAAATTGGCAGTCTTTTGAGGTATGACAAAAGCTCTTTTGCTTTGAAACATCCTCGAACTGGCTTCTGTTTCCACGGTGTCAATGGCAAGTCAAGTACAAATGAAGACGAAGAACTGACTTATAGCACTAAATGCAATCAGGACATAAACCGTTACTATTTTCAAAAGAATGTCAGATTTGTGATTCGTCATTACACTACCAGTTTTTGTTTGGTCCACGACAAAGCTGATAATTTCCTAAAGCTCCAAAACACATTCGTTTGTGACCGCTTTGAATTCGTTAACACGAAAAACTTAAGACACGTGGCGACAGGAAAATGTGTGGAGAGGAAGGTTGGTTCCATTTACTTGATTCTGTCAAAAAACTGCTCTTCCGACCAAACAAAGTATGAACTAAAGCAGAATCTTCTCATTGCCAACCCAGCAAGTGGCAAGTGTGTTCATGCTGACGGTGGGAGAATCGTACCTGGCTTTAAAGTATCTCTTTATGAATGTTGGACTGATGACCTATACAAGTGGAACTTTTACGATGATCGAGGTATGTTTGAAGTTAAAGTATCGGAGTACAGTCATGCAGTCAGCTCTGTCTTATTTGAGCTGGTGTAATTCGAACTAATTTGAGCAAATTTCCCTGGTCATTTGAAAATCTCTTAATAAATCCTTACAAAAACCTCTGTAATCAAAATCTCTATAATTTGAACTTTTCGTAATTCAATCAATTTTGTTAGTCCCCAGAGAAAAGCAACTATTCTAGTTCAAACTTTCTGCGTATTTCATCATCAAAGCTGGCTATATATACTCTCATTTATCAAATCATTATGCGTACTAGCGACTTTATACGGGTAAAGGCTATCACACTTTGACGATTGGCAATGGAAAGTTACCCGTGTTCAACCGCTTTTAGGGTTTATAGCCATTAGAATAGTATGTCAATATTTCAATTAATGCCACGAACATTTTTCCAAAGATAAGAAGATCATTTCAACGATCGGTAGAGTAAGATTATCTTCATGTGATTATTTCTAAACCCTTCAGTGCTGATCTCATCATTCATTTATATACTTGAAACAACTTTGTCTTTATTTTTTTTTGTGGACAGATCTCTCGTATTTTTAAAAAACGTCCTCATTTAGGTGCTTTGCTTGTCAATATCTTTAATTCGGCAGCTATAAATTTAGCAGCAAATTGTCTACCTCTGGCTTTTTGTTACCGGCTGACCCAGGACATCAAAACCATTGCCGGTTACTATTCCCCAAGCTTGATGTTGGAACTCTTGCATGCTGTCTACCCTTGGCTTTTTACCGGCTGACCAAGGATATCAAAACCATTGCCGGTTACTATTCACCCAGCTTGATGTTGGAACTCTCGCATGCTGTCTACCCTTGGTTTTTTACCGGCTGACCCGGGACATCAAAACCATTGCCGGTTACTATTCACCCAGCTTGATGTTGGAACTCTCGCATGCTGTCTACCCTTGGTTTTTTTACCGGCTGACCCAGGACATCAAAACCATTGCCGGTTACTATTCACCCAGCTTGATGTTGGAACTCTCGCATGCTGTCTACCCTTGGTTTTTTACCGGCTGACCCGGGACATCAAAACCATTGCCGGTTACTATTCACCCAGCTTGATGTTGGAACTCTCGCATGCTGTCTACCCTTGGTTTTTTACCGGCTGACCCAGGATATCAAAACCATTGCCGGTTACTATTCACCCAGCTTGATGTTGGAACTCTCGCATGCTGTCTACCCTTGGTTTTTTACCGGCTGACCCGGGATATCAAAACCATTGCCGGTAACTATTCACCCAGCTTGATGTTGGAACTCTCGCATGCTGTCTACCCTTGGTTTTTTACCGGCTGACCCGGGATATCAAAACCGTTGCCGGTTACTATTCACCCAGCTTGATGTTGGAACTCTTGCATGCTGTCTACCCTTGGTTTTTTTACCGGCTGACCCAGGATATCAAAACCATTGCCGGTTACTATTCACAAGCTTGGTGTTGGAACTCTGGCATGCTGTCTACCCTTAGTTTTTTACCGGCTGACCCGGGACATCAAAACCATTGCCGGTTACTATTCACCAAGCTTGATGTTGGAACTCTTGCATGCTGTCTACCCTTGGTTTTTTTACCGGCTGACACAGGATATCAAAACCATTGCCGGTTACTATTCACCCAGCTTGATGTTGGAACTCTGGCATGCTGTCTACCCTTGGTTTTTTACCGGCTGACCCAGGATATCAAAACCATTGCCGGTTACTATTCACCAAGCTTGATGTTGGAACTCTTGCATGCTGTCTACCCTTGGCTTTTTACCGGCTGACCAAGGATATCAAAACCATTGCCGGTTACTATTCACCCAGCTTGATGTTGGAACTCTCGCATGCTGTCTACCCTTGGTTTTTTACCGGCTGACCCGGGACATCAAAACCATTGCCGGTTACTATTCACCCAGCTTGATGTTGGAACTCTCGCATGCTGTCTACCCTTGGTTTTTTTACCGGCTGACCCAGGACATCAAAACCATTGCCGGTTACTATTCACCCAGCTTGATGTTGGAACTCTCGCATGCTGTCTACCCTTGGTTTTTTACCGGCTGACACAGGATATCAAAACCATTGCCGGTTACTATTCACCCAGCTTGATGTTGGAACTCTGGCATGCTGTCTACCCTTGGTTTAAACTATGTCTGGTATCCATTTGAACGAAATTGTTGACTGCAAACTTACAGGGATTCTTTTCCAAGCAATTATTAATTGAGGTCCAAAATAATGATTCAGAACATTAATGAACCGAGTCTGTACTTGCTATGAATTATAATTCTATACCCGTTTCAATAGTATCTAAAGATCATACCGAGTTGACTGAATGGCGACCTTCCAAACTCACTGTGGTGAATTTCTGGTACCAAATTGCGGAAAGAAATACTCTTAGCTAAATTGACAAATAGATCTGAGATGCGCCGTTTACCTGCGCACTAAATGGATAGGTAACTTCCTTCTAGCTGCGCATTTATTTTAATCCTAGCCCCGTTTATACTCTGCTCTTGAAAACCATATCGTTTAATTCCTTTTCGCTTCATCTTATCTTTTATAATAAAGCGTCTTTTAAAGATAGAGCGGTTATATGAATGAGAATGCTCCCTCAAACTATTTTGAAAAATTCTGCTTTGATATGCTTCTCAAAGACTTACGATACAGACTGGAAAAGTACGCTAAAATCTGGAAAATTTTCAAAGTTATAATAATTGAACTTTTTTTCTGTTTTTATATCAATATTTTGTATGACATTATGACCGAGATTTTTGCTGAATGAGTATAAGGTTTTAATCTAAAAGCTACATAGAAGCAAATAGGAAACAACAATCTGTCTATAATTATCATAAAATAAACATTTCAAATTGTTTATGTTGTTGTTAAGCATTCTCACCCTGGGATAAAATTGATTGATTTTAAAATCGATCGATCGATGATTGATTAGTTGATTTACAAAGTTAGTAAATCCTCCATTTACAAGATACAAAATTTGACTAGATTAAAGTAAAGTATATTTCCCTCTTTCCACATTGAAGTACCAATCATTAGTACTGTTCAGTAAACATGTGACTGCAAAATGCAAATTAGGAAATCTAGACTGATCAACAAATAAGTGTTTGTTGGAGTCAAGATACTTGTACAGCTGATCATTGCTGATTGTTGCTTCGTACAGTTCATCGTCAGTGGATCAGAGTTTCACTGTCGGCATGGATGTCGTTGTAAACAATTTTGAGTGCACTTTCTTGGATTTTATTCACATTAACATTTAGAGATTTGTCATGGAACATCCAAATTAGGGGGAAGTAAATTAACTGCACCCTTATGAAGCAATTCATTATCAGGAAACTCTTGCAAGAGCATGCCATTTTTGGCTGGCTCTTTTGGATAAATTTGAGACGTAATTTATGAAATTAGGATTTCCTTTTATTATCAACAGCAAAATTTTTCTTCAGAGCTTGCTCCGACAATAGTTTCCCTGATTTAGATCCCAATCATCGTAGTTTGTCCAAACAGGTGACGCTTTTTGGACACTATTTTTGACTTTTCTAAAACTTTCAGACAGTCAGCTGCAAAAATCAAAAATTGAAATACCAAATTACCAAAAATTGAAAACAGTATTTGCCGCTCACAGTCTCTTTTCATTTCATATGTAGCAAAATATTGATAAAATGGTTGACAACACTGAAACTACTTGGATTGCTATATGAAAATAATCAAAAAAATAATTTTAAATTTTTTTATCCGCAGACATCGTGAAGGTGAAAGTGATTTCCGAAGACTGTACTGATCTTAGTGGTTACTGTCCAAGAACGAGGGGGCAGATCTTTGTGAATGGTTACCAGTACAGCCAACAATTTAGAGGAATAAATGTTGCTGTATTTGATTACCGAAGTAGCATTCTAGAAAGGTCAGAAGGTTACGATATTTGGGGAGATCCTCTTAAAATAGATGCCTTAGCAACCATGCTAAACAGTTTGGCTCCTGATAAGTTATTCATTTTTTGTGCCAAGGATGCCATAAAAATGACTACAAGCTTAGCGAATGAGCTACAGAAAGTTGGTGTTCCTGCATCTGTTACTGAAATTGTTAAAGATGACATAACATCAGAGAAAATTTCGCTAGCAGCTATCTTTTATACTGGAGATACACGAATGGAATGGGAATACTCGACAAGCAGCAGGGGAGGAGGGGCTTCTATCATAGAAACTACTTTGTACCCTTTTCGAGACTACAAAGGCTTTACCGGTTGCAGCGAAGAAATTGGCCTCAGAATAGGATACATACCAGATAAGGGAATTTCAGCCCAATCTGTTTTTGATAATAATCTCTCAAAATTTGGTACGCAACATGCGAGACTGCACAGTGCTGAATCCTGGTGCGCAGGCCGATCTTCATCAGTGTCTGTATACTTGCAAGTCGACATAGGTATGCTGAAATTCATTTCTGGGGTTGCGATTCAAACATCACAATTAAGCCGTGAAAGCCTTCATCCAGTCAAACGATTTTATATTATTTACAGCAAAGATGGAGTCAAGTGGACTGAATTTTCGGAAGATGGAACTAATCGAAAAGTCTTTTTAGGTAATATCAACCTCAAGAGCCATGTAAAAGTAAACTGGTTTCTAAGAACACGGATGCGTTTCATTAGAATTGTGCCATTAGAAAGGCAAACTGACGAAAGCACTCATTGCATAAGAATGGAGTTATTTGGATGCGACTCGGGCGAAGTTGTCTTCGAAGAAACTTTTTCTGCCTCAAGCGGAAAAGAAATTGGGCAGCGTGTTTCAGGCAAGTTTTCATTTCAAGCAGGTGCCCCATTAACGCGTCAAGTATACGTTCACGTGTCTACATCTGAAAATAGAACAAGTCTTGCGAAAAACATAGAGCAGTATCATTTTCAGGACATGAACCAGACAGTAAGGGCAAGCAAGAACAATTCACTATCGGCAAACGCAGTGAATATAACGTATGTGACAGCTAACAGACTGGGAATGAAAAGCGCAGCAAGAATACATTTCAACTTGCCAAATCTTACAGATCATTACATTTATGACATTTGGATTCGATGTTGGGTAGGCAAATTCATCCTCTTATAGATCAACTTAGATTTCATTAATGTTATTTATTTTCCTATTACCTAAGTAGACTAAATTCACCCACTGAATAATATTGATTCCCGTGGGCAGCACTGATTCTGGCACCAAGGACCATAATTAATCACGCCCCTCTGAGTTCATCATTGTCACACAACATTCTTATTTGATCTATTTTAATATTTTTACTATTAAATTCAAGCAATTGAAATTTGATAAGATAGAAACTCTATAAAAAATTACGGAAGTTAGAATCAGGGAAGGTTTTTGAAGGTATTTGGGCCTGCAAATTACAATTTTTCTTGCCTCTTGCATAAGTTTTTACAGTACTTCCAAATAAAATTCACTTCCTAATATTTTCTTCTAATCCATATATGCAATTGTTCTGCTATTTTAAAAATTTTTGGTCTAGTTTACCAATATCCTGTCATGTTTCACGCGATTCTTCAATCTCATGCAAAGGTAACAAAAGCTAGGCCTACCTAGGTAATTATGAAACCAATATTTATGTCAAGTGAGTGAGAATTCTGGTTTTTAAGCTTTGCATTGGTAGGCATTTTATCAAGAATTCTAGAAATGTTGCATTTCTTGTTAATTTTAAGAATTTCTTGTTGTTTGCCCTTGCTTGCTTCCAAATGATTTTCTTTCAACCATTGTGAAGCCATCTGAATATCTTGATCTAAACACATCTCAATTTCACTGTTGTTTTCTTCAAAGTAATACAACTAATGATCGTTGGCATGCTTATCTGACATATATGAATGCTTTACCTTGAAGACGAAGTCATTTTGAAAAAATATTCCATAGAAAGGGTCAAATGCTGCTCCTTTTAGGCATGACTTTGTTATTTCTTTCTTTGACTTAAATAGATGTGCCCAAACTTTAAAGAATCTGGCTAGTACTTGAAAGCATCGTGTCTCCTCATGTCTCCTCGATTGGAAAGTGTAAAGAGAATATAGTAAATCACACACATGCTATTTATATTCATTTAAATTGCAGAAGACAATCGTTAATGCGACTCGAAATGGCTCCACAGTAATATTGAATGAAAACGGAAGCAAATTATATTACCACACTTGATATTGATAGACGATATTGATAGAAAATAACATGATGAATCTTATGATTTAAGCATTTGCAGTCAAAATTTGACGTTGTCCGGTATTTGGTTAAAGTTCAATTTTGTCCGAGTTGTATTTCAAAATTTAATTTTGTCCAATTTACGCTTCAAATATTTATGTTATCCAATATTTGCTTCAAAAGTTTATAACTTTGAGTAACTTATTCTGCAGGTAGTTGACTCGAAGTTGAATTCCAGCACTGTTTGGAATACATACTCGTACGAAACAAGTGATAGAGTTTTGGCTGTAGCGCTACCATTCGCAATCAAACGGAGAACCCAGGATTACTCTTTAATCGCTCTGAATATCAGTACAGCTCCACAAAATGCAATAGCCAGTGGTGATCGCATTGTACTCAACATTTCGTTGACACCTTGGATGAACGCAGCTGAGATAGGACACTCGAATGCATACGAATTGGATCTGTTGGTCTACTTCGAAGAAACTTTTCTTAATCTCCGCTCTATTGAATTTCTTCGATTGGATGACGGCAGCCTTCTTCCTTCCCGAAATACCACCTCTTTTGGCTTTATTCGAATAGAAACCGACACCTTTGGACCCATAAGCAAGCAGAATTTCCAGCTCACCTTTGACGCAAGCATTCCTTCTTCGATTAACAAAGACAGCAAATGTAATACGAATATCATCTGGGAGTTCAAGTATCGAACAAATTTGTTGAAATACAATGGAGAACTGAAAAAGGTTTTAGAAAATCTCCTCCCATTCAACTGTCAAATACCAAACAAGGCAAGAGCTGTGACGTCAACGAACCGTCTTTCCCTACCTACTTTGAGCATAGTCTATGATGATGTGAATAACGACGTCATCATTTGCAAAAAAGATCTTTCTTTAGCAACATATTATCAGGCAAGCTGTTTCTGGCAAGGAAGCAACAATCTCACATGGCAAGCTATACCAATGATGTATTCCGTTGTGGGCGTTGACACAAGTAAGCGACACCTCTATGGCATTGACAATGCAGGTGAAGCATATGTTCGTTCTAGCTATGATTTCAAAAGTGTCAAGTTTGTTCAGGACGACGAGTGGACAGCCATCCAAGGTCATGACTCTATCAGAAAGGCCAAAAGCACAGACAACCTAGCAGCATTACCAATCAGTCCTACAGATAACTGGATACTGCCTTCTCGTGATAATCAAGTTCTTGCAGTAACAGCTGGAGGGGTAAAAAGAATGTTCAGGAGTGGCTGGAAAAAAACTGTTACGTTTTGAAAGATGGGTGTTGTTTGTACGGTTTCTCCTTCATGCAGAAAATGGAAGACAAGGATATTTATTCCGCTATTTTGAGATTTTCTCAAGTACTTAAAAGTTTTTATGCTTAAACTTAAACAAAAAACTTAAACTAAAAAACGGTGGGGGCTGTGGGGGGTGCGTAAGGTTTTGGAAAGGAGCTTTGGGGGCTGATAAAATTTGACAAAGTCTTCTGGTGTAAGACTGCAGTGTTCGAGTAAAACATTCTTAGTATTGAAACATTTAAACATTTTGAAAGCAATACGCACCATATTTTGAATAAAGCACAGCAATGCGTTATTCAAAGATTTGGCGAAATCAACCCAACTGACAACACGAATGATTAACTGTTATAGTCGGGTGTCAGTTTAGAATATAAAGATTAAGATGGCGCTTGCAATTTGGAATGATAGAAGAAAACACCATACAAAAATTATACTGTTTTTGTACAATTGATTGTCAAGGCGATCATCTGCTTTTTGTTATGATGAATCACTTTAACTGAATAACAATTCTTTTGTACAATAATAATTAAAGAGCATCATCTTTACATTATTTTTACTTTTCGGAGTAAGTCAATCTTGGTCTGCTTTCCCTGTTGCCGTAGTCGAGACTCGTAAGAGAATACTTCATGGGGCTTACCCTCAAAGAGATCTACTACAGAATAATGAAACATAGAGCATAGCGGAATATAATCGAACATAGTTCAACAAGCAATTGTCCAGCCACGGGAGTGTAACCCTACATCCTTATTCTTGTATAGCCTGTTGTCACCATTTTTAGGGTTCAACAATAATCAATTCGCACAGTGTGTTGAATCATATGTGTGCAGTGTAAAACTATATCAACCACTTGTGAGATCTAATGCGAAAACAGAAACAACTGAAAATTATTTAAAAGAGGATCACCATGTAAAAAGCGCAAAAAACATTGTTAATGTTTAATGACAATAAATATCTAGAATAATACATTTATAAGCTACGCTTAACCAGTTTGTTTTTTTCTCATCTTTTTTTTTTGAAAAGCATGCTGAAACCATGACTGCCTATCAGCCTTAGGACAATCCAATTTTTGGCACTTTTTTAGTAATGAAATGATGTACAGCTGGTTTGGGCTACCAAAACTCCTGCTAAAACATTTTCCAGGATGTGCGGAGTGTCTCCAATTCTTTGGGAAATATGGAATTATACAAGGGTAAGAACCTCGTTGAAAAAATTTTCAATTGGCGTGAAGTACTTTTTCATCAAGCATTTTAAGGCCACACCCAAATCTTGGCGATATTTTTTAGAATATGTGCAATGATAAAGAATACTTTGAGGCAATCGACAAATACTTGAGTGACTTAAGCCATTTGTCAATCAATATTAGCCAATCACTTGGCATGTAAGTGCCATAATCACTGATTGGTCAATAAATGATTGGCAGACGACTTAGGCCACTTTAGCCATTTGTCAAATCCCAGTTATTTAGCCCGTTCTACGGTTAGAAAATAGCTGCAAAATCTGCAATACCCAAGTGTCAACGTAATTTTGAGCTGGGAACTCAATAGGCAAACATGTAAAAGTCAGGTTGACAGCGGTTCTAATGGGTTCCGCCTTTATCTCCTTAGAGTTTTTCACTATCTCATTATTTGGCTCTTGCATAAAGAATCTGTCTGTTTTCATTGAAATGATTTAGCAACGTCATTACCAAAGGCAAGACCGACAAATAAGTAGTCAGCAGAATTATTAGGCAAGTTTATCGACAGCAGAAAAGAGAACATCTCGTTATGTTATTGTTATTGATGTTTAACAAGAACCTCCACACAGTAATGTTAATTTGGAAATGCCCATTCGAGGTATGAGTAGGAATGCAACTTTTCTCATGGCGTGCAATCTGGCTCGGAGCGAACAAGGTGTGCTTCTCGTACCAATTGGGTGTCGCCCATTCAAGATTTGCTCATAACACGACATCAAATCCAGCTTGCTAGGTGTGAGCTAAAGCTGAACCTATAGTGTGAGCTAGGCTCGACAAAACCTAAAGTGAAGGTGAAATGGAAACACTCAATTTTATGTGCGAAACTAGGCTAAAAATGGCAGCCTATTTTGTACTATTAGTCCTAATGAAAATGCTGAGATATTTACTTTATCGTCATCCGTCAATTCTATGATGTTTTTTATATCTAATGGATCAATTTATTCTACCAAGCAACCCAAAATCACCCATTTATTTATCAGTATTTGAGAAAGCAAACATTTTGAGACATTCTAAAGCGTTTCGTCTGGCACTCTTCAGAGTACAAAACGTCAGAACACAGATCAAAAACTCTACGCTATCAAAGATATATACCCAGTTGTGGATGAAGATTGCAAATCAGAAACGCGAGCACATGACTGTAGAGGTTGCCAATCAGTGCGCTTGCTTATTGAATTGAAGATGTTACCAATGGAGTCCTAATGTGAAAGCCAACTCCTTTTGTATATACAAAAGCGGATTTTTTCGAGCCTATGTAGATAGATTCCAAAACTGCTAGATGGGACGAGGGTCAGGCTTTAAAAATGATCCGAAACATGTCGCCTTTATAGTTTATTGCACAATCTGGGTTTTCCAGCAAATGGTTCCCGATAGCAGAATGGCAGGTTTTAGTTTTACTTCTAGATCTGCAAGATCGAGGTGGCTGTTCACTTTGCGGATGAGTTTTGTTTTTAATGCTGGAAGAGACATACTGTTTATTCTGTCCCTCCATCTTTGAATAGTGCTTTCTACGTAGCCAGAGTCGCACTGGCACATAGACTCATACCTCTATCTCAAGCCCACAACTACCTCTAGTTCAACTAAAGGAATAGAAACACCACGAAACCTCACACTTTACTCTAGTTTTCAAACAAAAAAACCAAGAGAACAAACTACTCTATTTCATTGCACATATTGTTGTAGAATGTGTACAAGTAAAACATGAAGAAGTATGTTAGAACTTAGAAGAGACCATAACTTATAGCAAGCAAACATTTTTGTTCGTCTGAATCGTCAGAGTATAAAACTTTAGTATAATTACAGAGTATAGTTTGCATGTATATTGATGGTAATGGAACCCTATCCTCAGGAACGTCACTTGACGGAGGGGATATAGGGGTGTTCACCCCCAAAAAAGACCACAGAAATAAGGCCTTATTGCTGGGAAGGTCTGAGTTTGGCAAATCTGCTTTCTTGCAATGTATATGATTTGTTGTTTTTCTTATATAACTGTAGCGAGAAGGTATTATTTGCCAGTGACACAAAATAGAAGTAACAAGCGTTAGTTTGAACTTAAGGGAATAGATTTCTGGTGAAGAGTAAAAGTGCTAACTGCCACAGAAAAATCTTAGAAAGAGAAAATAGGTCCAATCAAGAGTGAACCAGTGAAAATATTCACATATTTTATCCAAATGTAAATGAGACAGTTAGCAAATAAATATGAGAAAGATGATGTCGAGAAATACATATCAAAAGTAACTCAAAAGTAACATTATCAGAGCTGAATCTTATGGGTAATCAATACACAGAAAAGCTTAAAGTGCTCAACCCTAAAAAAGCTGCAGGACATGAAGGCGTTACAGCTAACGAGCTAAGGGCGCTTGCCAACCATGTAGCTGTAGGTGTCGACTAGGGTAGGCAAACTCAAGCAAGAACAATACCTGAGAGGGGACAGGATTTAAAACTAGAGATCAGATATATATACAAAAAACAGATATAATTCAAGCTCATGACATTATAATTATGCCAGCTTTTCAAAATATCATTTGAATTTGAAAAAATATAGCCCGAGGGGGCAAGATGTTGTCAAAATCCCCCCATGCCCCCTGCAGCTACATGGCTGGTGCTTGCTGATGATATGGGTGTATGTCTGGCAAATATATGCAGACAAAGGATACCTTGAGATAAAGTTCCTATCAACATGGAAAATTGGTATACTGAAGCCAGCATACAAAGCAGGTTAAAGAGTAGAGAGAGGAAATTACCGCCTCTTAACTATGCTGCCCACACCCAGCCAGATGTACGAAGCCGTTATATGTAATCAACTAGATGATCAGCTGGAATTAACAAGGCAAATAAATCACTGGGTGTACAGGGAAGGATCATCAACGTTGTCCTTGTTACTTTTCTTATCAGAGGTATGGAAAAATGCGATAAATGATGCATTTGTTCATTGACTGCAGCAAGGCCTTCGACTCATTAGACTATCAGATCCTAAAAGAAAAACTGTAAGCAATCAGAATCACAGGGCAACTTTCTCATCTTTTCGAAAACTGTTTAGAAGATCGACAACAGTTTACTGAGGTAAATGGGGTGGCCTCTGAATTTGAAATCGCTAGATAAACAGTCGATTATAAAACGGAATGCAAATTACTGGGGGTGTACATTGATAGTAAGTTGAAATGGAATACATAAATAGAGAAAGCCAGAAAGATATTTACAGTTTACAATGCAATGTTAAGAAAGATAAAGTTCCTACCAAGTGATATACTTGAAAAATTTACCTCACTATGATTGTTCCAAAAATAACATATGGCCTGCTGGTGTTGGGAACATGTTCAAAGAATCTACTACAGAATATCAAATGTCAGCACAAAAAAGCAGCTAGGACTGTTAGGAAAACAAATGAAAAGGTCAAAGAGGTAAAGGTACATCAAATTAATGTTGAGTAGAAGGAAGACTGCTGTTGGGTAAGGGAACTACTGTAAATATGAATAAAGACCTTGACACTTTTATGTTTCTAGTAACTAGTTAGTTGAGATATTTGAAATAGAGAAGTGGAATTAGGTTTTAGATTAAAAACTAGGGTTTAGTTTTACAATTATTTTTGCTTAGATCTTTTAGGTTGCAGGCCGCATCAGCCAACAAGAGGCTGCCAAACAATAAACCTGCGTTATAAAATGAAAAAATGTAAAATATTTATTTCTTAGTTGTTCTTATTCTTGTAATTTCAATAAAGCTCTTTTATCATAAACCTTGTATAAACTTTTTTAAAATTTACAACTCCATGGATGGAAGAAATCAAAATGTTAGAGGTTGCTGGCGTCTGTTGCAGGGCCGCACTTCCCACTGTGCCCATCGGAACGGTCCCGAGGGGACCAGCTAACCACTAGCAAGACTAGCACGACTAGCAAGTTAAAAGGTAGAGAAATTCCGTCGCTTTAATACAACATATGTAGTATGTATAATAACAAAACAAAACATTTAAATAAAGCAGATATAACATCATGGTCTACAGTATCATCAGCTCAATTCTTTGATTAGTGTTTCTTCGATAGAATAAACGTGTTTTTCGGACAGATGATCTTGAGATAAAATCGTCTAGCAACTCATCAACTGGAATGCTAGGGATTTATTTGATTCAAATTATCCTTTAACAATAGATAAATTTCACATTTTTGAGACTTAGAATGTACATATACCTTCCTTCAGCTGCTCTGCGCTGAATTTTCAGCCCAGTGGCGGATTTCAAACGAAATTCCCAGGGGGGGGGGGGGGCGGGGGGGCTGAGCAATTCCCAGGCAATTCCAAGGGGGGGGGGCTCGAGCCCCCGAGCCCCCACGTAATCGGCGCCTATGGTTGTGTCTTTTATGTGTGAAGGACTTTTCTTTACTTTTATCCTAAGATTATGATAAATGCAGAATGAAGGTTTTTCTGTAAGACAACAGCAACCTCCTTTGACTATCAGTGCTCGAAAACAAATTATTAATAAATGGTCATAAGCAAAAAAGAGAGGTCTTACAATGAAAAAATCAATAAAATAAATCATTCTTTAGCAAAAATATAGCTTCAAACTTTCGATAGTTCTCATTTTCTTTTTTGACTTTTCAAACTTTTGGCAGGGCAAATATTTTTCCAGGGCAAATACGTAGCGGAGAAGGGGGCTGGAGGGGCTACAGCCCCCAATTTTTGCCAAAAATACAAAAAAATTAAGTAATTAACCACCAATCAAGTCTCTTTTTATTCGGTTTCAGTCCCCTCCCACACTTTTTTAGACTCAGTGTCCATCCCCAACTTAATTTGTGAAGTGACGCCCCTGCCTATCCGAACTATACCCCTTAGGGTTCTAAAAGACTTCTCTATGTTCTTTTCGCGGGTCAGTGCTTATGATAAACAATGTTCGCTATTGCAAATCTTCCTCAACTAAGGCTCATGAAAATGCATGATTTTTTATTTTCCGGCTGGGGACTAGGATGTTTTAATCAACGATTGGCTACACATACCCCCTTAACCTCCAACTAGCACAGAATAGAAATTAGGCCTATTTCTTTGATATATTCTGTGCTCCTAAGCCAAGGGTAGAAAGTGAAATTCAAGATTGAAATTACGTGGCCTAAATTATGTGGTACTGTGGAAGAGGGCTTCATCAGTCTTGTTAAAATAAAGAGATATTTTGGGGGCTCAGCTCCAGGGGCGCAGTGGGAGTTAACTTTTTGGGGGGGCAAAGCTGAAAATTTTCCGATAAAACTATGATTTTTCCGAAAAAAATTTTCTCAATACATTCCTTGAAGATTACCCTTGCTGCATATACTGCAACACTTGATACTACAATATCACGAATGGATCTGGAAATCGTTAACGAATGGATCGTTCGTTTTACACCTTCAAGTTCAACAATAGCCTTTATTCTAACCGATTCTAACAAAACTTACCAAAAATAAATCGCTATAAACAAAACTGCAACTAGTTATTAGTTTACACCCTACAAGTCTTCTCGCTATACTAGACAATAAACTGTCAAGTTAGTGTTTATAGCTGTTTATAGCAAAAAGTTTTTTGGCAAATTTTAAATCCCATCATAATTACTTTGCATTTATTTATGCTAAACCTTGAATAGATATAACGCGTCCAAAAGAACAGTTTTCTTTAAACTGAAATTTATATAAACTGTTACTCAAGCAGCATCTTTCTCAAAATATGTGTGGCAGCATACAAATCGATGATGTCACCATAGTCTATCGACTGTAAAATATCACTTTCGACGTTGATTGTTATCAGAGAGGAAAGGCGGTCTTGTCCCATCGTTGACCGTAGCCGATTTTTTTACAATCCTCAGCTTTGAAAAAGCTCCTTCATACTTTATTGAACCTATTGGCAAAGTGACGAGAACCTTGTAAAGAAGGACCAGCTGTGGAAAGGCACTTTGCAGGTTATACTTATCATCAACTGAAGAACTGAATGGAACTGAAAAGTCTTCTCTTTCTCTACCCTGGGTACCAGAGCTTCATTATTTTTTAATTTTAATTTTTGCGGCTCTGGTACCCAGGGTACTCTTTCTCCTGCAGCCGGGAGAGGGTTGCAACTTTCCAAAATTTACGGTAATTATTCACGAAAGAGCTGTACTCATCTCTTAATTTTTCGTCATCCAGGCCGTAATTCTTCGCAAACTTTTTGAATTACACTGCACACAACTGCCTTTCAATTGTTTTTTGAAAACATTCAGGGTTGAGCAAAGCAAAATCTGTCAAAATCGCCTTATGAGACGTGAATCTTGTATTCATTGAGCTGATAGCTGTATCTACTATCACGATGATATACGGATTCCCTATTTCCTTCTAATTCATCCATGCAATTTTCCCCTGGCACCTTTTTCTTTCTGCGTATTCGTCGCTCGACAAAACTTTCCTTTGCTAAGTCATGGCGAAAATATTAACTTTTTGCGTCTTCTACAACACCAGCGAATTCATTACGAAATGAACTGAGTTGAATTTTAACTGTCGGAAATGGGAGTTTATAAAAAAAACTGAGACCAGAGCGTTAATTTCCTTTACAAATTTCAGCAATGCGAAGATTCCGATGAATACTCTAATGAAAATAAGTAAGAAGGGTTGAGCATGCCCTATTTTACGACAGGTTTAAAAAATATGCGACCTTTCGGACAGGATCGATGAAAACCTTACATTTTGTCTAATATTTCAAATTTTCCGACAAACGTTGGATTCTCCGACAATCCGACAAAATTTTTGCCAGGGGGGCGGCTGCCCCCCTGCCCCCCAGCCACTGCGCCCCTGCCCCCCAGCCACTGCGCCCCTGCTCAGCTCCCTTCCTTAACAAATGTATGTTTAGGCTATCTATCCTGCAACCTCGCTGAGCCTGCGCAACCTCGCTGTGCCTGCGCAGCAGCATTATACCAAAACAAAAAAAAATTGACTCGCGACTATTCAAGTACAACAAAATGCAAACATGAAGAATTCAAGTTTGAAACCGAAAAATCACACTAAACTGTTGCTTGAGTTTTGGGTTTACAGTTTCAAGTTAGGAAAACTTTATTTAGATTGTTGTTCTTAATGGTTAAGTTTTATTTTTGCGGCTTCTCTACTGTTTTCGAGCACGGCCATCAGCTGTCATTGTCAATATTGTTCCTGAAGGTGACGTGGAGTTTAGATCGACATTGTGAAGAAAATGGGGTTTCTTTTACAGCTTCGACTTTTGCTCTGGAAAAACTACATCTTGAAAAAGCGGTCACTGGTATGTTCATATCTGTTTTTTACCTCTTGCATATCCTTTCAGTCGGTTCAGTCGGTTCAGATATTTTGGTGAAGCGGTTTGGACCTTAGGTCTATAAATTTCCCCTCTGGCTAGGTTAAAGCCCTTCCTCTGGGCAAACGTTTTAGAATCATAGGCTTAATCAGTTGATTATTGATTTATGATATAACTTTCTGCCTACCCTTTTTAATTTTGAACGGTCTCTGATTGATTTGGTTCAGCGAAATGGTGACCATTATGGTCTCACTTGTGAAAAATAATTGCTAATCTTGAACTATTTTGATATTCTGAAACAGTATCTATCTAAATTCTCTTAATTTGTCAAAAGTGATTTAGAAATGTCAAATGTGTCATTATTGCATCATCAAGATTCAAAAACTGATATGATAATTTTTATAAAAATATACTAAATGCTTGCTGTTTAGTAAAATAGCTTATGGGTTATTTGTTGTATATACTCGAAACCCTCTTTATGAATTATAATTCATTAGATAATTAAAAAAATCATGTGAAGTCTGTATGTCACATCTTATTTATTTGGCATGTATCTGCCTATGTGGTATTATTTTATGAATTCAAATTTGATACTTTTGCTTACTCGTTTAAAGTTTTATTTGAATTTCCTTGGACCTATATGTTTGCCTTTTTGTTATTTAATATAAACCTGTTCCTTATTTTTGCCTAGATGCTTGTCTTATTTGAGATACTGATTCCTTTGGTACTCTTCAAAATTCTTATGGGGATACGACTCCATAGGCCTCCTTATAGCAGCAATGAAAGTAAGTATCATTTAATGTCACATAATATGATGTAACAACTTTTGTTCGTGCAATTGAAATATAAACCTTTTTCATGATCACTTCAAACAGTGTTTCTTCATTTAAAGGCCATTTCAATGCAAAAGCAATGCCCTCGGCTGGTGTTCTTCCTTTGCTGCAGTCATTTTGCCCAAATGCAAATGAAAATGTGAACAAGCATGGTTATACAGAATTTCCCAAAGCATCGTAAGTAAAGTTAATAACATAGAGTAGACTTCATATTTTAGTGCAAAAGCTAAGACCAAATTTTTATGGGAATCCACCATCTTACATCTCTGCAAACTAATCATATTAAAAATGCCTTTGGCACCACAAAATTTGAAAATGGCATGGAAAAGTAAAAGCATGTCATAGTTAAGTACCTTTTGTTTATAACTTCTTAGATCATAAGTTTAAGTAATGTCTGATCACTGTTTACTGGTCTCCTGTTAATTGCTTGATGCCATATCTGTACATGGGTTTGGTGTATAGAACAGGTCAGTTCTAAGTTGGTCTCCAAGTTTCATGATTAGTATGATGATCAGGCAACACATCTAGTAATGCTAGTAAATGTAGGCCATGATTAATCTCTAATCATGAATTTAGGATACCCAACTTCATATTGTTGCAATCATAGACCTTTAGATCAGTTTGCTGTCTACTGCATAGGGCACCTATCCTTTTTTACTTGCATTCATCTTTACGGCTATTGATAGATTTATATATAAGACTTAGACAATGGCCTGGACAATTTGTAAATAGCTACCAATATTGTTTCTACAATTCTGTCACATGATACTCACAATGTGATCAGTTGATAATCTCTTAAGAGTAATGCTAGAAGGTAGAGAGGTATAATACTACTTCCTGTCAGCAAGTAGCAGTATGGGAATAAGTACAAGGATACCCCATTTAAGTCAAAAGGAGTCTGCAACACATTTATCATGACATTAAATGACTATGGTTGCATCAAGGATCAAATCACCAGAGACAGCCTAATCAAAAAAGATGAAACAATACACATCAAATAGCAACTTTCTTTTTCCTTGAAAATTTCTAGTCCTGTAATCAAAAATATATTGAGCCTGTACTTTCCACCAAACTGGTCAAGATCTATGACTCCAACTTCCAAGGATCTTGATTGTCTCCCACTCTGTGCTTATTGTTGAATCAACCAAAAGCCCTGTTGCATGTAATCTGTTTACAATCTGCTGAGCCCCCACTACAAACACATCAACCATGGTTCCTGGTTCCTGGTTCCTGGTTATTTGCAAAATTATGCAATATTTTTTCCAATATTTCACCCTCTCTTAAATTTTAGTAGATTTTCCTGTAATTTAATCAATGCAAATTATGTTGTTATTCTCACTTACATCATTCTCATGATCATCCTGATAATTGGCATCATCATCATCATTTCATAATTATTGTGTTTGTGGGTTTTTGAGACCAGTTTAAATGTTTATCCTTCCTTAGTACTTTTACTTCACTTTTACTTCACCCCACTTCAAAAGAGCTTAACACCTTGTCAGGATTGCGGATTGAATAAAAAGGTTTTGAAATAATCCTAGGGCTAATCTGCAGTGGAATCTTGATGTTATGAAACCCCGATACGAGTAAACTAATTTTCCGGTAGTATGACGAAAAATGTCTGGCCCCTTGGATTCTGCGCGTAACTCCGTACAAATTCTTTTGGTATAACGAATCCCGTATATAACGAACTCTCGGCATTACGAACCTAATTGTACGTCCCTTCATCGTAATATTTCTCAATATGACGATATTTTTTTAATTTTCACCGTTATTTTGTTTCACCGTTTCACCGTTATCTTCCCTATTCTCTCTACTTCGCCTCCGCAGCTCTCATTATTTTTTGCTGCCGTTATATTTTTGCGGCTCTGGTACCCAGGGGACAAGCCAGCATGCTATATATTCCCACGAAAGCCTGCTGTCCATTGACGCTTATACCATATTGATAAAGAGTAGAGAATCTTTGAGTGCTAAAAGCATCTCTTTCGATTTGTCTTCTCATAAACTGACAAAATATACTTGAAATGTCGATAAAGTTTATGCGCCAAAAATTTATTCGACGAATTTTGTCTTGTTAATGTAGTTCACGAACTGAACCATTTGACCCTTACAATTGATCTAAAGCGATTTTCACCCAGCGCAACTGCAACTTCCAAAAATCTTCATTTATTTTAGGAAAAGATCAAAAAAGGAAAGGATAAACGTAAAATGAAATTTTCAACCTAAGTAGGCTATTTTCTTAATCAATCCAAGACAATAATCTGTTTTCATTTTTGAACTGTTTTTATTGCTTACACTGCACATTTGCCATTTACTTTGCGCCGTTTTTAAAGTCGTTTTTAATTGCGTCCATTCTAATAGCGAAACAATATGAATGCGAGACCAAATACAAATTATTTCAGTGTCAAATTATTTAAAACTGATTTTATCAATGCTGCAAAAATGATGCAACAGGAAGTCTTGGTACTTCAGCTTTAACTTTTTATCTCGGTACACCTCAACATTGCTAGGGCGCTGGCCCTTGCGAGACCGCATTAAAATCTCAGACATAGGGAGAATTTAACCATCCACACCTGGCAATAAGGAATGTTGAGAAATTTCATACGTGACTTAAAAAGATTGGCATGTGTGCTATACGACTTTTCTCTCGTGCAACAACGCTTGTTTGTGTCTCCAGAGATCCCGGAGAAGGGGGCGCGGGGGTCAACTGCCCCTGTTGCCTTTTGAAAGGAAGGGCAAGGGGGCCAGAGTGCCCTTTTCATTAAAATGCCCTTGAATCGGGCCATTTTTGTTAATCAGAGAGATTCATATCAAACTTTGATTGTAGGGCCTATTTCATGACGACATTTCTCAAAACTTTTAAAATTATTCCTTATGCCAGATGTTAGCCAATTTTCAAGATACCTACAGAAGATCGAAATAAAATGGTAGTTGCGAAGCAATTAGTAGAAGCTGGGAATGATCCTTCAAATGGTCTTTTACTGAAGCCTGCCCTCTTGCCCCTTGGCCGTTCGAGCGTTCTTCTGTGTCTCGTGGCATCATACCTCTACCATGCCGCAACCTCTGCCTGAACCATACCTCTGCCATGTCACAAGCGTTTAACTTTGCTTTAGCCAAGAACGGGAAATTCAGTATGTTCTATGCCTTGCCAAAGGACATACCATTCTCAGTCCTGGTTATTTTACTGTTTTTTGTAAGAGGTTCCGGCTCCTGTGAAAGTTTGAGCTCTGAATACACTCACAAATAGATGACACCCGTCTTCCCTTCACGCGAACGAGTACGTTGTCGTGGTACTGAAATGTAGAGTTAACGTCATCTTAGCATGGTGGTCTTTTTACACTTTTCTTTTTTTATTAAATATTGATATTTAGATCATCAGAGTATAGTTTATGATTCCAATGCATAATGAGCAGCAGAGCTTCTTTTCATTTGCTCAACCGTTTCCTTCAAACTTTTAAGCTATTATTTAATGAATTACAGCTTGTGAAAAATTCTTAGTTTTTAAGAAATCTGAAGGGCACTTTTTACAGTTGAATCGATTTTTTCGGGTAATAGTTTTCAAATGTATATATTTTTCTATCTGATGTGATAGATTCTTCTTATATTTGTGATAGAAAGAAGATTAAATCGCTGCTTGGACACATAGCTGATATATATAACAGCAGTGAAATGGAAGGAATTAAAGCTATTCAGCATCTTCATTCTGATCTGAAAGACCTGACCCAAAATGCAGATTTGTCAAGTGATTCAATTAGAAATATTAGAGGTATGTTAGATGTTTCCGAAAACTTCCCTGAAATCGTTCATAGCTTTCTTAAAAGATAGACAGAACCCCATGTTTTTACGTTGCAAGATATTTTCGATCTTCCCACACCACTTGCACACCCCATGCTTTTAATTTTGTTTCTTGATTCAGTAAAAAGTTCCTATTCTGGAAATAATTGCAAGTTCGTACTGCTCTCCCACAATGAATAGGCTGTGTTGAAACTTTCAAATGTCGAAAATTATTTTAAAAATTTACTTTATTCGTTGTCCTCAAGTCTGAAAGCAAGATTGCGTTTATTCATTTGTTGCATCATATAGTGGTAAATTTTTAGCTACTCTAGATTTACGACAAAATCTAATTATGGAAAATTTAGAAAATTTTTACTTTGGGAAATCCATCTTTTCCATGTATTGACTTTGCAAAACATCGAAAAATTTTGTAATGCTTTAAAGCAAGTTTTTTGTAATAGCTTATTTATAACTTTGATATATTTCTTCTGAACCATTTGATCTATTCTGAACGATCAGACTGTTTGATCTATTCTTAATGATAAATTTATTATTAAAGTATTGCTGGCTTAATCTTTGTAGAATATTTGATTTTGTCTTTAGTGAATTCTGTTTTAGCAGCATTCAAATGAATTAATTTTTAAAGTTCTGCTTGCAATTTCATGCTTTTTAAGCAAGAAGCTAGAAAAATTTGTGAACCATCGCTAACTGAAAGTAATAGTGTAATTAAAATGCTTTAGATTTTAGATTGGCAAGGGTGTTGCGGAAACCAAATGAAGTTAGAAAGTTTCTGGTTACCAATTTTTCTATGTCTGAGGATTTAGCTGACATTCTTTTAGAATCAAAAATGAATGGAACAGAGGTATGGAATCCATAAAGTCATAGAGGATGTCGTAGATTGTAACTGAAATATTTGATTAAAATGAATGAATTTTATATGAAGCTGATGAATATGAAAATGAAAATTTATATGAAAATGAATGATTCAAATGAATGAATTTATATGAAGCTGGCTATCGCTACATATCGCTACATCTATAAATAGGAAGCAAATCGTAATGCCTTTTTTGTTTCCAGACAACCAATCAAATTTTGTTTTTTGCATATAGCTCAATTATATGGATATAACTACTATTGGAAGTTTGTGATGGACGTAATCTTGAATATTTGCTTTGACCCGTTCATGTTGCCTTATGTAAAATACAAGATAGTACAAATCTTGTTTTGCATCGCTTGACATAGTGTTTTCATCAATAAATCGATAGGTTTCTCTTGCCATTTGTATTTTGAATTGTTCAGTAAAATGCATTTACGTCGGTTAGTTTACGTCCTCACTATCTTTGTTTGTAGAATCGAGGTTAGCCTCTACATGTTGGTTAAGATGAAATTTAGCTATCAAGCAACTCAAGTCTTTATTTTGTTTAACTTTTTATTGCTTTTTACTTGCTTTACTACAAAATTGATCAATCGGTGACGATTCTCTAATGCTTAACCCCCTTTCCCTGGTTTTCTAAAATGATCATGAAATTTTTCACAGATTTCAAGGTTTCTACTTGAAAAGCAATTTAAAGAAACGATTCAAACGCTACTGTCTCATAAAGAGGATCAAAAAACTCGCCTTACTAAACTTCGCAATGCCGTAATTCTTCAATACATGTTTGATAAGGAATCGCTCCTTAATGGACCAACGTGGATGAAAATCGTTGCATCTTCATTGTTTCCCTATAACTCACTAAATCGTACAAGTATGCAAAGAATATTCACGGTGCGTTATGCTATTATTTCTTTAATATACCCCTCAATTGATTCTGTATAATGTTCTAATTACGGTTCTAGTATTTTGAATTGAAAGATGAAATGATTTTAGTGTTTTGAAGGATATTTTGATGGTAAGAATGCAACTGAAAGTTATCCGTTCATCCACTCGATTTCATCATTTTAAACTATTTAATAGGTTTTACTATCAATCATATTTTAATGTTTAAGAAATCAACTTTTCTTATTATTATGCCTTTGCTGTGTATACCGGTGTATTTCTTGTGTATTCAAAGCGTTTAGCCCATAAAACTGCTCAAACCCCTTGCTCTTTACAGGACTCTTTCCTCTCTTCTACAAGTTTTCAAAATAAGAGTTGTATGCTGGAGTTTGAAAAGCTCTTGGTTTTTGGCAACGCTTCGTCTAAACAAAGGGTAAGCAAATATCAGCTTTTCTAGTTTTTAAACTTCATTGATTTATCTTTTCCAAGGCAAACATTTTTGATTTTAGCCTAATGAAACAAATATTTTTATATTTTACTGAGAAGTCTGATTCAGAAATTTAAGCATAGCTTTTCTTGAAATGATATGTTTTTCTTATTCGCTTGACATAAGAAGCTTCATAGCCGAGCATACTTTTTAAATGCAAGTTCTTTTTTGACAGGCTGAAATCCAAAGAACTCTATGTAAACTTGACGACCGGCAATCAGACTTGCTGCTTAAAGCACTCAAAGACAGTATTAATTACACTGCCTTGTTTGACGCGGTGAGTTTCCCCAGGTCGCATTGTATATCAATATGTTATTTCTAAAAAGTCAGTAACAATAACTTAAATATTTGTTATTAACATAGATTTGGTATTGCTAAGAAAATGAACATTCAAAATGGTGAAAAATAGGCAATTCGTGTCGATCCTTTGTCATATCTTTTTGTCCATTCTTCTTTTTCTTTTTTTCTTTGTTCAGTGTCTCAATTTTTTTGTCCATTCTTCTTTTTCTTTTTTCTCTTTGCTCAGTTTCCTTGAAAAGTTTCACAGCTTTTTTAAAAATATTCTTGATTAAGGAAGTTCAGGAAAATATTTTTATGATGTAAGATAATTGAATTGAAGAATACTAGGTTGTAATTACCAGGATGTTTTTTCGTTATCAAAAAATTCAATATCGAGAAAAAATAAAAATAACAACTTTTAATATCTCTGTTACAGGTTCATTTTCATGGCAACAGTTTGGTGCATTATCGCGACAAGATTTTTGCGATTCAAAAAAGTGTGAGTATATTATAATTTACTTTCGTAAATTTTCAGTGCAAAATAATGCATTGTCATTTAAATGGTTTAACCAATGTCATCTACTATTTATTCCAGAATATTTATAACTCTATTTTCATTAAAGTTTTCTTGCGAAGCCTTTCCGTTTTGTTTTGTAAAACTGTTACTCTTGGCCAGGATATTAGTAAAACTAAAATCAGATTTTTGAATTGACTCCGTCCTCAATAATCTTAACATCGTTGTATTTTGTTCTGGAACAGCTGCAAAGTTTAGGAAACCTCGAAAGCATCATAAGGACATACAGTGATATCTCGCGCGACTTCAAGTTCAACATGAGCGAGATTCTCCAGTCATCAAATTCCAGCCATTCTCAACAACTTATGACACACGCTCGTGTGATCTGGAGGGCGCTTGGCTCTACAATTTGCGGTTCAGATACGAAAAAGAAAGCTGACAATAACGGAGATGGAAACAGCGAGTTTATTTTTGAAGGAGGCCCATCAATAACTGCTTTGAAGTTTGCTCTTTATGTCTTGACAAATGATCCAAAGATTTTATACGCACCAAATGGAACTCAGGCAGATCTAGTTGTCTCGAAAGTACGTGAATTAAATAAATATATACATTGGTCTGTTTAAGAATAAAAATATTCAAAAATGCATAATACATCCTTTTTAAGAAAATTTATTGCATTTGATGTTTTCTCCAATTAGATTCTTTTTATTACTTGCATTCATAAAATTATAGATAGCTATTCTTTTTTGAAAGAGCCAAGCTTCCGTCCTTTCGTTGATAATCATTGCAAATTGGAATGCTGGCTTTCTGCAGCCTCCTTAATAAGATGCAACTATGAGAGAATTCGACCCATTGGCTTGCAAATTCTCGAGCTTTATAACAATCTTAATTCTCTTGAATTCTGATCATTTGCTTCTCTTTTAATTTGTAGGCTAGTCATCTACTAACGCTTGTCAAACGATCAAGGGAGTTTGCTAAGAAGTGGCTAAAGACCTCACAAATGATAAAAAGCAAATTGTCTAGTAACTCTACACAAGAGCTACTGAGGACCACGTTGCAGTATTCAAGAAGATATCCTCATTTTCTTAGAGACTGGACTGCGAATGTTACACGGCTTCTTGACCACGAGCCTACGGCTGATAAGACGATACTTACCTTTAATAGGACTTTGCTGAAATATCTAAACGAATCACAGGCACGATTGAATAATATTGTACAGGATCTGTTGGTAGATAAGTCTGGGTCAAGTAAGTTGATGCAGAGAATGGCCTTGGTCGATAGAGCAGCGACCGCATGGATTGCTCTTCTCAAGCCATTAAAGCTGGACATATTTTACGGATTTCCGACAGAGCAAGCCCTCACTGATTATTACTTAAATTCGTCAAAGAAGCAAAACTTTCAAAAATTTGTGTATTCCGGTAGGTTGTTTTCAATAAACAAATTTATGATATGATTTTCATGTCCATCTTTTTCAAAACTGCTGGCTTGCAAACGGCCGTGTTGGCATAGCAGATCTTAATGCATCAATAATTGCTAGCGAATATTTTATTGAACTGTCGCTAATAAGCAGTGATATGTTTTAACTTGAGATTTTTAATTCAATTCTTTATACAAGAAACCGCTGAAAATTTTCTTGTTAATGACGTCATCCAGTTTTGAAAGGTAATGTTGCAAATAATCTCCTTGCAAACAATGTCTGCTGTTTTCCAAAGTGTTGATCAGAGCTTATACCATTGCTTTCCTTTCCGGTAGCACGTGCTACATCCTACCAACGGAAATCTCTCTCCAGCCAACTCAAAGTCTTGCCTTACCTATGTTGATTTACCTATGATCTCATTCAAACTTGAGGATGTTTGATGTTCAAAATCTCATTACCTTTTTCCAAAATTTTAATACAGTCTGTATGTACCATAGAATTTGACCTCGTCATTGTCATTTGTGAGTTATGATCCAACAGAATTGTTCCTCTGTGATTTTCGACAGTATCACAGTTCTGTTTAGGACCAGAATAGTGAATAATATGCTTATTTCTAGCCGTCCTTTTTGACAATATCAAACCAAATGGTATGCTTCCATCTCACGTGACCTACCGCATTCGTATGGATGGACAATTGATGCCGTCAACAAGAAAAATCAGGAGCAGGCACTGGTACCCAGGCCCTAACCAAAATCATGTCAACTACTATCAGCGGGGCTTCGTTTGGCTGCAAGACCAGTTGGAGAGAGCCATTTCAGAAGTGATTGTGGGCCATAACATCACTAGTCCAGGACTGTATATCCAAGAAATGCCGTACCCATGTTACCTCAAAGACGAGTATGTTACTTACGATACCCTTTTATTAATATGGCACGAAATAGCGGAAATAGAACCAGCCAAAGCCTCTTTTTTCAGCACATTGCTTTCGATCCACACTTTAATATTATTTTCAGCTCACGTCGTTTTCCAACGTTTATACTCTAAAGAGTGTCGGACGAAAAGCAATTTGGTTTGCTATGCTTCCGCTATTTCGTGCCATCTTCAAATTTCTCGGTACCAAAAACTTATTTGCTTCTATTAATAACTCACTTATGGTTCATATATGTTAGCATGCTAACGTTTTGGAATATTATTTCATGGTTTTGTACGTAAAGTTGGATGCAAGATGCTATTTATGGTCAGAATAAAGGTAAAGCTTTGATTGAAAGATAGCTTAAAGGCATTGAATAATGGTAAATAGGCCTTCTCTATAAAGGGTAATTTGGTTTCGGCGTGATCGCTGCTGTTTCATGTGATAATGGCATCCATTGTTGACAACTTGCTTTTGATAAAAATTGTTTTGCCAATCAGTACGAGGTGAGTTCATGTGACCAGTTCAAGGTCAACCAATAGCATCGCACTCATGAAAATTATGACTCAGCGGATTTGGGCACTCAGGATATACCCAATCCATTTTATCATGACTCAATGCCTTTAAGTATTTGATTGACTTCGAGGAATTGAATTTTAGGCTTTATGCATGATTTACGCATGACATGGATATCGCTTGCGATATTGATTTTGTAATCACACATAGATACAATTTTATTATGGATTTGCCTGTGATTAGGAACTGAGTATGAATAATGTTATGGTTTTCGGTCAAATCTTTTATAAGTTTATGCTGTCATAAAATCTACAACAGAAGCACCAACAATGTGAAGTATTGTGTACGGACTGAAAGTTGTACATGGTTAATCCTTATCTGAAGTTGTACAATGCATTTTGGAGCAATTCCAAAACGAGGCAAACAATTGAATTGGTACGCAGAAAAAAATTACTGAAGGGGTAATTTGAAGAAGTATAAGCATTTTAGTAGGAGCAAAGTATATAGCACAGAAAAAGCAAATATGGGAAGGTAATCATGCTGTAACGTTTTAGCGAATAGATAAAGCAGACTGGTAAAACCTTTTGAATAAGCTCTTTGGACATCGAAAACAAGGTAAAAGCTTTTTACTCAAGGTCAAAGCTCTTTGCTCAGCTCAATTCTAGAATTAGTGTATTTAAACCTTGCTGAATTTTTAAACTTTACCAAATTTGCTGAATGGAAAAGTTTACTCAAGTGCAGGTACTACAATGTGTTTATATAAGTATAGATCTTGGTTTGGTATAATGAATTCTCATTTTGTTTAATGAAAAAGATCACTTGATGTGATGGCCTATATCTCAATTGAACCTGGAACTCTGAGCAGTGTTAAGAGGTGCCTTGCTATACACAACAAAGCATATAACTTGCTTTATTTGTGTTCAATGTGTTTCAAAGTTATCTAATCTGATACATTTGCTCCTTTTGCACAGTTTCATGTTTGTTATACAATACATGATGCCATTATGCATTACGGTGTCATTCATCTACTCTGTGGCAATACTTGTTCAAAACATTGTGTACGAGAAAGAGCAGCGTTTGAAGGAAGTGATGAAGATGATGGGCCTAAGCAATGCGGTACACTGGACAGCCTGGTTCATTACCAGCACTTGCCTTATGACTGTCATTGTCATGTTGATGACCATTATCCTCAAGGTAACTGCATTACTTTAGCTGTATGAAATTGAATAGTTCAATGTCAGCATATAAGTAACTCTGCTCTTGTGGTTGAGAGTGATAAATCATTCAAAGGAAGGAACAGAAATATGCACTACAAAAAGTCTATGTGTGAAGTCAATTAAAGCATGGCAAAAATAATAAGATAGACTAGAGTATACGGATCAAGAATGTTATGTTAATATAAGACTTAAGAATTGAAGTTTGTATCATTTTATTGTCATTGGACATGGGTACCAGATTTGCAATTTTTAAAGTAAGCACAGTTTCAATATATTCTAAATATTCCCGGTATGTAAACATTGGTTAATGGTGATCTTTCATGTCAAAGACAGCCTAAACATAGCTACAATTTTTTTTACCTTTTTCAAATAGTTAACTTTGAGTGATTTCCCAAGTGTATTTATCTATGATAAGATGACTCGTATTCCTTCCTAAAGACGCTCCTCTTTTTTAGTATGGTGGAATCCTGAAGTACAGCAACCCATTCGTTATCTGGCTATTTCTCACTCTCTCCTCCATTGCGACAACTCTTTTCTGTTTCCTACTCAGCGTCTTTTTCTCGAAAGCAAAGCTGGCTGCAGCATGCGGTGGGATTATTTACTTCCTGACGTATATGCCATATGTACTGATATCGATCAGAGAGGGTGCACACGTCAACGTCGACTCTGCTTGGAAGTCACTTGCCAGCCTCTTCTCGACGACAGCTTTTGGGCTCGGTGCGCGATACTTTGCCCTTTACGAGCAAGATGGGAAAGGATTACAATGGAAAAATATCCCAGAAAGCCCGGTAAATCAACAACTTTTATGTCGTTATTCTCGATTATAACTTGATCTTTGCATATATAGCGATAATGTGTGTATTGCTGTACCCGTTAATCGCATGTAGAGCTTATTCATATTAGTTTTGATCCAATTTCCTTGATGTTTCATTTTCTTAGTTTTATGCATTTAATGATTCATCTTGATGGATTGTTTTCTCTATCAACAGCTTTTGAATGACGAGTTCAGCCTGGGAAATGTCTTTGCTATGCTCATTGTTGATACGTTTTTGTACGGAATTCTGACCTGGTATATCGAGCATGTTTTTCCTGGCTCATATGGGCTGCCAAGGCCTTGGTATTTCCCCTTCCAAATATCATATTGGATTGGCGCTGATCCCAAGACCTGCTCGGCTAGCATTAATTGCAAGAGATTTTACTCTCGCATGTCGTCCCTTGACGCCGAGAGCACGTCACCTGAGCCATCTGGTTTGCTAGCGATGGATGCCGAGCCAGTTCATCTTCCACTTGGTGTTGTCATAGAAGATCTTGTCAAGGTATTTTGCTTACAACCGCCCTTTGTTGCACCGTAGTCATGGTTGCACTAAGTAAATTTGGGTTCGTTTCTCCTAAAGACCCAAAACCTACCAATAACTGGCAGGCAACTTTATTTTCTCTACTGAATGACGAACTATCGCCACTTTAGTATTCAAAACAGTCGGAGATTCTATGAATTTTTAGCCGGTCTTATATTTTACAGGTTTACGATTCTCGGAAGAAGGCCGTAGACCACCTGTCGTTGAATCTATACGAAGGCCAAATTACGTCATTTCTCGGCCACAATGGTGCTGGTAAAACAACAACTATGTCCATACTGACGGGGCTTTTCCCGCCCACCAGTGGAACAGCTCATGTTTATGGTCATGATATTCGAAGTGATATGGACAAAATCCGCACAAGTCTTGGAATGTGTCCACAGCACAATGTTTTATTTGAAAGGTGCGTGATGCGCTGTCTTCTCTTCCAAAACACAAGTTGCCTAAACCATTGTAGCTCTATAGTTAGTTAAGCATTCACCATTTCATTCTGCAATGCTAAAAGACGCATCTTCTACATCTGTACTTAGATATCTAAAAGCTACTTTTTTGCTCTGATAATGCCCCGTTTGCCGGGGCAAAATATTAGCCATAACTGATTTACGTGTGTTTGTTGTTGTTGATTCTCGTCGCGTTGCGGTGTTACGCATTTATTACATATTACTTTTACTGTGCCTTTTTCCGTCTTTGCCATGCACCTATCGATGTCTCACCTGTTTATTGAAGCCAAAAATTGCTTTTCTTGCTGCTTTCACAGGTGCATAGAACTGTAAAGACACGATTTGGATCGGTCCTTTTCCTTGTTTGAGTAGCTGCAGGCACAGAGAGATGTAAAAGAAACTCTCAATAATTCTTGATGAAAATCTTTTAGAATATTTGCAAAATACCTGTCAGTTGTATTTCGAAAAATGATGACAGTTGAAAGTTATTCATTTTGTGAATTCTGTCTAAATTGTCAAATCATTTTTGCAGCTTGACCCTTGAGGAGCACCTGTGGTTTTACGCGAGGCTGAAAGGGATGTCAGAGGCGGAGGTAGGCCCAGAGATGGACAGGTGGGAGTCACTGCTTATTTTGTGTGTACTAGCACTAAAGTCGTCGTAAATTGTGATTCATTTTCCTTTCACTGGCTCCTTTCCTTGTTTTCCTTCACTCATTCCCCCTTCAATCGTTCCCCTGTCACGTGTTTCTCATTCATCCGTTGCCCCATCACTTGTTACCCTGTCATTGGTTCTCTCCTTCGTTCTTCTCCCTCCTTTTTTCCGGCTCTCGTTGACCTGTCACTTGTTGCTCTTTATGGTTACATTGATCAGTTAAAGTTATTTATTTCATCTTTTCCCTGCAGAGTTAATAGGATATGTTCAGAAAAATGAGGTTACGTTTTGAATCGTTTGCTCAGCTTTCTTGCATGACGGTATTTTTCTTTTTTACAGAATCCTAGAAGACCTCGGCCTGCCAGAAAAAAGACATTCGAAAGTAGAATCCCTTTCCGGTGGAATGAAAAGAAAACTTTCTGTGGCCATGGCCTTTGTTGGTGGATCTCGCACAGTTATTCTTGATGAGCCGACGGCCGGTGTCGATCCGTATGCAAGGAGAGCTATTTGGGACTTGCTAGTAAAATACAAGGAAGGTATGAAAATTTGCCAGTTTGTTTTGACACTGCCTGCTTTTCATTGGTACTTCGCGTTACATTTCCGCATTCGTATTTTTTGAAACGTCTAAGCGACTAAAAATTTTAATTAAAAAGTTTCAAAAGATTTTCTCGAATTTTGATGTATATTATGCTAAGCTATTGTGAGAAGTGACTAAAGTCTTGCTATTTTATCAGGGCGGACCATTTTGCTATCAACACATTTCATGGACGAGGCTGACTTACTTGGCGATCGAATTGCGATTATTTCTTGTGGAAAACTGCGATGCTGTGGTTCCTCGTTGTTTCTAAAGAACCAGTTTGGTGATGGTTATCATCTCACGCTAGTTAAAGACAACAAAAGGGAATCAAGCCTTGGTAAGAAATTTATATTATCGCTTACGTTAGTAGAAAGTTTAGCTCGTGGTTATGTCTTTCGTTGTCTGGATTTGATTTTGTATGTTGCTTTTAGGATCGATTTCCTTCTTATAGCAGTCACAGATTGCATTTCATTTGCTCCAAGAGTTGACAGGTTTGTGGTTTTAAAACCTACCAAACATCTTATAATCCCTCAGATTTACATATTCTGCTGCAATTTGGACGAAAATGGTTAGTAAAATCTTAGTAAAAATTTCATATTTTCATCACCATTAATAAGCTGTTATTATTCTTTAGTCAAAAAAGTTAAGGCACTTCATTACTTTCTTCAGATTCTTCACTGCCGTCATCACCTCCCGACAAGTCAAGGACAGCTTTTGACCAAGATATCACAAAATACATAAGGGGCTACGTGCCTTCTGCCCAACTGATTTGTGAGACAAGACACGAGTTATCATTTATCCTTCCAAAAACAGCTTCAGGGAATGCATCTTTTAAAAGCCTCTTTGCCGATTTAGAAAGCAACAAGATTAAACTTGGTTTCAGTGGATTTGGACTTACAGACACAAGTCTTGAAGAGGTTTGAGAAAACTATGCCTCGTTCTTTTCTGAGAAAGTCAAGTTCTTGATGTTTGTGTTAATCTATCTTTCAATAGATTACCGCAGTACAATCAAACATATAAATTTGTGTAGCTTTTTCTTCGCTTTTTCCGGGTCAGAAAGAGGTTTATTGACAATTTCGAGAAGTGATTTTGCACCAACCAACAGGTCAGCATTTATGCACCGTGAGCTATGATATCCACCAAATAAAAATCTAAAGTTACAAGAAATTTACAGTTTTGTGTGGATACGATGGAACTTGGCAAGGGTATATTTTCCAGAAGTGTAGATTATAACCGCGATTTCAAAGGCAGCATGTAATGTCTAAAAACTTCCAATTTCTTTATTGAATGTATTTCTTTATTCCATGACGTGCTATGAAACTCTCTTGATCAATATGGTTTGGAACTTTTTCCTATGCATTTCATATGCAACTCCCTAATGTTTGGTGACATTTCTTTGCAGGTATTCTTGAAAGTGACAGAAGCATCGATTCAAGATGACCAAGGTTTTCAACTGCATTTATTTCTCGATTAATACATCTGAAATGGTTTCTATCCTCTTGGCGTGCGCTTTTGTAGTTTAAGAGTATATCAATAAGCAATAAGAAGTTAGCTATTATGCCAAAAATCTATTATGCCAACAATCATTTGTGTCCACTGATGATTGAGTGTGAACTTCTGAATACAAATTTAGTGTCCGTTATTGTTGCAGCGGTATATTTATTGCAGAAAATCAAAGGAAACTTGACCATCACTTAAAGCAAGGAAACATACCATTTTTGTTAGTCTGTACCTTTGATTAAAGCGATGATTTTTATTTCAAAGCAGAATTCATCCACCACTACTTCAATTCTAATACCTTTCCCGACATTGTTATCTTCACGCAAAGATCTGCAACTGCGACACAACCCGAACAAAGAATTCCATCTTGTTGTCATTCCTGAAATCTTGTTTGATACCTTGATGACTTATTAAAGTGGGGTGTCATATTTGCCCCTCTTTTTAGACAATTTTCCCTTTTTATCGTCATGTTTGTTATTAATATGCTATTGACTTCAAAAACCTGGCTGTATTTGTTCATGCCAATGTTGGTTATTTCAGGCCAAAACGACATGGTTGGAGAGGTAACAGTAACCTTACCGGCTGTGCAGCAAAACACTGTCCCAAGAAATGCCGATTCTGGAATAGAACTCGACAGCCTTAGTACACTGACACCTGCAGCATGTGAAGCCTCTTTGAAGTCGACATGTGACGCTATTGATAATCCAAGCAATAAAAAGGCACCAAGACGCAGTCATCAGCGATCGCTTTCCAGCGACTTTTTCAGGGATTCCAAATCTACACCAGTTGTCACTTGCGTTCACAGAAAAAACCCTTGTGGTCGAGTGTGCGGCCACAGAAGAGCGCTTTCGAGTGATTTTAGACTAGATAAGGTTTTGCCCCTTGATGAAACCAAAGATGAGCGTATAAAGCCAATCAAGAGAGTGCTGTTTGGTCACAGACGAAATCCTTCAAACACATCGCAAGCTTCTATAGGTAAGCGCTATGTATTGGTTGACATGGTAATAATTTTATATTCCTCATTTGTTAACCATGTATATGAGGTTTACACTGTCACATTTTCTGATTGTGTCTTGCAAAATCCGTTTCGACTTATTTTTGGGTGATTTTGCTAATTTCTCTTGTTAAAAGTATGGTTTACTGTGAATAATAGACGCAGGACCCATGTGCTATCTTTCGTAATGCCCAAAAATCTTTTCGTATGGCAATACTTTTCATTCCCTAGCGGTCTTCCTGTAGATTTTTCTATTGCCCTAAAATTTGCGCCGTGATAATTTTTGGCACTTCATTGGTTCAATTGTTGTCTTTTACGTCTGTTAAGGTTTTACTTATCTAGATTTTAGGCTAATTTTGTTCAATTCTTTTATATTCTTAGCAAAGGTGCTGTCTCCTTTGGAGATCTAAATGCTCATGCCTCTAGTGTTTCTATTCACTTCAAGCGAAAATGTTTTCCATTTTATTAAATACATAGGCGCAACTTGTTTTTCAGTTATATGATTCGGTTATTTTTTTTTCAGATAGCACTATACTTGAATTTGACGCTGAAGAAACTGTGCAGGCAAAAACAGCGTTTGACAGGAGATTTCAGCAATTTTGTGGTTTATTTTTGAAGCGTTTTCATCACAGCAGACGGAACTTTAAAGGCCTTATATCGCAAATATTCTTACCTGCCATTTTCGTGTGCATTGCTATGACAGTAGCCATGTCACGGCCGGGCTACGAAGAGCAGCCAAAGCTGATACTGTCTCCAACTATGATTCGACCTTTGCCAAATGTTATACCATTTAATAACGAAGGAAACTCAGAAATAGCACGAAAAATGGAAGCAACCCTAAGAATTCCTTCGGGAATTGGTGCTGACTGTGTCTTGAAGTACAGAAATTGCACATTTGAAAGTTTAGCACAACTTTTTAATCAAAATGAAGGTTATAGATTAGGGGTGTATGATCAGCTCTGTGAAATGCAGCTCGCCAAATTTCAAATGAAAACTTTCGACAAAGAGAAACTGAGAAATCAGCAATTTTCAAGAATCAGATGGAAGAATGTGAATGAAAAGAAATGCAAATGCACAAAGGACAAGCGGAATTATGAATGCGATCCTGGAGTTGAGGGAAATCCGAACCGCATTGTTACAGTTACAGGGGATACACTATTGAATATTACAGGGAGGAATATGGAAAAGTATTTGTTATATACAACAGAACATTTCAGAAGACACAGGTAATGCATCGAGAGACTCTGTTATTGCCTGAAAGCAACGCTTTTTTGCTATAGTTATCTTTCACTTTGTCGAGAACCAGTTTTGCCCTTATTTCTTGTTACTTTGCCATTAATGCTTAAATGATAAAGCTATTATTATCCAGTTGTTAAGAATTGGATATTTGCGTAATCAGCCTTTGTCATTAGATTGATAAACTGGCGGTAGCGATGTCTGCTTGCTAATTGTAACTCCTGATTTGTCTGTTTTCAAGATATGGAGGGCTCACGTTTGGAGAAGAAAGGAAGATGGTGCCAGAGAATTTCGAAGATCTACCGAATGACGACATCAAAAGACTGTTTTCTCGGCATGCTGCAAAGGTTATTATGTTGCAAAATTTCATGCTTTGCTTTAATCGTTTATTGTTCTGTTTTGAATATTATAATGTATGTTTCTGCACCTTTGAAATTGAGCTTTGTTTCTGTTTTCAGGCTTGGTTCAATAACAAAGGCTACCACGCCTTACCAGTTTACTTAAATTCCTTGAGTAACACCGTATTAAGGTCCTACATCCGCAAAGACATGGGAAACCCTGCATCTTATGGTAAACAGTTTTTAATTGCGTTCATAGAACTTACTTTTCGTTATCAAGCAACATTTTTTTGTAACTAGTGAAACTTCCTCTTCTGCCAATGTTCTCCATGCCAATCTTATCCATGTCCATATTATCTCTGTTGTGCAGATGACGCTGATAATATAACAAAAATCTGAATCTTTACTTTTGGTAAATTCTTGAATTCTTGAGCTTTTTACGATCTTTTTGCAGGTATTACCGCCACATATCATCCTTTCAGTCTGGCGAAAAACGCTCTCACCCAAGATTATGTGTAAGCTTTTTTTAACTTGCATTTTGAAGAAGGATCCACAAAAATGTTCTTCCCTTCGTATATTACTTTAACCTAGAAATTCGCTGTAATTTGGAAAGAATGGGAATTCGGTTATGCCTTTTTGTGTCTTTTGTTAAAATTTTTTCTTGGCTCACATAGACACGATTGTTAGTGAGTTTTCAATTTACCCTGGAATGTTAACTTTGTTTTAGAAAACAAGGAACAGACGTTGTTATTGCGATATTTGTCATCATCGCCATGTCATTTGTGCCAGCAAGTTTTGTCATCTTTTTGGTTACGGAGAGAGTTACGAAAGCAAAGCATTTGCAGTTTGTCAGTGGAGCAGAGCCGGTCATATACTGGCTTGTTAATTTCATTTGGGATATGGTAAGCAATTTTTTTTAAACATGCTATTCATCTTCTTTGTTTATAATTTTTTTTAATTTCAAGTAGTTCTAATAGCTTCTCTTATTTCTTCTAGCCTTATTTAACATTTTGAAATCATTCAAATATTTAGCTGGTGAAGATGGGTATATTTTCTATAAACGTGTGGTAACAGCAGTGGCAAGCGCATTATGAACGTTTTTTTAAATTTGTACTAACTTCCTTTTTTCCTACCCTTCTATTATTACAGGTACAAAGTTTACTGACAAGACAACATTCCCCAATATTGACATATTTCTTTTCCTAACAGTGCAACTATCTAATCCCAGCAACTGCTTGCATGCTCATTTTGTATTTGTTCCAACTGCCCGCCTACGCCTCCGCAACCAATTTCCCCGCAGTATGTTGCTTGTTTCTGATGTATGGGTAAGTGTTATTTTGTTTGCTTTTCACTTTCTAAATAATTTGCCTTTTTAAGTTTATTTCTTGTTTTATAAGATTAAGGTTTCGTTTTGTTATATATCTTAGAGGTTTTGTTATACAAGATTGATATTGTTTCACGTTACTTTTGAACAACACTGACGATATACAATGTAGTTTCATAAATTCAAGTGTAGCATTTTACAATTCTGCAAATGCTTTAATGAATTTACCTATAAAGAAACAGGTTTTTTTGCAATGAAATCTTTTTTTGTAGATTAATGTAGTGTAAAATTTCGTTATTCATAACAAACGAAGGAATCTTCCACGAGTATTGTTATTTCAGGTCGTCACTGCGAGCTTAATCAGAAACCATTTGTTTTACCCCTAGGTGGTCGATAACTCCACTTATGTACCCAGCTGCATTTGTTTTCAAAGAAGCCAGCACTGCTTACGTTGTCCTCATAGTTGTCAACTTGTTTGTTGGTGTTACCTTCACCGTCACTGTTTTTATATTACAGCTGTTTCCGGATGATCCGGTAAACAAAAATTTTTTGTCATCTTAAACCGTTTCACTTTTTATTCTAAATTTATACAGCTCTTAGATCGTAATCTACATCCCCAAATTCGCATCCCCTATTTAATTTAATTGTTTCTTTCCCTCAAAACATGCATTTTTCTAATCTTTGACAATTTAATCTTCAATCTAGAGAAATCTTTAATAATCTTTAATTTAGCTGTTGAGCCTTGAATTAAAAAATAATCTTCAATAATTTTTTATATATCTGTTGATTTGTTCGATTGTAATCTATTTTATGCAATGATTTTATTTGAATACAATATTCATTTATGAAGTATACACTGAAGAAAATTTTGCAAATCTTTATTTTTAATTGAATTGCCTTTTAGCTTGGAAACTGAATCTTCAATTGTTTGTTTTCTCGATCATTTCTCGATTAGTTGTAAGATAAAAGAGATCTATGATGGTGGATGCTTTTTCTGATTTTAACTGTTCTTTTTTCATTAAAGGAGCTGTCTTTGGCTTATGACATTCTTCGCAATTTGGCACTTGTCTTTCCAAATTATTGTTTAGGCCGTGGCCTAATGGATCTTGCATTTACAGAATATTCAAACGAATACTACAAATTAGTGGGTTAGTAGAGTTTTTTATCAGCATTTATATCAGAAATTTGATTCCATACTTTGACTAATATTTTCAGTGCTTGAAAAGGGGTTTTAAGACATTTCTTTTATCTTCTGCTTGTAAATTTATGTACGTTTTATTTTATTTACAATCAAATACCTTTTCAATTCTAGGGGAATTTGACAAGTTACGGAGCCCATTTGAATGGAATCTTATATCAAGAAACCTCGTTTTCATGGCAATAGAGGGCTTTGTTTTCTTTTCATTCACTCTTATGATTGAATACCTATCCACTTGCAAAAAGAGGTAAGACCATTTCTAATGTTTAAAAATTAAGGACGGAAGACTTTCTTGTTGTAGGTTAGGATTCGGTTGCTGTTGAATACGTATTTACTAATCATCAAATGGGCATATTAATGATTTTCATACAATGTTGTAATCTTTGCCTACCTTATGACTTTTAGACCCGATACCAGTTGTTCTGAATGTTTTTTATATTCTGTGCTCAAATACTATATTAATTCATTTTTTCATATCCATATTCTTTTTTATTCCATATTCAATTGCTCCTTTCTTTTTATCACGTTAGGTACATGCTCTAGCTTCTTTCAAGTGACTTTTGTGTCATGAGTAAAAAATTTATATTTCGTGTCGGAAAATGCACAATGCTTTATCAGAATTCTACTGTTTTGTAGAAAAATTTGCGTGGAGACTGAAAGTAATGATGGTGATGAAGATGTAGTTGCTGAACACGAAAGGGTTTTAAGCGGAGATGCTGATGATGACCTTTTGAGAATGGAGAACTTAACAAAGGTGAAGTTTACCTTCATTGCACTGTGATACGTTATCTTCTTTCACTGCACTGTGATAAGTGGCTCGTAGTAATTCAGTGTAGGTTACTTGTTTAAATAGCAGAGGCCCTCCAACTCACCATTTACTTACCTATTTGCATTTCATTTCATTTTCATTAGATCTAAACAGCTCATTTGTAGGTTGTGGTAGGCAATGGAATATTTGGAAACTATGTTTTATTATGACGGAAGGTGAATAAACTTATTTAGAATTTTCAGAGCTTGCGTAAAGCATTTCCTATAAAGCATTTCCTTTTCAGGTTTACCAGTCTAAGAAGACAGGAAATCATCATGCTGTCAGTGGGCTTTGCCTCGGGGTCTCAAGAGGAGAGGTGACACACGCAAAGTTTTATTTTAGAAGAATCGGCTGCCAGTTGTTGAGCGCTCTGTTGTTTTAGTTCTGTTTTAAAAAATATACATTCTCTTATATAGAAGACCGGCGTTGCTCCCCTCCTTCTAGAATAATTTGTGTTGTAAAGTAATATTGGAACTCTTAACTTGATTTTAAACAATATTTAAAGAAGTGTTCCAAGACTTTTGGCAGGGGATTTCACTATAATGATGCATGCATTGTCAGTCTTACTTGAAATGTTTTCGTGGATAGAACGTTTTTTTTCGATTATACATGCTCCTTTTTAATTTCTTTTGACTTGTTAAAGTGTTTTGGACTTCTCGGTGTCAATGGAGCGGGCAAGACAAGCACATTTAAAATGTTGACAGGAGACACATCTGTTACAGCAGGAGATGCATTCATTCTTAACAAAAGGTGACTTTCTTTTGAACCTATTCAAATTAAACCGTGCTGTGGTGCTGACCAAACCGTCTCAAAATGCTCAGTCTACCATTTATGAACTTTTAGGCTTTCAGACCACTTTACAGCATAATCAATAAGCAGGCTAGCATGGCCTCTCTTGAGCCATTGGTAATTACGTCGTTGCTTTTGTAAAATAGCAGGCCGAATACTGGTTATATTAAAGCAAACAAAGGAGTTTCCTATGAGCTGTCGTTCGTTAGTATCCGTTAGTTCAAAAGTATTATATGTTGACTCGTTCGTTTCATTTACTCTGATGAAGCCCAGTATGCCGGGGCGAAATATTAGTATATTCTTTAAATTTAATTTATTTTGAAAATTTTATTTCGTGACATTGGATTCTCGTCGTCGTATTGCTTTGTTCCTGTATATCTTTATATTATATGAAAGCTCTAAAAACATTTGAGAGGCATATTAAGAATTATGTGCATATTAAGAAAGTCTAAGTCTTGTTTCGTTAACTTAGATTTTTCTAATAATTTGTCATGCATTGTTTTGTTTAAAAAAATTCTTGAAACAGTCTTCGTTCTAATTAGCAAGTGGGAGTCTTCTCGATTTTTTTGTTAATCCGAAATAACAACGTGCATGTGTGGCAGTTATGTTTTGTATTCATTTCATTTCATGTTTCTGTTCAATTTTCATTACTTTTCACAGTGTGGTTAGTGACACGATGAAGGTGCACAAAATGATTGGCTACTGCCCACAATTCGACGCGTTGATTGACGAACTGACTGCTGAAGAACATTTGGGATTGTATTCCAGATTAAGAGGAATACCAGAGGCAAATGTCAAGAAGGTGCCTTTTTCATATTTCTCTTTCTATTTTCTCGTTCGTTGAGGTCATATTTATTGATTAGCATTTAATGATTAGATTTTTTTCAGAAGTATTATTTCTTACTTTGAAAGTTTCATTTCTTGCACCTGTAAAACTGTTATGCCTTTAATATTGAATCCTGCAAAGTATTGTATATTAAAGTCTATAATATACCAAATTTGCCAAATTTTCATTGGACCACGCATAGACACTGCCCGGTTTGAAAGTTGTGGTGCTACGATACTTGCCCGGAAGATTCCGGTTTGAATTAGTTAGCTTTATTTTGTATCTTTACATATTGTCGAAGGACGGAAACATTATGCAAACCTGGAATGACTGTCCATATTATCCATTCCGAGGGTCGCCATGGATTTTGAATGGTATCATTGTTTATCTAATCACACCTTTAGCGATCTCTTCTCCGTTCACTAGACGTTTTGTTTCATCAATAGCTAGAGAAGATTTTCTTGATACGATGATACAATTAATCTACCGTGTTTATAGATACTCCATTTGATTTTTCAGTAAATATCTCGGTCGCACTTACAACTGGATACGGTACACTGTTTATAATTCATGCTTTGTCTTTTTGTAGGTTTCTGAGTGGGCAATCAACAAACTTGCCCTTGGTCGATACGCTAGTAAGCCAAGCAAGAGCTACAGTGGAGGAAACAAACGAAAGCTTTCAGCTGCAATTGCCTTGATTGGAAACCCACCTTTAATCTTCATGGTACTTTAATTGTTTTCAAATCTTTTTAGAGGTTTAAATCTTTAATGAATGCACATTCGGAAAGGTTGTAGTCGGGTATCATTCGCATCCTGTTTTGTACCATGGGTAGCTTTCATCATTTGAAATTTTTATTACGGCTGAAACTAAATGAGAATCTTTGCAAAGAGTGTATTTCTTAATGATGGCGTTCTTGTAATCTTTGTCTCTGCAGGACGAGCCAACCACTGGGATGGACCCAGGCGCTCGCAGGTTTTTGTGGAATCTTATATTGAGTATAATACGTAAAGGAAATCGCTCTGTCGTTCTTACAAGTCATAGGTAAGTCAGCTCAAAAAGAATAATTACATTTCAATAACTTAATGACAAAATGTTTTGGGCTAGTAAGAACAAACAATAGTATTTTGAAAGACCGAACATGTAAACCGAATGCGATGTTTTGTGCTTACACTTAAAAGATTTCCAGCATACATTTCAACAAAACTCATAAGCCTTTGCAACAGCTTCGACTTGTTGTTATTATATGCTTTCATATAGTTTGTATCATATTGTGTTGTATATTTGCTGTTTACTTAATTTTTCAGGTGCTAAAAAGTCCAGGTTATTAGTTTTTCTTGCGTTATTTGCACAGTATTACATATGCTACAATATTACATATTATTACAGTATATACAATATTACTACAGTATTACATAAACCCGCATAAAAGAACCTTTTTTTATAAGAACCTTGAAGCTGAAATTTAATCTTTTAAACCTCATAATTAAGAACCCCCAAGAGGCTGTAATTTGGAAAGGTTCTTATATGTATTTTTGAAAAGGTATTTTTACACCCTATTCACACTGTCAAATTAAACCAGCTTAGATTAAATCAGGTTATGGTATTTTACATTCTAATTGGACAATCTAACAACACAAATTCATTTGATTGGCTTGAAATTTAACATGAAAAAATGGCTGGTTTATGTGTGTCCGTTAGAATCCTCGCTGTAGAAAACATTGTTAATGTGTGCAGGGCCTGTACGTATATAAGAACCTTGTTAAGAACCATTAGACTGGAATTTAGAATAGCAGCCTGTTAATTAAAAACATATTCAGGCTACCAGAAAAAAAACCTAGGTTCTTTTATGCGGTTTTCTACTGTACATGTTTTTTTGCATTCGTCCTTCACGCTTCCTGTTCATTAGCATCCTTGGCATTTGACCTGCAATTTTTGAATTTCCCCCAATGTACACATTCTGTCTTCCATTCATTACACAATTTTTTCGGCGTGTCATTTTTCTCGGACAAATCTTTTTCCAAGAGAATATCTATTTTAGAGTTGTCCAAACGTTTGTCAGGCTGAAAATTTTGTATGAGAAAGACGTGCACAATGTATATTGATAGAAGCAACATTTTTGAAAATAGTCATTCTTTCAAGCTAATAGGAATTCGAGCCTCATAACTCACTTTCACTTTCAAAACACTTTCAGTACTCAGAGACTCTTCCAAGCTCTTCAACAGTACAGTAACAATCTTAAAAAATATATATGCATTAGTAACTTGATACGTTTTGCTTCAAACATACAAAAGACTGGTCAACATGTGTCCGAAAATTTATTTGTCCTAAAATTATTTGTCCGACATTGCAAAAATTTGTCTGAAAATATTTTCGCCGAAATTTTCCCTCCGAAAACGTTTTCCGTCTGAAAATATTTTCGTCATTTCCGAAATTGTATCCACTGAGAATACTTAATGTAGGTCATTTGATAAAATCATTGTTTGAACCATCGTCAGCCTAAATACTCATTTTGATGTAAATTTCCTAAGCGTTCACTTTTATCGCAGAAAGTATATGCCTAGCGTAAAATTGGGTCTGGCCAGGCAGGCTGCCTCTGAAAATCATATTGAACATTTCACAGGGCTCCAAAGCACAATCTGGTCATCTCTTTCCCTTTAAGTGAATCCATTTTAATGAAGTTTTATTACTTTTGGCTTGTTGATATTAACTTGTTTTTGCTCTTATTTCTTCCTTTATTGTCTGCAGTATGGAAGAATGCGAGGCCTTGTGCACGCGACTTGTTATTATGGTCAACGGAAAATTCAAATGTCTCGGGAGCACACAACATTTGAAAAACAAGTATGCATAAAACTGATCTAAGAATAATTCATCAGTATTTTTATTCTTTAAGCTTGATGTAAATAAGCAAAATCGAGGACAATTTTTCATGCTGTTTTTTTCAAATTTACAGTGTACTCAAATATGCATTCATTAAAGCAAGATATCTCTATTATTCTGCTATCATGTATCGAAAAGAGTGCTCTAAATCTTTTTCAATTTGAAGTCCCGTCACCTAGAATTTTTGAATGCCAAACCTGTAGTTTTGTTGATTTTTAGTTTCGTTGCTTATACGCTGCTAGATCTTTGAGATTACCATTGAATAACCATCTTGAAATTTTGCTGTTACAGATTTGGCGAGGGATATATGGTTGCTTTAAGAGCGAAAGGTGATTCCCCAAACTTGGAGCCAATGAAAACATTCTTTGAGGAAGCATTCCCCGATGCAGTGTTGAAAGTGAGAAACAGTCTATCCATTCAATTTTTATTGTAATCCATACAGCAAGTCCAATCATTATTTTCAATTTTCCTTTTTCTTTTTTCATGAAATTTTGTCAATTATGTGATGGAATACTACCTTAGAGAATAATTTCAAGATGACAGTCGCAATTCCTAAAGGTCCATCGTGAAACATCTACGTATACCGTTAAGCATATTGAAAAGAAACCTTGATTTATATATTATTTCTATGCCGATTAAAGTTTCAACCAAGCGTAATTCTTGTATCATAATTTTTGAAGTCATCACTGCAATTTAAAGGCATTACTTTACTGTTATAAGTCTCTTGAATGATCTTTTGGATTCAAAGAAATATTCATCGCAAATTTGATTCGATTCATTTAGGAGTGCCACCATAACATGCTGGAATACCAAATTCATGGATCTTCAAGAATATCACTGTCAGATATATTCGCTGCTCTCGAGAATTCTGAAGCAAGTGTGAATATAGAGGATTTTTCAGTCAGTCAAACGACACTTGAAAATGTGAGATTATTTCATTGTTAAATGCTTGATTGATTGATTAAAATAAATTATTCTTGTTTATTTATTTTAGACTGTTTATTCTTTTTAATGTATATTTATTTTCTTAAACTGTATTTTTATTTCATCATAAGATTTAAAAGGTAATAATTGCCACAGTGCAGTCTAGTAAGCATGCTTCAATTTCTCTAGTTTCTCTCTATCGAGTCTGCACGCAGGCGAATTTTGATCGACTCTCTTCAAATTTTTAGAAGATTTGATTTGATCTTCAATTACAGTAAACGATTCAAGTGTATTTTCTTCCTTAGGTTTTCATAAATTTTGCCAAGGAACAAATGGATCGCTCTGAAGGCAGGGAAAAGGACAGCGAACCGGCATCCCTGATTCAAAGGCTACGGCACTTTGGCAGGGCCATCAGGAACACATTCGCAAACAGACCTGATGTTCACTTTTCCAGTCTGTGGACGCCAGGAGCTAGAAACCAAATGCAATGTGAAAGTTTTATGGAAGACGATGATACTATTTCGATTCAGTTTCCAGGTTCGGATGTAAGTAACAAAGCATTGTGATGTTTACTCATTGGCATTTTTTTAATAAATCTTCTAAAGTTTCTGGCAAAGTCAAAACGTCTAACAATTTACATATGAATGCGATATAAGCGCTATAAAGGTAAGATGAATAAATTTGAAACACAAGATTACTTGCACAAATGTCTTATTTAAAGGAGCTAAGATATCAACTTTTTTATTTCAATGCATCCTTGGCTCTTCTTATAACGACAAAATAAACTGATATTTTCCTTTCTGAATGAAATGACGTATTTAGGAAATGAAGATTTCTTTTTGAATAGAAATCAGTATTTCGAGGCATCTTCTTGTGTGCTTGTTGATAAGTACGATAAAATATTGCTTTGCTTTTGTGAGATTAGCAGGTCATAGACACGTACTTGTGGATCAAGGTCTACTTCTGTCTGCAAAGCATCATTCTTCACTTCTCAACGTGTTGTTTTAAGAATGAAAAGGTCTAATTTTCCTCGTATTGCAGGTCCATTTGGAGTTACTGCAAGATGCATGATTCTCATAAAGATATTTGTGGAAAGTTTGGGACCATGCTAATCAGTTGCCAAAAATTATAATTGTAGGCTTTTATCATCATTTGACTTCAACGAAAAAACAATATATTTTGATTTATTTATGGTTTTTGATTAAGTTTGTCGTTGATTAATGTATGATCTAGATTTTAGTCGAGCCAAAATTTGAAATTCAGGATACAGATTATTTATGTATTTCATTTTGAGATATTAGTTGTAATGGTGTGGGTAATTTTAGCCATTTTAGCATTTAGAAACAAATTTGACGTTCGGCCTCATTGTGGTTAACAAAGTTTTTTCATATTCTGCTCATATCAAAGTTTAAAGTTACCCAAACAAGGGCTTACGTGGATGTATGCCTTGTTCTAAGAAACATTAGCAGTGTATGTGAGAAGAAAGACAAAACGAGCTTGCCATTCCGCACCTTTAGGAGTCGTATATTTGTTATAAACTTGCTGCTCTGCGTAATTGGCACGAAGAAACGATACTTTACAATTCTCACACGTGTTTGCAAGATTGCATACATTTGTAAACATATTCTTAGCTTCATAATCTAAATTGATAGGCGTCTTTTGTATGACATTTATTTATTAGTAATGTTTGAATATTGTGTAGTGTGAAAAGAACATTCATAAAGTTGTATTTATCATAACAATTACCATATATTAGTATTTATAGCCAATATCGTTTGATATCAAATAAACGTGTTACATCCACTTATCACTGATGGCTGAAAATATATCTACATTGTATTATAGTTTTTCTCTTTAAATTAAACGACAGAACTTGGTACTCGAAGTGAATAGGAACTATCCGCTAGAAGTTTTAGAAATTGGAGGAATTTTTCATTGATTAAAAGTATAATCATGCTAGCTCGTACAAGTTTAAAGTATTTTGTGTGTAAATCTATTCAATTGTTATATTTGACATCTTCTAGAATGTTAGCTTCTGCCCGCCTCTATCAGGAAAAAATTGAGTTTGAACTCTTTGTTGACTGGGATCTTTTCAACTTGCGTGAATCATATTAGGACTATAATGGCGTGCCGGATCGATTGTTTGTTGTATTTAAATTCATTCTTGTTCAAATAGTTGCCCAATTTAACTGTATTCAAAAGTGTTATTCAATTCTATTTTATTTTGTGAAGTAAGTGAACTGTGCCAATTAGTAATGTTTTTAAATGATCAATTAATAAATCGATCGTCTGCTTGTTTTTTTTTGTTTTTACTCAAACCTTTGCTCGATCGGGGATCAGAACAGCTGACTTTGCAAAATTCACAGCACAAATGGCTCTTTTTTAACCATCAGGAAATTCTAGATTTCGTAAATTTCTTTATGCGAGAAAAGACACTCAATACTGCTCTTAAACAGAATTGATCCCCAGATACAAGACAATCCTCCCACCTTGGCTTTTCCGACCCCCTCCCCCGATATAAATGTCTTATATTAGAGTAGCACGGTATCTTTCAAATTAAATTACTAATTTTTGTTTATGAGTTCGTTTATGAAGTTTATTTCTTAATAAAACTCCTTCTTTTTCATTCTTTCTTTGAACTTGTCAAGTCCGTTCATAGACATAGTAGACAAATAATAACATTTTCAAAATCCAAAGAGCAAATGGATCGCATTCATTTCAGTAAATCAAAAGTCCCTTCAGCCTCCCAATAATTTTATCAAATGGCGCCTAGTCTGAATTTTGGTCACCAAGCCCAAAATTATCGGTGGGCTCCTCAGTAGCACCCTGCACCTCCTGCCTCGGTACGCCCCTCGTATCTACATTGATGAAAAATCATTCAGGTCTTGAGATGGTGTTTGACGATCGTTGTTAAGTGCATTTAGGTTGGTTAATACTAGAAGAGGTGGTATGTTGCAAGGCAATTATTGTTCTCTTCGAACCTATTTATCGTGGTTTGCTGTTATACAGTTTCTGTCTTTAGTATTGTTGGTTTTATTCATGTAAATGGTCCTCGCCTAGTAGCTATTTGGCTAAAGCGCTTTCAGCGCCCCCATAATGTGAAAATTCATTTTGGCGCCCCTGATATTTAATCGGCATGCGGGGGGGGGGGCATAATCCAATAACACTTATAATCAACGGCAAGTATGTAAGCATAGTTAATACATGGGCGGTGCCGGCTCCAACCCCCTCCCCCCACTTTTTGCAAAGAAGTATTTTTGAGAGAATAAAAAGATGGAAAAAATAGAACTAGAAGAAAAGAACATTGCGATAAATCCTTTTATAGTATTGACTTATTTCAAAAGAATTAGCCGGGGTATATATTGACGCATTCAATTTTAAGACTGGAATTGATCAAATGTAAAAAACCATGCCTTAAAAATAGAAAAATATTTGCAATAAAAGACTGCAAGGAATATTCTGAAATGTGTATTAAGCTAGCCTAGAAGGCGTGGTTTTAACAATTTTCTGCTCGCTTCGCTCGCAAGGAAGCCTCCTCTTTGGATATACCTAAGGCCTCCTACAACCTCTCGTTGACCTTCCAATGTGCCGCTAGCATAACGAGTGCCCCATAAAATCATAGGCTAAAAATATCGTGAAGCATTTCAGTGCGTTTTCAAAAGCTGGTTTTTCAGTCTACAAATGTTATCAACTCGAGTTCCCTCGTTTTGAATTCTAGTTCATTCCTTTTTCATGAAACCATTAGCAAGTGACTTTAAGAACCGCTGCGAAGGCGATAAACATTCGAGCTTTTTGATGGAGCGGTAATCGGTGGGGATCGGCTTGTCATTTCGAAAATGAAAAATGAAATTTTACAACAACAAGACACTCGCAAGTTAATTGTCTACATTGGGAAAGCAGCAGGAAAGGTTTCTTTCTCCTTTATTTCATGTTTTTCGCAGTTTGCCCCGCTTGTCGTGATTTATGGTTTTCGTGACATCGAATCTTCGTCAAATTGTATCCTAGGCCTAGAAGGGTACTCACCGCATGTAATTTCTCTGTATGATTAGACTGTGACTCAGCTATCCCCTTGTTTCACCGCTAGACATTGCCTCCAACTCAATTTCAAGCGACCACCACTTGGTAGTTGTATCACAGTGGTTGTATTGCTGAATATAGTATTTTGCACGTCTGAAATTGAAGCCCATCAATTTGAAACGATAATATTTCACACCACCAATATCGGTGTAAAATGATATTGAACATACAATCAAACTTGAATTGTTTTACAATTATTGTATAACTTTTTAAAATGTTTTAAATTTTTACAGAATAACTAAATAATTGTACATTCTAAATAATAGTTTCTAAATTAGGCAAAGGGAAAGGCCACTCGTGGATCTAAACAAACATAGAGCATTGCTCTAATTAGAGCATCTGCTTATTTTCTATTTTATTTTTTTTGCTTTAGGGAGCTGTTTAAAATATTATTTCGTAGGGGTACACTGTCTCAGTAAACACGATTGTACCCCTGGCTAGAATACCTAACATCCCAGGCATGATTTGTATGCACCACTCATTTTAACGTCAACCTTTGCTGTTCTTATGCACACATCTGCTTCAATATTTTTTAGCCAGGCTATGGCTTGGGATCATGTACCTCGGTCCGGCTCTTTAAAGGGGGACCAAAAATCTGTTGGAAACAAATATGAATGAAAGAGAAAACTGAGCATATCCATTCTCTGCAAAGAGACCTATATTTCAATATAGAGAGGTCTTTTTTCTTTTTCTCCTCCTCTGCACTTCTGCACCACTCCACCTTCCCGACAACAGGCTGAAAACCCTTGATGCTCTGGAAGCAGGGGTAGTTTTTTCTCTTATGAATAACATCTTTCCTCTACTTCAGTTAACATGTGCTGTAAGCTAAGCACCTTGTACATGATTTTAGTAAAGATTGATGTATCTTGAAGACCTATTTCATCTTCATATATGGCTTATTACACTGGTGATAGGAGTCTTTCAACCCAAGCAATACAAAATGTCATCATCTACCATAATTTTTTTCAGACTTGAAAAGTTCACAGGTAACAGAGACTTAAATTTAGACCAATGGTTTGTAACTTCAAGTGATGTTGTGATATTGCAGAAAAGTCTGACAACATAGTGGTTGGTCTAATTCTTATTTTGCTATGAGTTGCTGGCTGTACCAAGGCCATCTTGGACTAATTTAAAGATGAAAAAAAAGTTAGAGGAACTATAGCAACCTTAAAGTACAACTTGCTGCAGTTTTCAATTCAAAAGCTGATGGGGAAGCTCGTATGAATTCCTTCAAGTGTTGCAATCAAAAGATTGATGAAAGCAAAGAAAAATTTATGACAATTCTTTTGCAGCTATTCAGCACTGTCAATCTGCACTGTTGTCGCCAATCTCACACTCTTGCATTCATAATTATTGCTGCATTGCCTTATTCTTGTATTATTACTTTGAATTTTCTAAATAAATTTAACAGATGAGGTGTTGACAATTAAGTAAAATCATTCATCCAGGTCAGTCCATGGTATCATGGTCCATCCACAGGCTTCTCTTAACGATAACATTGTTTTCTTAATAACCAACAAGTAAACCCATTCATCCCGCACAACAGTCCTTGAGTATTAAGACAGTTGCTAATGGGTCATCCCTTCAAGAATTATGCACAGTTTCAGAACCTACAGTACTGATCGATGGATATGCACCTTTTAAAGAACATCTTCATGTTAAGGTTTTCCCTACCTTTACAAAGTTACTCATCAAAGCTTTGTGTTCAAATCGTCCCTGTTTATAGTTCTTCTGCCTCGAAAACCATAAAAAAGGGCACCGTGGTTGCCTTACAGAAGTAAGACTTTTAAAAGTTCTCTGTCCAGAGAAACACCAATAATTTTCTATGTACACAAGACACCATGAATCCGTCTATCTGATCAAAACTTGGATCCTATTATGATTCTCACTTCACAGATTACTTGACTTGTCTTTCAATGAGCTAACATCTTGCTAAATGAATTTTCTGAAATCTTCTTTTTGTCATCACCAAAATTGGCAATGAAAGTGACAGAATTTGACATTCACTTGGCCCATTCAACACCCATTTTGTCCCTCTTTCACTAGTTCCATTTCATCAGCAATCTATAGTGAAGGAACATCTTCAGCATTTTAAACTTTGTGGCATGACTGAATGTATCGATTTACCTTATCATGTTGCTACTGTGCTAATTTCAGAGAAGAATGTTTTGAATAGCTGTGATGTTGCAGACCATTTCTGTATTGTATTTGCTAAAACGATTTCTCAACCCTGCCATCAAAGATTGGTCATCTCCAACACTACATCAGTTTTCTTGACCCTGTTCATGGCTCTCATGTCTGCTCCGCATATCCACTTTGGCGGTAGCTTTCACCAAATTCTTTGTGCCAAAATAGTCAAAACAATCAATGCCTTTTCTCCTGGTTATGGATTTGGTCAATGGAAATGAGGCCTTATACCACAAGGTATAAATCTGCATGTTTCAACAAACCACATACCAAATATTCTCTCATTTAAGCAATTGTATTCTACCACCCTTTTATGATGATGTGGTCATCAAAGGATGAGATTTCACATGTCATCTCTCCAGTCTTTGCAGCGTTTTAGCAAAAATGCAACAGTCTGATCTTCCTTTCAGTGCCTTGTAGTGCAATTTTTTTGCCTTGACTCAACTTCCTCCCAGTCCATCACAGATTTTTCAGTTCAATAAATTCTAAATCCTTGGAAAAGTTTTTAGGCATAGCATGATTTTGCAATCCATTTGTTTCCCACTTTTCAATTTTTGCTGCCCCTCTACAAGAACATGCAATGCAGAATTCCACCTTTGTCTGGAAAACAGAAGCCCAAGCAGTTTTTGGGATGCTAAAACAGCTTCTCTTGCCAGCAACAGTTTTTCATGCTGACTTTTTCCTTCTAGAAGTTGATGCATCATATAGGTAAAAGTGCATGTCCATAACCTCAGTATATAGCAAAAAAAGCAAAATATACCCTGCCTCTTGCGCCACCAGAGAGTTCATTGAATCAAGGTGGAACATTGAAGATAAAGAGGTGCATGCTATCATATTTGCGACTGAAGAAAATCATCGCTGTTGCTGAAGCTTCAATAAAAAATATCCAATCAAAAGATCAACACATGAAAGCACTAATTGAATATGTGTTTCTTGGTACTCCTCTTGGTAAAACCTCTTTTTATAAGCGCTGGACTGAGCATAATCAAATATCATCAATACCAAAATTTGGTTTTTCCCATTTAGTTTCTGGACATAAAAAAATGGGTGCTTCATCAATCAAGCTCCTAGAACTTCCTAGGTGTGTGTGGAGGCGCTTGATCAAGCTCAATCACCTTTCCTTGCAAGGCCTGTCCATTGTCAGTTTTTTACTGTATGACTTTAAAGGATGATTTCAATAAACTCAACAGCTTTTTTATATGTAGTCTGCAAAGAAAGCTATTGATGGAAGACAAAACTGTGACCAAGGTTTTGAGTCACTCTAGGTCTTTTACTCACAACCAAATACAAAAGTGCAAAAGCATTCAGCTGGTAGACTTAAATACGATGGACTTGAATGATTGCTTTACTCATATAAAGAGTGCAAAAATCTGAAGACTTGTTTCTTGCTTCATTTTATGTTTGTTTTCTACTAAAAGGGGTTTTAAATTATTTAGTTTAGAAATTGGTTTTTAATGTTATGTTCTTCTTTTTTTGTTATGTTATGTTATTTTAAAATTTTTAAAAGTTTGTTAAGTCAAAGTGCACAAGCAAATCATAGCCATTGCTTTCCCTATTTTGGTGTTTTAATGTTTTTTTCAAATATTGATAAATTTTCTTTTCTCTATGTCTTCTAGCACAAGTACTCTTTGATTGACGAAGAGGACATCCCAATGGTGAAAAGATTTAGGTTTGAGGTGAGAACTATTTCTCTTGTCTTTTCTCATGTTTTAGCTGTTGTATTTATTTCACTCAGATCCTGGTCTTATAGATCATGTTTGCCACAACATCCCCATTCCAATGTTGTAGTATTCCATCAGGCCATGCTGGGAATGGCGTGCGATCGCACGCCCTCGCCTTGGCACACGCCTTCCGTTGCTCAGAAGTGCAGTTTATCGCAGACATCATTCAGGCACCAACTAGGAGCAAAGTGATACCAGCTTTGCCAATCTCTTGGTCCCAAGTTATAAAAGGAACATTAAGATTTTCATTTTCAATGACCAGCCAGTTGTATTATTTGAATTCAGATTGGTTTTTTTGAGTTAAATAGTACATGTATGGCTGTACATGTGCACAGAGGTTGGAGATAGCCTAAACAAGCCCACCACAGATTTTTTAGGCGTGAACTGCGAAAGGACCCCTAAAAAACATTATCTCTCGGTTTAACAAACTCCCGATATACAAACTATTTTCTGGTTCCCTTCAGAGTTCGTTATATTGGGATTCCACTGTAGTTACAACCCCTTGGCACATGTAAGGCTTTGTTTATTTAAACAGGCTTATTGATCTTTAAGCTTTAAATGATTTGACCCAGATTACACTGTGGTTTACGAGTGTATCTTGCAAGTGCGATCAGTAAAATCCCGTTTTCTCAGGACTCACAATTCCTCTATATACAGTTTACTTTATGTGCATTTTTCTAATCTGTATGCGAATACAAAACTCTTTAGAAACTTTTACTAATAAAATGTGGCCAAAAATGTTCCAAAATTAAGAGACTTTGAATTGTGAGGATTTAGCTACTGTAGCTTTCTTACAAAATATAAACGTGCAATTAACCATTTAATTCATTCTAACATTAGTCAACAGATAAGTTTTCTTTATGGCGAAAACACAGTTAGAATTCTTAAATTCTGAGAACGAGATTGTCAGGAGAAGCAGACCAGAAGGGTTTATAAACTGCAGGATTACATAATAATTAACCTACCTTATTGTTAATGTTTTTCTCTTTAATATGTTGGGTTTAATAAAGCTTGTTTGATAAAATGTATTGATTGGACTAGCCTTGCTTATGTTTTCTTATGATAAAGTTATGTAGTCTAGTCCATATACAGCTGACTGTATTATTAAGTACTTTGGTGCAATAGCACACCATTGCACGCCTTCGCACCACAAGGAGTGCGATTCATTGCACCCCTGCCATTTTATTCCCAGCATGGCCCGTTCCATTGTTGTGATCAAGTGGTCTTCCATTTGCATGCAAGGCTAGGTAAAGACCACATGCTTGTGTTTGGAAGAGTTACTTTGCATTGCTTCCTCTCAAGTTCATATCAAATTACAAAATTTCTCAATAACGTGAATGCTATTAAAACCAGAAATAAAGCAAGAAAAATATTGGTTGATACTTTATCTGCGCTGAATTACTTTTTTTACCCCTATTTTTTTAATTTTATGTCAGTAAGTCACAAATGATTGATGCTGCATTATTATGAATTAATGTAGCTTTTGTAATTATCTTCTTGTTTTTATATGTGCAATGTATGCAGCCTTTGCAGTTATTTCATTGTTTCTATCTGTGCGCTATTTCCTGCTTAAAATGTATTCTTTAAAATTTTCCTTCCTAATATTTTGAAATTTTTCTTAAATGTTTAAAAAGATAAAATTCCCTTCTTTCAATCTGAATCCTTTAGGCCAAGCTAGATTATGATAAGAATGGCAATGGAGCGAAAGTCTATGCCATTGCTTATGATCGACTGAAAGAAAAACATCATGGCTGTTATGTGCACAACTACGTATGGTGAGTTACCCAGCTGCACTACAGAGAAAATCCTTGCTAAGTTTTTATCTGCATTTCTGAAAAACTGTTCGTTTCCCTCTAAAAAATTATGTTGATCAAAAAGTAATCTTGCAATTATCACTGCTTTGTCTAACCCAAACTCAGGTTCCATTAATTTACTATAATATTGGCTCCACTTGATACCTTCTGTTGTGTTGTAGTGTATTGTGTTGTGTTGTGTTGTGTTGTGTTGTGTTGTGTTGTGTTTGTTTTGTTGTGTTGTGTTGTGAGTGTGGTTTCCTTAGTTATGTAGGCAACATGTAGAATCAAAAATGCGTTCAATAGGAAAAAATACTTAAAATTATTTCTAGTCGTTTTGTTATGAAAGTCCTCATGAATCCTCTTGTTGTTAGTGTGATAGCAATTAAATGAAATCATTGAAAATTTTTAATTCATTGGATTTTTCAAGGCAGAAGAGATGTGGAAATATTGCACCAGGATTTAGAATTAATCACAAAAATGGAGTCACTGTTGGTGTGTATATGCAAAAATTCATTCCAAACTCAAGTTTCAGAACATGAAGCGTTGATCCTAGACTTTGTATCTGACGAAGTTTTCCAACTAATTGAAGCAGGAGTTTAAATAAGATTAACAGAGCAAGTGGTTCAAGGTTATATTTCTTCATAACTTAAATAGAAACCTGGCGTTTCAATTATTGTTAAACTTTCATCTGCCAAACTTGGCTCCCTGTCTAGGGTCCTCGTCTTCTTCTCACCCATTTCTCGACATCTTTTAGCAATTCAAGAATACAAAGTTCGTCCTACTTCGAATAATTGCTCTCATATTTGTGATGGCATTTCTAAATCTTCCATGTCTTGCAGAGAAAGTTCTGTCAAAAACGATTTATCCCAAAAACAACAATAACTTAATATCTCTCCAATATCTTTCCCGTTAGTTGCTGATCTACCCATTTTTCATAGGTATTTTGATGGACTGAAACTCCCTGAAACTCCCCTCTACTCAGTCTTTTCGAGTCCCCTCTCCAAAATGGCAAACTTTTCCCTACATCTTATTGTTCTTTGCAAGAGCTTCTGGAACTCGAAACGATTGGCGCGCTTCTAGCTTCCTGGGTTATCAGAATCTGTCATGTTTCAAAGCTAAAAACTGAAGTCTTCACCTCATCTCCTTCTCTTCTGAGCCTTCCCGCCTTCCCTTTTTAGGCCTTTGCTATTCCTTACCAGTTTTTATCTTTAAAGGAGGAAGCGAGCTTGCATTCCCTTTGTAAGTAATTCAGAATACTTGTTATTCAAGCGATCTTTTGTAGATTATTATACAATGGAGTCTCTTCCATGTATTAAGATTTTTACAAAATTGCTACAGAATCGTAATTTGTTGCAAGATTCAATAAGGAAAGTTTGAATATTTCTACCTATGATGCTATACATTCTTACAGATAACCGACTGCAGAATCTAGAGTTAATTCCAGCAGCATCTTTGCCGTGTTCTTCAAAGGAAAATGATGTTGCTATGTAAGTAATTTTTGTAGCAAATGCCTTTTTATGAATTTCGAAAATTTCCGCTGTCTTTTGAAGATATGGTTTGATGTTAATCAATTGTATGAAATCTCTGCGATTATTTGGTAACGTAATAAGGCAGTGTTTTTCCATCTCTGTTTTATTTTCAAGAGGTTTCTGTATATCTCTCATAATTGTTTAGGTATTCTTTTAGCACCTTGTTGACTTTTAAAGGTAGCTCTTATTAGTCACACTGTTGCTACATATCTTCATCTGATATTAATGCAAACAAAAAGGTTTCTGTGTCGCTTTCTTTGGGTTGTATATGAAGATTTGCAGTTACATAAGAATCTTTTTTAAGTCGAACATGAAGAAAGCAGATAACATTTCCTTTGGTACGATTCGTCAAAAGTGGTAATAAGATCATATACAACAAGATTAAATAAGTGTTCAATAAGTGGCAAGGTAAATACCAATTTGACTGTGAAGATAAAAGGAGATTATTTTCACAAGCAGCAGTATTCAAGAGAGTCACAACTGGTCGCTTGAAGACACATTATATTGGAAAGCAATTTCACAAATCCCAGCGATTAATTTGGAAGATGTTGTGAGTATTAGTTTGATCTATGTTCTGACTTTTTTTACTCTGAAGAGGGTCAGGCAAAAAATATGTTCTAAAATGTTTGCTCTTTTCAAAGCCACTTTTAAATTCCGTACCACAATAAGATTGTTTGTTATTGATATCGCAAAATGATAACACCTTTTTCTTAAAGGTAATGTGTCCAGCTAAAGCAAGCGACTCTGCGGGGGTTATGTGATTTTTCATGTCATCGCCCCAGCTATTACGGTCGTTCTGTTTATCTATCCTGCTGCGAGGTTAGCTTTTTATGTGAGCAGTTTTGCCTCGCAAGAATACTAACCAATCGCAGACCGTTATTTTGATGGGTGGCGTGACAAGTTGGGTATACGCAGTCCTTTTATATGGACACATTACCTTTAAAAGGTGTAAAAAATTTGACAGCATTATTTTAAAGTCGAATTGTTTCGCTTTATGTTGCGATATTACCAGCTTTTGTTGCCATTTACCTCTGAAGCGGTATCGTTGTTGTCATTGTCTCATCATCTTTCTAACGACGTTCTAATGTCCTTTTCAGCTACTTCACCAACCTTCCTCTATTATTAACTCGGATGGAGAGATTTTGGGCTCCGAAGGTATTTTCATTTTATTTCATTTTCAATTATTTAAACAGGGTTAAAGTTATCAATATTAGGTTTGGTTGTTAAGTATAATTCTTCTTTAGTTGCTGTGGAGGATTCACGTCATCCACAAGCATCAACACAGCAGCATTGTTCCGCGGCCTTACACGTGACCTAGCCCCTTTAAGTATATCAATTGTTTTACAAACTGACCTGTACAAATAAAAGGCGAAATACAAAATTGCAATCCAAATATACAACAGAAAACAAAAAAAGAAGTTGCTTAGAAATAATCGAAAGATTATCAGAACTGAAAAATGGTTCATTCATGTTCTGGAGTTTTCAAGACAGGATCTTTTTTAAGGTTTTTTTAAGTTTGATTTTGCGTCAAAGCCATACCATTTGTTCGCTCGTTAAAAAAAATGCTGGCCACATGTTTTTCGTAGATACCAGGGTAGAGAGATTGGAATATAGGCGCTGTGTATGGAAATCACATTTCTACCATTGTTTTGCGTGAAGCCAGTCAAAGGGCCACTCCAACCCAACAATTATTTCTGAGATTTTTGCATAAATTGGTAGTTAGTCGAGAGTTAGAAGGTATCGTGAATTATAAGGATGAATCACCGTGTATCAACATATCATGTCTCTGTCTTGCTGGCCTAATTTGACAATTTGACTGCTCTATCAGACAGACTCGTGCGATAAAATGCTCCATATTCGATCAGAATATTGAGACTGATTGACGATACTTGTATCTTTATACGCAGTTAAAAAACAATTCAAGTCAATGACCAATTTACAAGCGCTTATAACTACAAAACGGTTATGAAAGAGATATGAAATATGAAGAAAATATGAAAGAAATAATAGCAGACTCGTTTTCAGGAAATCTGATCACATCGTGTTCTGAAATAAAAACTTTGGGCCGGAGTGGCCATTTAAAATCCATGGCGCAGTCATTTGTGACGATTTCATTCGCCACTTTAGACAATTTTTAACATTATTAGGCTCATTCATACACCAGCGTCATTCCTGGCCTTATGATAACTGTCAATTGTCTCATTTTTCCTTCCACTCACTTTGCATGATTTGCTGCATTTCGATTTCAAACATTTCTATGAAATCTATCTAGTCGATTTTTTGAATTATCAAGCGTAAATGCAAGTCGAAAAAGCCTTTCAAAATTTCCTTTTTTTTAAACTGCTGACTTCAAGAAACATAATGAAAGAGTTGGTATTTTTCAGGCGAACCATCTTTTTTCTACGAATGTCATTACACGCCGTGCTGCAGAATAGAAAGAGAGGTAACCTTGTGTTTAGCCATGTAAAATTTGAGTTTGACAAATTAATTAAATGTTATGAAGATGTTGCCTTGAGAACATATTTTTCAAAAAGAGTGTTTTTTATTATCTTTTAAATTCGATGAATTGTGTTTATGTGCATTAATTTGACATGGAAACTTTTTTATGAGTTTGCACGATGCCATTTTGATTGTTTTTTGTAGTTGAACGATTTTCGCATTTGTGGAAGGTGCAAACAGGTTAGATACTGTGGGCCATCCTGCCAAGAGGTATGCTGCATGTTGCATCGTAGTTCGTGTTGTCTTACAGTGTATGATGCATTATGATGCATGTTTCATTGTGACAGGGGCATGGTGACCCACCGGGTCTCCTGATAGGCCCTTTAAAACTTCTCATGTGGGCCCCTTCATTTTTCCTTATTTTAAGCTTTCATTGTTTGTAACATCAGATTTGTGAGAGAAACAATTGAAGTGAGGCCCCACGCTGCCGCTGTGACACTCATTTCCAACATTTTCTAAGGGATGGCAACAAGAGACATTTAGCATCAAAATGGTGTGCCGCTAAAAACTTGATTTTGCCGGCCTTGAAATTGTGATGCAAGTCGGTGCTTGTTGAATTCCATTTTCTACTTGTAGTTGAAACATTGAATCCCATTTAAATGTTATTTTTGTTTTTTCTCATTCAAGCAGTGTTTTTGTTCTGTTTGCAGAAAGATTGGCCTACACATAAGCCGGTTTGTGTATCAAAGAGAAAATACGAAAAAGATCATCTTGAGAAGCAACCTGAACGATGAGTTCGAAGGTATCCCCAATTTGGCATTTCCAAGCAGTCGCTTCATGCTTTCAGTCCCTTAGCTTCTTCTATCTAAAACTGTTTTAAATTCAAATACAGGAATGCGAACTGAATGGAAACTTTAGGAAGCTGCGAATCGTGATATGTATAATATAATTACACCACAATGGGTGTACTCCAAATCGCGTTTAGATTCCTTGAGACTCTCTGAGTGTATAACAATTGTAAGTTCACAGCAAGCTCATTTGGTTGTTCCCTCGCCCAAAATTTATCCCAGGGCTTACATGAAGATTTTCTAGTTCTATTCCTGTTATTAATCTAGTTTAGAATTTTTGTTTGTTGTTTTAATTTAGAGCGTTTGTTAAGTTATAACTAGTTTCTTAGATAATTGCATAAATTATTCAATAAAATGTATCTATAATAGTTCAGTATGCCATTTGCGATGGTGTTTGTTTAGGTTGTTAAAAACAAACCTGATGCGTTACATTCGGAGTTTTAGCCTTGTTTTGTTATATTGTTCTGATGTTAGTTTGTTGTTTGTGTTTGCCAGTTGATCAAAATGTCGTCAAAATTGATACGTAGTTTATAGATTTAGCTAGAAACAATTGTATAGACAGTAGCCAATTTCAGTGTTTTGTCCTGAACTCTGTCGTGTAAAGAAAAGCTTTCCTATTGCAAGTTAATGATAACGACATGAAATGGATTTGTATACTTTTGAAAATTATTGTTACAATATTTTTGCAAGCAATTATCATTGAGTTGTATTTTTTGTCAAAGAGATTTATTCGTCGTGATTGCATTTAGACATTGAAAAATCAATATTGCCTTCCGAACATATAACAGTGTTGGATTTTCATAATATTATTTGCTTTGTATATTTTGCTGATACTGTATGTATAGAGTTCACATGTGTATTTTTTTCTGCATATTACTCAATTATGATATTCAAGTAAAATATTGACCAGACATTGTGTTTAAAAAATAGCAAGTTTAAAGTGAGTGGGTCATCAGACATTTTGTCAGCTATACCCTTACCCGCAAGAGTAAACAAAATTCAAAAATTTTCTTCTATTATATATTTTTAGTACCAAATTTATGCTAGTATTAAGACTAGATAAAATTTTCATTGTTTCCAACCAAGAAGTCTAATTACAACTTTCATGTAACTTACTGTAGCTTTTTCTGTTTTGCTAAAACATTTTACAGCATCGCCGCTATTTCCGATTCAGACTCTGCGTCCTCCGTACTAAAATTGCGCGCTAATTGGATACTCTGGTTTTTTCTTGATTTCTGGGCCTAAAATTGAAGTTAAGCATTTTTGGAAGCACAGATCGTCACGAGACAAATCCCATGCAGATCAAAACCCAAAGTATGATATCTTTTCCAAAGAAAAATCAACAAAATAAAAAACTTTTAAAGATTTCTCTAAAAATTGAAATTTTACAGTTTCCGTAAGAACAATCTTAACTTTTCTTGAGCCTAAAGTTTTTAATTTTTGGCCTTCTTAATGCTAGTTTCTTATAAACCAGCTTCTTATAAAAAACGTGTAGTTTGTATGTTAAGACAAAGTAAATGACACTTTATTCCGTAAAAATGTGTTTTTGGTTTTGTTTGCTCATATTATTTCCTGTTTTTTAGCCACGGGGGCAAATTGTTCCTGCTTTTGAACCACGACAAATTATTGATTTCTTCAGTTCTGTCAAGAGGTTTTTACAAAATATTTATTACACAGAAGAGAGAACCTCCTTAATTACGTTGAATCCCCTTATCTTTGACCTCTGGCTTCTGGATCTTTGGATTTGCGTTCGAAGGACGAAAACGATGGAAGAACAAAAAAAGTTGTTTGTGAAAACTATGAGTTCGGATAACAAGTATGGCAGGCAAGATAGCGATACATCTGGTAGTAGCTCAATTGTCGACAGCCCCATATACACGAAATTCACTGGAAAACTTTTATCTCCCCACGACATGGAATTTCAACGCTGCAAGCTCATATTTTTTAACGCTGCACTTCACAGTTGTAATGCTAGAGCCTTTGCAATTGTAGAGACAGTCGATGATGTCAAATATGCACTAAAGTATTGTCAAGAACACGGCGTAAGTATTGTTTATGATGCTATATATGAAGCAGACCCCGACCTGACGATAATATTTTCGGGGGCAAAGCAATTCTGCTTTTCAGCTAGCTGACTGTGTTCCGCTCGTTACCGTATGACGTTCGATTAGACATTCGGACTAAAATGGCTCGGTATAAGAAATCTGTGCTAGAGACTTGAAAACAAAGTTACTATTTCAGTAAAATTTCCATTCAACAATTCTAGGAGTGCAACATGATTAAATATCCTGTATCCTGTTTATCTGTAAATCACCAGGAGGCACTGACTGGCCAGGTGAACCATCTTTTTCAGGAAATCTCTTCTCTTGTGTGAGAAACCCCAGCATAAACATGGGAATCAATGGGTACATGCTTAATTTCCCATAGTGCTGCTGCTAATAATGGGACTTCTATTTGTGGTTACTGGTAATGATTCCTGTAACCTCTCTCAACAAGTCAACCCTGCTGTTGTCTTAAAGACCTGAGCAGTTGTTTTGTCATTAAATAGGCAAGCAGCACTGATTGGGCAACCTCAATAGTCATGTGCTTGCATTTTTGATTGTCCTATTTTGTTGCACATCTGGGTATATATATTTCTGAGCGTAGTGTTTTCGAATTATGTTGTGACGTTTTATACTCTGAAAACGTTTCAGGTGAAAAGCTTAAGCATGATTGAAAATGTTTGTTTTTGTGTGATGTCAGTTTCTTTTCATGCCTATTTTTGGTCATGTCAGTGTCTTGTCATGCCAGTATTTTGTCATGTCAGTGTCTTGTCATGCCAGTTTTTGATGATGTCAGTGTCTTGTCATGCCAGTGTTTTTTCATGCCGTTATCATGTCATGCTAGTGTTTTTTCATTTGTTTGGTTATGTCAGTGTCTTGTCATACCAGTGTTTTTTCATGCTGTTATATTGTCATGCTAGTGTTTTTTCATTTGTTTGGTTATGTCAGTGTCTTGTCATGCCAGTTTCCTGTCATGCCAGTGTCATGTCATGCCAGTGTCTTCTTATGCTAGTATCTTGTGGTGTCATGCCAGTGCTTGGTTTGTGTCAGTGTCTTGTCATGTCAGAGATTGGTCATGCAGTGTCTCTTTGTGCAAGTGTCTTTTCGTGCCAGTGTCACACTGATTTTTTGTAGACAGATTATGCAAGATGATTGGGAAAACTAACAAACCATTTTTAAAAGGCAATAAATTTCAAAACCTATCAATAGCTATTACCTTAATGGATATGAAATACAAATTAAAGATAGTTCATCACTGAATTGGAACCCTAATTTTGTTGTAATTGTATTTTGCAGTGCCCATTATGTGTAGTCAGCGGAGGACACAGTGACTATGGAATACGGAATGGTGCATTCGTTGTCAGTCTGTCCAACTTGAAAAAGATTATCGTTGATCCTCAAAAGCAGGTTGCTATAGACAATTTACATTTAGATGCAATGAATTTAAAAAACCTATTTAATAATGTGCAAAGTAAGGAATTGACAAAAAGTCTTCCCATGTAAATTAGATGTTGCTTTGCTATTCTGTTATTGTTATCCAAAATTTTATATTCTTCTGAGTTATGAATCCCCTTTTTCTTGTTCTATGAAACAATTCTTTTCTTGGCCTGTTGCTTTGCTGTGAAAACAAATTTTGGTTTGGAAAACTTGATTATAGGATTTTGAATTCCTTAGATTGCATTTGTGGAACCTGGTGCTCTCCTTGGAGACCTAGATGTAGCTAGTGTAAAACACAATCTGGCAACTCCCCTTGGAACTGCAAGTACTGTTGGCATTGGGGGCCAGGCTTTGGACTTAGGAATGGGGTTTCTGACACCCCTTTTTGGGTTTCTGATACAAAATGTCATTGAGTATGGTATGTTGTAATATCAAATCTCAAATCATTTTGTTTACATGCGAGGTTTCTTAACAAAAGCATTTTTGTGCTAGACTTACTGCAAAATTTAATAAGAACTTTCTTCCACATCATTGGTATATTTTGCACCCACCAAAGATTTCTATGCAAACTTATCTGATTTGAGAAATATTTGTATCACCAACAGTATCTTACGTGTTATGCTTAATGATTTCATTAAGGAGCTGATTCTATCAAAAATTATATTTGATGATTGAAGACCTTCTCTGTTAAACATATTTTTATTTTGGTGATTTTCACTTGAATGTTAAATCTTGTTGAATTACCTTCTTGTTCTTATATATCTACTTGCTCATTTAAGGGTTATCATTTTTATGAAATCCAGTAAAGTTTTATATTGATAACTATTAGAATCATGTATGATCCTTCTTGGTTTGCATAAGAATTGTCAAAGTCAGTTTCAAAAGGTGACCATTTTTACTGGGTTGTTTAAGGATTGGATACCTATTCCCTCTAAAATCCTAGCTTAGGATCCTTTCACCTGGTACAAAAATCAGAATCATACACAACTTACAGCAAAGGTTTTTCTTGTTAAGTCAGGTTAAACCATGGGACAATGGTTGAAATATTTACCAACAGTAGTGGCCATGGGCAGGAGGGCTTAAGCCCAAACATATAAGTAAGCCCCCTAGTAGCATCCAATCTGTTTCAGCTTATGAATAATTTCTAAACTTTGTGACTTTTTTCTCATGTTGTCTTTTTTATAAAGAAAGACCATTTTCTTATAGTAGGCACATGCCTCAAAAGCCCTTCTGGATAAGTGCAATTTCATGTTTTACGTTTCCATCAGAAGTCGTGTACATTATCCTTTGGTAGTTATGTTGCATTTTAATATTGTTACATTCAATGGTCGTCAATAACACCACCTCTTGTAAATGCCTACTAGTATTGATCCTCAGTGTTTTTATGAATCTGGTCTTGTCAAAAATCAATTAATTCCATTGCGGTTCATGTCTTTCTCTACTTCTCAAATTGCAGACCTTGTTACAGCAGATGGAGAGGAAATAAAAGTTAATGAGAAATCTCACCCTGATTTATTCTGGGCAATGAAAGGATATGGCGCAAACTTTGGGTACAAAATCATTTTAATTTTCCTCAGAATATTTTATCACAGATATTGTAATATTCAGTCGAGGCTACTTGAATGACTTGTTTTTGAGTTTTTGTCAAACATCACTACTTGTCAGTATCAAACAAAATTTTGCTGTTTTATATCTGACCTATAAATTTCTTTAGCTCTGATTCCTCTGAATATACAAGTTTTTGGCAGAATACTTTGTTAAGATATTTTGTACACAATTTTGTGCCCTACAATTTACAAGATTTACTTCAGTCAGCAAATATTTTAAAAAGGAATCAGTTTTCGTCAACTGGAATAATTATTTGTCTAAAACATTGGAATTACGGTTGGCCATTCCCCAGCGCAGTTTTTGTAACATACTGGTGTAAAATTGTTTTTTTTTTCTGATCTTGGAAGTTTCATTTTTACTGGAGTTTTCTGTAATTGTTGCTAACACTAAATAAAAGAATGTAAGGGCATGAACTTTAAAAACCTTTATTACATTTTCTCGTCCATATATACTTGCGTGTTACCTTCTTCTGGACTATGGTAGTCAAATTTTGTTGAGACCCACTTTGATTCGTAACATATATTTTTGATTTCATTTTTTATTGTCCGCCGCTTTCTTATATCCGTAATCGTTTTTCTGCAGCATTGCTACAAGGTATACAATAAAGCTACACAAAATTCCTCCAGTTATGGTGGGAGGGCGCTGCTATTTTTCTTGGCATGATGCAAAAGTAGCAGTAAAGCATTTCAGGACTGTCCAGGACATCATGAAGCAGCGTTGTTTTGTGGGAAATGTCATCCTTCATATCGCCAAAACAAGGTGTATTTGCAATTGGTCTTCTTACTATGTTGAAATTTGACTAGACGTTAATCCAGCCTGCTATTAGATTGAGTATTGATTATTTCGTATTGTTTTAGTTTGTTGATAAATATGCTGGCGCCTTATTTTTGAAATGAAATGTTTTGTCCTACAGATGTAACCTATTTCAACAAAAAGGTGATATACACAGCCGATTGATTGATTTCCAATAAATGGACCTTTTTGATAATAAACCTTTTTATATTTTCTATAGACGTTTACAGAAATACCTTTTTACACCAAGCAGGACGTTGTTCTAAGGATGAGATTTTCTTCAGCTTTCAGGTTTTCTATCGATTACTTTATGTTGGAAGCACGGACGACGGCTTTGCTGCGATTAACATGCTGCTGCAATCTTGCACTGCTGTGCCGCTTTATAAGGACATCCAACCCGTTGCTTATGATGTATTTCAGAAATCGTGCGACTTTCTGTATGAAGGTGGCATGCACTTCTATCAGAGTCCAGGTCATTTCTTAGAAGGTAAATAGGCTAAGCCTCTTTTTATATGAATATGCTAGAGTATTTTACCTTTTTACCGGAAATATACGCCTTATTTCTATTTAGATACTGACATAAACAGTACAAGTTCCACACCAACATCTAATATTTTATGAATCGCAGGCACAAATGTTTTGACGACTATGATCATGTGGACAATCAGGCTTCTTGGTTATTTAATTTTGAATAGGTAAAGTCGATGAAAGGAAACTTTTGTGTGATGCAATGGGTGACTTTTAATACATAAAGGAAACCTTTTAAATTCCTGTATCTTCAATATGATGATAAACGACTATTGCATCTAAATGTTTAAAAAAACATGATAGAATACTCTTTTTTCTTTTTTAACTCACTCTCGGTAATGGTTTAGAATTTCACTTTCACTAGTATCATGCTTTTATATATGCTGGAAATGCCAGTAAACAGACCAAGATGCATATGAAACCTTGCGAGTGGTCTCGCTGATCAGTATTTACTTTATTAGATTACCTTTTAAAGGGCGTAAGTGATTTACGGGGGAATTTCTTTGAAAAATGCCTTTTTATCAATTGCATTATAAATAGGACTGTAAGAAGGGGTTAGGTCCTTGTATAAAATCCTATAGACTTACGTTACTGCATTAAAGAAGAATTGCCAGTTGATTCACTGACAGTATATAAATGGTAACAGTGATTGAATGGAAATGTAAATTACTTCGACTATCAAACCATATTAGCCTAACGTCTTATATTCTAGCGCTGTTTAATCAGCAAGTGACACTTGCCTTGATGCATTTTATTAAACTTTCCCTACCATCATATCTGAATCCCGCTCACAAAAATTTGTCAATTTCTGATAACCGATTCCAAAAAATTACGATTCCCGCTTCCCCGAAAAACACATTGGGTACAGTACCCTCATATTTCGCTACACAAAGGATTCTTTTGTAAAATAATTGCATACAGACCATATGAGGAGCAACATGTTTATATTAATCTTATCTATTTTCTTTTGACAGTCTTATCAGATGAATATATTGACACCGTGGTCGACTCGCTCTCCGCCCTGAATGTCAAAGACAACTACTGCACCGTTGTCTATTTCTCTTCCTTGGGAGGCGCATTGAAAGAAATTCCCAGAGACTCTTCTCCGTTTTTATTCAAAAATGCAAAGTAAGATTTCATTTACTAATCAAAAATGCTTTTCGCAGGAGGTATCAATCAAAATATTTTCATAATTATTGCTTTATGCACCAGCCTTCTAACAAAATTATCTGAATTTCCTATACTATGTCTCACCAACCGCTACCTTCTGTAGCTGATTCTCCAGTGACGCTTGTTTTGTAGCATTCGCTGAAGCGTTCGTACAAAATTCTGTTCTTTCCAATTTCAACTGTTCGATCAAATTTCAGCGCGCGCGATATTGGATAAATGAAAAAAAATGAAATGAAAAACGAGATTCTTAGGACAGATATATTGTCTCATGACTGTCATTTTTGTATATGAGAAAAAGAAATTCAGTTATATTTACATTTGAGGGAAAACCAAGTTTTTAAAAAAAGCACGTAAAGATTGGGTCCGTAAATTGGATAAAGACAGAGATCAGAAAGGTGAATACCAATTAAATCGGCATTTGAAGAACTATTTTTGCTTGTGGAAAAGAATTATTGCCTAATCTACCCAGTAAAGTTCGAGACTGCAAGTCAGTTTCACTTCTACTAAATTCCGGTTGCTGTGAGAATGCTATATCGCAAAGGCCTATTATGAATATCATGCAGTTCTATTGTCCCATGTTTACCTCGAATAATTTCGCTTGACGAAAAGTAGAAACTAGTTCAACTATTTTCAAGCGGATTTTTCGATGCGCGAATGCTTTTCTCTAGAAATTTTTCTTTCTGCGCATGTGTCGTCGCGAATTTTTCAGATGAACGCTGCGAAAGAGCGTCCGTGGAGATTGGCCTTATGTCTCGCTACAAATGAAAGCTACTTCTTGGAGAAACGAAAGCTATTTCTTTCTTTGCCACTTCCACTTTGGTAGCCTCCTTCCTTGCTCCCAGACCTCTATTTGAGATGTTTGAAAGCAGTTGCTAATATATTGTTAATTATGTTACGTTGCTACTGCTAATTTGAACATTGTTTGTTCAGTTGGTGGGTGGGCGCTGTTGGATCCTCTGCTGAAGAAAGTGGTTACCAGAAAGTGTGCACTGTAATCAATGGAATATTCACAAAACTGCAATCCCATGCTATGACCGCAAAGCCGTCAGATGTTTCGATGACTGAACAAAAATTAAAAGCCATCAAGCAAAAGTATGACCCAGAAAATTTGTTTAAGAACAACCCTTGCAACATCTTACCTTGAGAAAATGTGACGTTCAATGCGTCGGAAAGTGATAAGTCTGCTTGCTTATGCAATCCTCCTTGCTGCTGGCCTCATGATGTTGATCATTGAACTTTAGATGTGCCGAGAGCCACCAGTTGACACATCTGTTAAAAATGCTTTGAAAAAACAACTCCTTTGCCGACGTAGCTTAATCAAGTATTTTAAATGATGCTATCTCCAGAAAGTTTGCTTGTCGATTTCATAGTCGTTGCTGGTAGATAGAGCCCTAAAGTTCACGAGAAAGAACGCTTCTCTCAGTTTATCAATCTGGCTTCGAACTTTTTCGTCATTTTTTAAACATTTTGATAAATGTTTCTTGTAATTTTTTCATTGAACAGCTTTTTTAGCTGTTATCGTATCGTTTTTAATTTTTAGTGAAAAAAATATGATAACATTGCATTTGGTTAATTTATATGAGTTTTCTCATATAAAGTTTAGCATGAGTTTACTTTATATGAACACTATTACTGTAAATTGAGAGTTCGAGGTGGAGAAGTATTTGAAAAATCTTGGTACTGAAAAGTTTCATTTAGCCAAGGACATTTCGTATTTCTATGATCATTAGCTTTGGCCTAGTTCTTTTTGAAAGAATTTGTGCGGCCTCATAATAAAAGGGCTGCAAAAACTTTTAGCTGCTGAGACATGAACTGGGGAAAGGGGGATTACTAACCCTTTAATTCCATACATGTCCGAAAAATGTGACCCATAATACCGCAAACATGATGAAAACTATACCCATAATTCCGTAAAAGAAAATTTTTCAAGACACAACAAAATCATCAAACAAATTAATGTCTTTTGCCCCAAAATCATTTTGTTTTCATTTTGTTTGTGTCATTTCATTAAATCTTTGGACATTCATTTTGTTAATGCTAAATTTCCCTCTTGATGCTTTTGCAGTATATTTCCCAAAATGGTACCGATACACTGTTAATGCTGCACTTTTCAGGAAAAGTACCCCTAGATAATGGCACGTCCCCGTACCTTAAAACATGTTTATGTACCCCCCCCCCCAATATAGTAGGACTAACCTCACGTTATCATGTAATTATAGCCTCGATTACGTTTGTATATAGAATGTAGCCATTAACCTCCAATCCAGTCAATTACTTACTTATATCACGAGTCGTTTTCTTCATTTCGTGAGTTACTCTAAAGTAGCTGACTTTTGTCTCTGTTACACCAAGGACATGCAATGTGTCATCTCGAATTAAATTTGAACAAAAACATTTGAAACTTTTAATGATCCAGCTTAGATTTCAGATTAAAGTCCGAAAAAATATTTTCTAAAGTTATATTGATTTCTCAGGAATAAGAGTCTGGCTTCTATTTGTTCCGGTTTTCATTTTGTGCAGCTAACATGGCAGTTTACAAACAAAGAAATACGGTAACTGCGCGTGTACGTGTTAAAAGTCTATATAAGCAATAATTTGGTCTAATAAATGTTTAGTTTACAATACGTCCGTGTTTTGAATTCACTGTTAACACGTACAAAAATCTAACTTTCTAATTGACATAGACAATGAATTTGGGAAACTAAGAAGTTACAACTACTGCTAACGCTACTAGTTATTGTACAACTTTTTGTAATGATTGGAAACACTGTCAATTCAGCTACTTATAAGGTATACAAAGAAGAGTATAAGATATCGTAAAAGATATTGTTCTTTATATTGAGACAGTTCGATTTATTCGTCTTGCGATTTATGCATTGCTTTTGTAAAATTCCTACTACTTTTGTCCAGGCGACTACACTATTTCAGCTGCTTTAGATTACATGTTCCTTGAAAATACCAGGTTAAACCCTGCTGCTCCATTCAGGGTGGATTATGAAACAGGTACCCTGCTTTTTATGGGGAAGCATGTACATTGAAGTAATGTTAACATCAGCGTTCATTGAGTACCTAGGTAGGCCATGCCAGGACTGGTAAGAAATTTTCGTTGGCTTCAGCCATGCGCTATCACGTCTCCAAGCAACACTTGATGTTCTGTGTAAGATGTTTGTGCGACATGATAGCCTCGAGACCGCTGACCTGCAAAAACAATAAGAAAACTGCATTGACTACCATGAAATAATTTGATATTTTAAGTCGATATTAATAACTTATAATTTCACCATACGATTCAATTCCGAACTTTGTTTCAAAGAGGGCAGCTGATATCTTATAGTTCCAAACGATAGTTACTGCTGTATTTATTCTTGTGGATGTTATACATAGCATGGCTATTGTTATTCTTTTTAAGAGTTAAATGATAGTGGTGTCAAGAAGTCTAGATCAAATTTCTGGTGTATCCTTACTGCTTGGCACTGAAAGATAGCACCGAGCCATCAGTTGCAGGCCTTTGTTTTGTAAATGCAATTGCTGGCTTGAAAGCATTTGCAGCCAAAATGTTATCAGAAGGTGAGTTGAGCAGCTCTTCTGCCATATGTCTTTCTGCAAAATGAAAAGGAAAATTTCATTAAATGGCTATACAGAGCAACGGTTTTGATATCATTCTGAAATTAGATTCGACTTAATACCGACGAATAAAGTGGATCATTGCTGTTTTTACAACTTGTTAATTTTTTATAAACGCAAATAATAAGTTATATTTTTACCTTCTTTATCATATCGACTCAACCACTCTTTTGCAAAATCATGGGGGTCTTTCTCTGTTTCCTAAGGACAAAGAAAATGTTTTTCGTTGTTTACTTCCGGTTATAATTCAAGATCAGCACGAGACATAACGAGAGTGGTACTTGAATACTTCAACCCGCGGGAAAAGATATAACAGATAGGTACCTTTTTTGAACTCTTGTGATTTCCCTTCCTTATGGATGATGGAAGACGTGGCACTGAAATGAAAGAGACTGATGCTAACATCAGAGCATTCGAACGATATCGATTCTTGAAATAATGTTTCAAACATTTGGTGGCCACAAGGTCTTTTTTATTCTAGGCTTATAGAAATGGCCTTTAAGTTTTGATCTTTCAACGGGATGCGAAACCACCGACCTACCACTAGTAGCAACCCTGTGTGAATCAGATATGACTTCGAAGTACACACTTCAACCACAACTACTTACAATCAGGCGGAGATGCAGTGGCTTCTTTAGGCTTTTCTCTTGTACCAGTTGAGGTCTCTCCTGCATAACAATAAAATATTGAATATAATGCCAAGTTATAACTCAAATTTGGCTTCATAATAACAGTTACCCTCTTTGCTATTTAGTTGCAGCATTGGGGACACTAGCATAGCAAATTGTAGAGAACTCAAGCGCAACAGTGCAAGTTTAGCCTGAAGCAAATGTACCGAGAAGCCATGAAAGTTGGTCATGAATGCGAAGACAGCTTTGTATGGTAACAAATAGAAAGTGAACAACATACTCATTTTGACTTGGTTTGCTTTAGCAACTTCATTAGGCAGGTGACCAGATTCCTTTGGCACAATTCCTGTACCTTGTATATTTCCCGTTGATAAAATCCGATCAGGAATTTTCCAAGAAAGAAAGTGCTGGCGGAGAGAAAAATAGATAAGTACATGTGGTAGCAAAACAAGGCTCTAAAACTGGTTAAAAGAAAGAGTAAAACTCTTTTTTGCATATCCTCGACTTTTGCTACCATGCAAAGAGATTGCACCACTCTTCAAAAGAAGATAATATGAATGCTCTTGGCGAAAAAATAAATCTACTTTTGCTTCAATTTTTGTGTCGAACGTACTTGTCTTATTTACACTCTATTATTTTATATAGTGAGTCTGGTACCCAGGGTAGGCGAGTGCTAGCTTTTTCGCTCTAGCGTGGTGTGCAGGCTTCATTTACCAACAAAGTGAGTGAGACAGCCTTAATTCGCTTACAAATTTGAATATTTACCGAAAAAGCACTCACACATCGCTAAAAACCCTCGATTTTGAGAAAAAACGTCGTTCAAAATTGCATTTTGTAGAAGCTCAGTCTAAGCTCGTTCATAATTTGTTCTTAACTTTTGACAAATTTTGAGGCTTGTGTTCTTATAAATTGTTCTTATAAAAAAAGAGTGTATATGATATAGGTTATTCTAAAAACTTTGCAAGAACTTTCCTATTTCAAGTCAACAATAGACTAGACCATAGGAAATGTTGATAAAACCAAGCTTAGATATATTGCCGCGAGTTTTCCTTCAGTCAAAATCCCTTTTAGATAGAGTTTCTGGCCATCCCTAAGACACCATAATTCTAAAATTTTTCTTGGCCCCAACCATGGTGGCGGTCTTCCCTTGTCCTTTCCAAGACTGTGATACTTTAGCCCCTCACTTTCAAATACGTTTCGCAGGCCCTGAATAAGAGTCATTTGCCTAGGCGATAATCGTGTAAGGTTATCGCATATTTACATAAGAGGCGTTATTTGTCTTTTTTGTAGTAAACCAATGAACGATTGTAATAATATGTAAAATACATCTGATGTTTCTGAAGCAGAACATGTCCATACATGATATTTTGAAAAACTGAACATCTTCGAACAAAATTCTCGTTGTTCGATACATTAGCAAATTGAATTAACATAATTGATCCTAACCGGCATGGTTTGAGGTGGGATGTTACTTTATTAAATATTCATACTATTTTTGAAATCTACAGAAGACATTTAATGTTGCAATCCTTGACCAACGTTTGAGTTTACTTTCAGGTCTGGATAAAATTGCAACTCAACAAACCAACAAATCCAAAAGCTCAGATGAAAAGTTCATTAAATAACATAGCAAAACATACGTTCCCTCCATCGAGTCTTGGCTCTCCTGGATGTCCATCGACTACAGAATTCAGTCCTTTCGTTCGTGGGGCTGGCGCTGAGCATACTTTGATGGATCGCGGAGAGATAACGGTGTTCCTTTCGTCCAGGCCCTTGCCAATACTCCTGTGATCTACATTACCCAAAGTATTAGATTCAAGATGTGGAAATACTCTTCCATAAGACACATCATTTCTTTCTTTTCTTTCTCGAGCTTTTATGAAAGCTGGTGTTACCATAAAGGCACGATATTTCTGGTCTTTCATCTTGAAACTTTTGTTGTTGTGGAGGTAGGCCGTGAAAGGAGCAGCATCTTAGAGAAGATTCCCCTCGCGTCTTTGGTTGGCATGGAAGCGACAATGGCGATGCCCGCAAAAATACATGGAACAATGTCATTGCTTTCAAGTATCAAGGTGCTTTTCAAGGTGTTTCCTCTTTTGTAAAATAAAGAAACTTTCAATGCAGCGTTATAAGCTTATACAAATACAAACACGAAGTTCGATGTCTAAATTAAACTTGGCATTTTGCAAAAAGCACTAGCCAAAAATTCTGCCTTTAAAAATCGTTAAAGAATAAAGTCAAACAAATTTTCTTCCAAAACATACCGAGAAAATAACATAATTTATATGAGTTCTAGAAGGAAGACCCCTCACTCCCTTTCATGTTTTTACTGCTTCTTTTTTTCCTTTTCCAACTCTTCTTTGCAACGACCTTTAAACAGACTGCAATGGGTAATGAATTAAAAGTTACATGAGCTGCCTTCATGCTCTTTCTTTATTCTCGTGCAACAATTAGGAAAAATTGTATATTTTTGCATTTCTTCCTGAAGACTCGTTGCAATAGATTTTTTGTACGAGAGCATTGAATAGTGTAATTTGCGCGGCGCAGCCTCAACTGCACTCAAGCTATAATAATCAAGGATCTAGCGAAATTCCAATTAATGCAAATATTATATCAATCAGAACAGCTTCATGGTCTAAACATCCAGTCCAACGATACCCAAATTCATTTTTTGCAAAGCCAACATAAATTCAGCACAATATTGGCCAGTTTCTCGGAAGAACTCAAAAAGAGCTTTCGAGTCAAGTACCACAGAAAGATGCATAGCGGAGCATAGCGGATACTATAAGTTTGCGGGGGGGAGGGGGAGGGGGTTGCTTCATATAGATTTTGTCCAAATAAAATTGCTTCATTGAGATAGGATTGAATTATTTCACCGAAATGGAGCCTGAAATAATTAGCCTGTTGCAGAAGCTAGAAATCATCTGGAGTGCGATCAATTTTGCCTGATTATAGGTGCTTCAGCCTAGCAACTTTTTTAGTTTTGATAATATTTAGGCATCAATAAATCTAATTGATAAAAAATACTGGGAAGAAAAAGTTTCATTATTTTGCTAATTAACTGAATTAAATTTGATTACCAGTGAAGCTGCTCTTGCTAGGGGTCGTGCTTAAGGGTGAATGCTAGTGTTGCAGGTAGTCTGTAAGTTTCTCTTTATATTTAGATACTGTTAGACTTTTCCTTCTATGCAAAGGTGTCTCAGTTTTGCTCCGCAATAGAGAGAAATTCTTTGCTTAAAATTCAAGATTTTTTGGGATGTCAATATTTTGTCGGTTTCTCGTGGCATAGTTAGAAATTTGAGACCTCATGATGTATTTTCTCTGGAGACTGTTGGGACATGAATTATGGATAGGTCATTACCGCCTGATCGTACCTTATAAGGTTAGAAACAGACAGCCAGTGACATGCACATCCATCTTTCAATCTGGAACTTTCATTTAGTGTGAGAGCTCTTGGTTTCAGGGGCGTTGTGGCTAGGCGGGACACCGGGAGATTTCCCGGTGGGCCCCTTACAAGTGACAAGAAATAATCTCTCATCTATATTAAACATATAGTTATTAACTAGATATTAAGAGCTAAACTTAAACATAAAGGACCCGGTGAATGGGGTGCGTGGAATTTGAAAGGAATGAAGGACAAAGAGAAGATGGCCCGCTAGAATGAGGCTTGGGTGACCTGATGGAGGGGCCTTTGCTTTCGAGAATACCGTAGATTCGAGAATTAGCACTTGGGGCCTTATTTTATGCAACATTTATTGTGACCTTTAGAGGGGGGAAGGGGTTGGTTCACAAAAACAGAGCCTTCTCGCAGGGCAAAACTAATTCTGGCAGGATCTGCTTTAATTGTTTTGATTGTTTAATTGTTTTCTTATATAACTGTAGCGAGAAGGTAGTTGATGCTTGGAAATGGTCTGTTCTAAAAGTAACACAATAAAGAATGCCAGTGAAACGAAATATGAATTGCCAGCGATAGTTGGGCTGGAGGTAAAAGATTTCATCAGGGAAAATGTTTTTTCGCAGAGCAAAAATGCAGTCCCTCCCCCCAACAAAAATTATTAAGTGAGGCCCCTGAAAGCAGTCGCCCTTAATACTGTCCGTTCCATGAACAACATTCTCAGTCAGCTTTGATAGCACTGGTAGTGCTGAAATAGGTCTGCAGCTACATAATTCAGACTTTTGTCCTGACTTGAAAATTGGAGAAACCATAGTCAGCTACCGGAAAAGTCCGGAAAAGTGCCCTCCTCGATAGTGGAAATAAAACATTTTGTAAGAGGCTTGGCTAATATCTCAGCTGCATCCATTATCAATTAAACGTGAACTTCGCCATGCATTGGAGATTTAGAACATTTCAGTCTATTAATCTCTTTCTTAACTATATCTATATCAACCTGTTTAAATAAAATGGTGGGTACATCAACAGGGCCCCTAGCATTCAAGTACTGTAGCGGATCATCTGTTGCCTGCTTGTTTATTTTGGTGGCTAGTTTGGAAGCCTTGAATGCCTCTGAGAATATCATTCAGAGCATCATCAGAAGTGTTAATTATTTTTAGTGTGAGAATGGATATTCACAAGCTTGACTGGCTTGAACAAGCTGATTCATCAAAATTTATAATGTTTCAGAAATATTTGTTCTTTATAACTGCCCTACATGCTGAATATTTTAAAACTACATTAGCTTGATTATGCAGTTTCCAATAAACGGCATCAATTCATCGATAATTGTAAAAAAAATGACATGGCCACAAAATTCTATAATAGAATAAACTGCCCACATGCAACTTTCAATTGTGCTTGCTGCTATATTTACTAGTAAATCAAAGTGTAATAATAAATCAAAACTTAATGCTTTTCAAGAACTCAACAGCATAAACCTATAAAATTTCTGGTGGTACAAAATGTCAAGATTCCTGAAAGACCTCGAGGCATATGACATTCCTTGCTAGAACGGATACGAGGCTTCGTAGAATAAATAATCGTGTGGGTACTGGGTGCTCATGTTTGATCTTTTCACGTCTCTTTGCCAACATTCACCAAACAGCATTTCTAATTTGAAGTTTACGCGTATGATTTATTATCTTCTGTTTGTTAAAGAGCTTTAAGATATGACGGATGTACAGCTACAAAGAGACAAATATGGGAGCTTGCCGTAGTAAGTATTTTCTTTGCAGATGACCAATAAAAGGTTGGCTAAAGACGACTTGAATGTAAACAAAAAAAAGATGACCAATTTAAACACAGTTTAATGACTGGTAGACGTTTCCTACCAGCATTCTGCTGTTTTAAGTCATTAACTTATCCAAAAAAATTTCTTCTTGCTTGTACTGACAATTATTTTTGCATTCTTCATTATTTAACAGCTCTATTTATTTATTTATTCCGAGCATTTCAATTATGAAAGAGAGTCAGGAACAGCGCGATACGAAGATGAGAATCCAATGTGTTGTGATAAAATTTTGAAATAAATTAAATTGAACAAGTGCTGAACCGGCTATTTAAATGATATTTCATTCCATTTCAACACTGTTCTCTAAATTTGTAGACAATATAACAGGTAACAATAAAAAATCTACTTAAGCTCAAACTTTTTCTCGACATGAAAAGTTAATTCATAATTAAGTAAAAATTACTTTTTAGAACAGTAACAAAGCTAAAAATCATTTCTAAGAAATGTGAACTGATTGATTCATATAAAATCTCAAATGACTTATGGTACCATGCATGCTCTTGGACTGCTTTCTATTCAGAGTATTAACACATATCCAGCAACTAAAGTAGGTAAAAACATGATTTGAAATCAGAATTGTAGATACATATGTATACAGTGGCCTGAGAATTGTATTACGTGTGAAACTAAAAGTTGAAAATTACAACTGATCTGTTCTACACAAAGCATGTATAGCTCTGCCTGTGTGGCATCAAGCACCATATGACAGACCAGTACAATATTAGTTATCATTATAGATGTAGATATAAGCTCACATAGTACATGAAATATCCCCTATGATCAAGTGCCCATTATTATTATTGCCTCTCATTTCTTTCTCAATTAGTATTCCATGTTGGAATGTTTCCAAATAAGTTCCAAGCTAACAGCATCCTAAAAGGGGCTACAGTATGTTATGCTTCAAATTATGTTATTCCTGCAAAAAAGCTAGTGATATAAAAATTCAATCTTCTGTACTGTTGCAAGTTATCAACAGTGCCAGACCCAAAAGTTTGGTCTGCGCAGGGAACCCGCTGACCAACTTTTTGATTTTCATCCCCCATTCTGCCCAAGTATTATCAAGATTTTGCCATATATTCCGCCCACATTATTTTTTTATCTGATCATGTTCCTCGTGAATATTCCACCAATTAAACTTGTGACTTCTGATAACAAGGAAAACAAAGAATACAAGGTTTCTCCAAAAGCTGTTGCTTCAAATTCTGTGCACAATTTTGCGGGAAATGTTCGCTATCCGCAAATTTTACAATTATTGTTCTGGCATTTCCTATGCAGAGAAAATACTCTACAGTCTGGCAACAGTGTGTATATCTAACATTGCTAGTGAATGATGAAAAATCAAACAAGAGGCTTTCTTTCAAACTTGAAAAGTCTATATTGTATAAATGTTTTTCTATTAGTTACTCTATATCGTCTATGTCAACTAAAAGCATGAAATGCAACAATTGACCTATGTGTTTAAACTTCTTAATATTCTGTTTAAACTTCTTACTTGAATAATCACATAGTTGCCAAGTCTCCCGCATCCTGCTGGAAACTCCAGCATTTCAAGCTTCTCTCCAGCCGAGCTCTGCAACAGCAAAACCTAGAAAAATCTTCAGCATTCTATGATTTTCAAACATTCAAAATTTACTTTTACATTTTGAGTATTGTCATCGGTTTTTTCATGCAATAAATAGAGTTGTCTTTCTTATGTTTAGGTGTCTCAAGGTCTTGCAACCTGCAGTTCTAATCTCCTTTCATCCCCTGCTGCTTTTCTGTATCGTGTTGCCATGGGAATTTTTGAAATTTTTGGAACAACAGATCAAGCTCCACATAGCTACACAGTGCTGCTGCGCAGCACTCAAATCTCCAGCATTTTCATCTCCAAAACTTAGCAACTATGCAATAACCTAATTTTCAATCTACACCGCAAGTTTTGTTTCTTCCAATTCTTAACTGTGCAAGCTAGTCAATTTCAACTCTGCTATTGATGTTTCCAAGCAATATCAAGTACTTCTATATTCGACAAATAATTCACAATTAACGCCTCTGTTTATATGCTTTCATCCTATAATATAAAATAGAACTGCTGGGGCTAAAAGTAGGATAAAAAAGTCGGTAAGCAGATTTCTGCAATTCATGAATTGAATTTGAAACATAGGTATCTTTTGTTGGTCTTTTCTGAGTGCAGTACCAAGATTTCATAACTTGGAGAGGGTATCACGTTTTGTAACAATCTAGCCAGGCAAATATGGGAGGAAGTTGTTTCCAATTTAAAGTCATTTTTGTTTCAATTTTATTGAAAGCTTTCTTACAGCACATTGAAAAGTATGTGGGATATTTTGATATTTGTATCTATTACAATGTTTTATTTTTTATTCACCTTCAAGCCTCAGCCAATGGTCCAGATATGAAACTGCTCAGCCAACAAGAAACTTTGGCAACACTGACCATTGGTCAAAAATGAAACACAAGGTAATGTTTTGATTTAATCTTCCGTACATTCTGAAAGACACACGAACACAGGGGGTACTTGACCCCCTCATTTTTCAGAAAGAAGGATTAAGTTCTATTTGTACCCCCTTTTAGCCTACATGTGCTTAACACTTTAACAACAGTCTGTGGGCTTTCTTTGGTTGAGCAATGTTGACCTGTCATGGACCAAAATTCTACTAAAACCCTTTTAATTTCAAAATGCCAAAGCACTTTTTGCAAAGCAAAACCTTTCTCATGAATTGAATTATGGAACTTGTTCCAATATAGAAATATTTATTTCTAAAGCCCTTACAAAGAAGGAAGAAATCTTTGCCATGCAGCACCAAGCTCTGCTCATAAAATGTTGGCTGATATTTTTCAGCAACCATGGATAGCTTGGGTATTTGGTAGGCAATGTAAGAAGCTGTCTAAATTGTTGATGAAAAGTATGTCACTATGCTATTTCTAGAATTTTGTGTTGTCTCTTTTAGTCAATAGATTTTGAAGTACATGAAAACAATGGAGTATCACATAACTTCCCCGGAGAGAGGCTGCCACATGAAAGAAAAGGTAAATACACTGATATGGATCTCCTTAAGGGAGCAACAGAATAGTATTGCAATTTTCATACCTTATCTTTGCAGCCTAAGCACAATTTAAGTAATGTAAAAAGGTGGACGTGAAGAAATGTTTTGATGTAATTGCCATGTAATGTAGTAGTGGGTTTGATAATGGTCATGACAGGTAGCAATTGTGCAAGTTGTGGTAAAAGCATGAAACTTGGTAAAAATACACAATTTGTGTAACAAAATAGAATATATACCCATTGGAAAAACCCCTTTGCACAATTTTTTAAACTGGAATAGTTGCCCCCAGGATTTAGAAACCTTCATGTAGTAAATTATTTTCTGTTAGCTTTACAGCCATGAAACTTGGCAAACCTACACCTGTTTCCAGACCTTTCAGATTTCGCGAGGTAAATGCGGAAAAACGAAAAGAAAAACACAAATTTCGTGTCAATATTCGAAATCAGCGCGATGAAAATTACTTTTTAAACGGTTTTCATTTTTCACTTCATTTCCCTTCAAAATGTTTTGCACTTCCTGCACTCAAAAAGGTCAGCAAAATTTCCAGTATTTTTTCAAATGATTCATTCTTTAAGCAAATATTTGAATTATCTTCATTGATTTTAAACGAAAGTGTATTTTTTATTGGCCTACTACGTGCTTCTAATGTCGATTATGTCAACGACCCTTGCTTATACACATGCATTGCCCTGTTTTTGCTTGAAATTGATACTCCATCTTCATACAACTGATACAATTTGTCAAACAAGGTGCCTAGATTTTTACTAGACCTTCTGCTATCTAGATTGCTGGATATATGGATGACGAGACCTTAAAATTTCTTGTAGACATTACAAATGTTTATTCTAATTCATGTTTTTTCCTACACAGGAAAAAGAGACCTGCTCACATATCGCCATGATATTGATGGATCTATGCGCAATATAGGAGTCAAATCGTTTTCGGAATGGATCATTCATGAATTGAAAGGAAATGTCCCTGGTGACTATAACAAGACCCGTTCTGCTCCTCCAAAGATTCACCGAACGTCTGCAAATGACAGAGCCAAAGATGGATTTAGATACTGGTATATCGAAAAGAAACCATCAACATGTAAGTCTACCATTTTGTTGCGTAGCTCTTCGTGAATTCAGAAATAAAAAATCCCAGAAAGTGCCTAGAAATAAAGTGTTTACTAGAAACAAAACCGCAGAAAGTTCCTAGGTTATGCGAAGTTTTTACGCCATTCACTCTCGAGCTTGCTAGCTAGAATTCAGCGGTCATATACGAATGCGAACGCACAAAACATTTGGCCCTATGCAAAGAGGCGGTCCGTTTGGACGCATATCCAATGCGGCACCTCAGTGACATGAAGTTCAAGAAGGCAATGAATTTGATAAATCATGACAAATTTTCATCCTACGAGACCTACTGTCGCTACATAGCAAATTTGGATATATTGTATTTTTAGAGAAGTATGTGCATGCTGGTATTGAGATGCGAATGATTTTAAGGACCTTGATTTTCGTCGTCATCTTTCACAATAGATGCTATTGCTGCCTTGATTTTACTAATTTGTATCGCCGGTCGTCTGTGTTTATAATGTATTACTGAAACTATTTATTCTCATACATTCGCATTGATACCCTCGCTCTTTCTTATCAACGTCTCTTGCCAGCAGTCCGTACATTTACCCTGCAATTGATCAATACGTCATTTTGCATTCAATATGACACTATGGAGCATGGACCATTATTGCAATGGTATGAAGTAAGGTGTGTCGATCAGGAATGCACGAATAATGCATCTATGTTTTCATAACAAGTACAGATACTTTAAATTTCAAATGATATTGGTAAACAATTATTTGTTCAAAGGATTTGCAGTGTTCCCAAAGAGGAAATTGTTTTTATCTTGATGTCTTACACCTTAAGAAAAAACAGCAGTTGAAGACCCAACTTTTTATCTGCTTATTAAGATTTAAGAAGGGATCTCGTGGAGCGAATCTTGGGATTTTCTTCGTCGTTTATCTACTTCTCTTTTGCCAGACAATAGAAACAATTCTCTTTTCTGTATTCAATTCTCCATCTGTTTTACAACCAGTCATTAAGAAAGAGGAAAAACACTTTTAAGCTTAGAATAGTTATAGTCACTTTCATACTTTACCAGCAAAAATGCATGCATAAGTAAGTACGTAGACCTGTTTTGCAATTTTATCAAATGCATCTCTTGGTAAACGCCAGTTGAATTGTAAACTACCGACGAGGAAATATACCATAGATGAAATTTTGAATGACTTTCCTTCCTAGACCCAACTTTCCTGTAAGAATGATATGACATGTGCTGTTCTTTTTGTCTGTAGTTTTAGTTTTAAGTTTATGTTTAGTTTATGTTTTAAGGTTAGAAAATGTGCACTATGTGTAGTTTGTTTACACCATCGGCCAAGTCGCTTTATTTGTATTGGAATTTTTTCATTCAATTTGCATGTTTACCGATGGTTCAGATAGACCATTATTTCATTTAACAAGCACTTTTCGTGTCTTTCTTGCAAAATTCATTTGGTGTTTGTCTGAATTTCATTCACGTTGTTCAACTCCTCTTCATGAGAGGTACAAATATTTAGCCATTGGGATCCAGAAACAAGAAAAATTATGAAAATTTATACGTTCCTGAAATAAACTACTCCTCTTTTAGATTCACGATGGATGGGTTCTAAAGGCAGCACTCTAGGACTTGCTGGCTAAAGAAAATTTTTAATGGAGAAAGATCTTAGATCATAACCAACTTTTACAAGCATCGATTATTTTTGGCAAAAGCAAAGACCCTCTGTGTCACTGACCAATGTGCACAATATTTTTTAACGAAAAACGTAACCTCGTCGAAAAGTCAAGTCGTGATAACGGGAGCTGAGTAAATTGCATACACTATCTATTTTCATTGTATTTTTGCTTTGTTTATCACTAATAGAGTGCAGAAAAGGACGCTATGTAGCGATTTAAAATTATACTTGACTTGGAATGGTTCTGTATGCTACTTGGTGAAACGATCTGCTTGAGGTTTTGGTATTATAATTCTGTATAATAACTGTTGTGATGTGTCTTAAGTCACTTTTATTCTCTTTTCTTAAAGCGAGCAGTGATGATGTATCTTGTGCCATGTATGTCAGGAGGTGTGACATGAGAGTATTTCAGTTGAATCAATTACAAGAAAACGTTATCTCTCCCACTGTAAAGATTCTATGACTGACTATCTATCATCGAGTAGCTATTGACAAGCATCAAAGTTAATTTCCAACGAACTTACGGACAATTGATTCATATCTTAACTTAACATTCATTTACCAAGTGAGTTGGGTCATTTCATACGACTTAAACTGTGGATGCTGATTTAGTTTGTTCAGGTTGGCAGGTTTTAACATTTTTGGTACATATTAGCCTATTTTCACAGGCGTAAAAAGCACGTTAATTGGAATCCAGGGATATTGCCTGTCACCACACTTCCTGCTATCAGTCTTATCGTATTCCTTTACATACCTGGAAAACATCTCATCAGATTTTTAAGCTCGTTATCGTTTGAAATCCCTGAGATTTTGCAGATCAAGTAGCTCGTCCCGCTAAGAGGAGAGGTAAATCGAAATTAAAGAAGGTTCAAAACCATTCATATGTGATCTTAAAACAGATTTTGTTTGACCAATTTGTCTGCCGACGATCTTTCGTTTGGGTTATTCCTTCAATTAAGCCACTGTTTGGTACATAAAGTAATTATCGTTTGCTAGATGTTAATTGTATCTTAAACGAAAACCACCCCTTGATACACGAGCATGTAAATTACATGAAGAACTTATATCTGGGCGTAGCATCCGGGACTACTTTTGTAATCCTTATTTTCGACTTGGCTGACAATTGGCTTTAAATTTAAAGTACATTCCAGTCTGTAGTTAGCTTCAGTTCTGGTGTTAATGAAATATGAAGAGTCTGAATAATAAACGAATGATGGGTGGTCATCTTACTAATTAGATACACTTAGGCCACTTTAAAGCTTAGCTCAAAATTGATATTATAGTGGAGAATCTGATTAGGATCAGGAAAAACCAACGCCGTCGTTTTATTAGCTATTGCTGTATGACTAGGGGAAGCTCTCTTAACGGTATAAATGTTTCTAATGTTGCCAAATAGAATAACAAGATGATGTGGTTAGGCAGTTGATTGAAGTTGCTTTCCCTTGTTCATAGACGAGGAAGTAATTCAAATGATGGTAGGATGTGTACCAGCTTAACCTCTCTTGACATAGACACTGTTCAGTGGAAATAAATATCGTATGATCTTTAACAATGAACAATAATACAGACATGTCAACAACATAAGAACACATTTATTAAATTCCTATATATTGTTTTACTTGAAAGATGGAATTTCAAACTTGAGATTTTTAGCCTTTAAGGTTTCCTTCCTTATTTCTAACTATTCAGTTTTCTTATTCATTTCCAACGTATTCAATTCCTATATTTTGTCAATTTTCCCAACAAGTTTAGTATTTGTCCTTCTTCCTTTCTATCTTTGCATTGATTCTCTTTCTTCCGAAACGCTTTTTGCAGTTGCGTGGAAGTCTTTAAAGATGGCCATACACATTTCGTCCTTCCTTCGTGGCATTGTGGTGATAAAATTTGTTGCTGGATTGTTTGTTGTTCCATTTGCTTTTTTGAGCAGATTTCTCTTGAATACGTCAACTACACCTCTGATTTCTCAAGCAAATATCCGTTCTTTACAACTATATAGACGTGTGTTGTTGATCTTTCCTCTGCTGAAATTTGCCCAATGTCGTGTTTATGTTTTTGTCGACTCTGCCTATTATTTGCTGGGCTTTCGCTTCTGTTTTTATTTGACAGCAGCAAAGGCAGTTAAGAGACATCAGCAAGTTGTCAACATCTCCTTTATAACATGCACTTCATTAAAAAATTCACATGATTTAAGAACCGATCGAACTTTTACTTATATTGCATTTGCATATTACTGATCAACTAAACATCTTTTGCCGATATTAAGGTCACCTCAATATGAAAGGTTTTAAGTAGTTTTTGACCTTTTCCAAGGACCATTATAAGAAGTAATGGGCTAATGTAAACTCCTTGTAGGACCCCAAATTACTGTTATTTCCCTATCAAAGCTTTTTTCCATCCTTGATATTTTTGATTAAAATTTGAATCAAAATTCTGATCTACAAATTCTTTAAGTACAAGGAACGGCAGATCTCTGCCAGTGTAAAGTTCTTTGACATTGTAACTGGGTTGAGATTCTACAAGCTTCAAATGTTGAAGGGCATGAAATTTAAAATAAAAGGCTTCAATGAAAGAAAGAAAAACCATTTCTGAATTGGAACAAGGGAAGTTATTTTGTTACAAAGATTTTCTTATGCATTGCACCAAATTATTAAATCAATGTAAATGTGTAAATTCTTTGTAAGGTGATTATGTTATTCAAAAATCTGTTTTCAAGTAAACTTGCAAAATGACAAACAATACTACATCATACCTGACATAGAATGGAATATTATTTCAGTCTTAAAGATCATAAATATATAATATAAGTTATAAAAGGGTCGAAAGTTAAAGTGTATGAGTTATAAAAGGCCCTTAAATTGAAATTTCTAAACTTTTGTTTTGATATCTAAGGTCAAGAAAAGTATCTCGAATCTTAAATTTCAAAATATTGTTGACAGAAGATAACCGTAAGCTGGGGGTACTTACGTAAGCTGGGGGTACTTACATAAACTTTAATAAACTCTTAGGAATTGTGAAACATAGAATATGATGAAAATATAGCTTCCAGATGATCTTTAGTTCAGCAGAATCTTTCTACTGAATGTTAACCTGTCTTGATATCAATATGCAAAAATGGAACTCGAAATTTTCTTTGGATAAATTTTTGCATGAAGATGTTCTCATCAATAGATCTTTGAAATAAAAAGACCTATAATTTCTTTAGTTGAAAATGGAAAAATAATGGTAACGATATTTTGAACATTTACGATAAATTTACCAAAAAAGCCTTTGTGTGCTTATTGACTACATTTTAACATCTTATCCGTATAGCTTATTCTACCATAGCTGATTGTGTCTTGGATGAAAAAGAATTATGAAAAATACCATGAAAAATATTTTCGAACCAACTCTAAAAAAAACCTATGGCATAGCCTCTTAAAACATTCTCACTTGTATACATAATTGTGGACTCTTAATTTTCCTGAAGGTAGAACCTGGATGCGTTACAAAAACCTTGTGGAGTAAACCCATACTAAAAAGGCTATTCCAACATTAAATGCTGTCAATATAACACTTTTTCTGATATCATGACGTGGATATAGTATCTGAACAAAACAGTGCCAACAATTCGCGAAAAATTTGGCCTGTTTATTCAAGAGCTATGATTGGCTTCAGAAGTCACAACAGCAGTGCAAGAAACAGTGTCTTGTATTGGAGGCCTAATTAGGCAATTTTCAGGTTATTTAGCAAACGACACCACCTCCTATAATTAGGTATAAAGCGTCTTTTCCAAATTGGTTGCAAAGTTTGCAATCTTAAATAAAAAAATCAAGAACTCTGTTCACCTCGAAAAAACACTTTTTCTGTATCATATCAAAAACACTGATCAAGTTGATTATTCATCTTTTCTGAAATCATATGAATCGCGGCTATTAATTTTTTGTCTAATTCAGCACTGTTTATATGCCGGCAGGCTGCCGGTTTACAAAATGAAATGAACATACAATTAAGTAACAAACATAATTTTTTAATTAATGATGCTAGATAAATTTTTTCTAGTGTCAATGTCACCCATTTCACCAATAGGGACAACATGTTGTTGGGACCTAGAACCTCTTATACAAATTACTGCAGTTCTAAGTAAGCAAAAACTCAGCTTTCTTTTGATCCAAGCAGAGGTTTCACTTTGGTGATTTTTTACAGCAATTAGTTCCGACACAGGTTGGACAAATTTCCTCGTTTCAATACTCATACCATCATTGCATGATAAAATCAAAGGGGTGAAAGTTCCGTTTTCTTGATTCATAACAACCTGGTTGTATTTTCTCTTTTTCGCCAGCTCCATAGATCTGAAGGTTGCAGCTAGGGTTTTACAGCGATAGCTAGGAGCGAAAGGGTAGAATAGCCTCACATCCACAAATG